TCTTGAGAAGTACTAAATGGATTTCTTTCAAATTTCATATGCAAGTTCCTCTTGGTCTTCCTTTGTGCCCATTAAATTTTGAGTCTGATCAGAAAAACAACATGGCCGAAAGGTCGCCATATTGGATTTAGACTTTGAAAGTTTGATATTGCTATTTCTTGAGAAGTTTTCAATGGATCTTTCTTAAATTTCATATGTAGGTTCCCCTCGGTCCCTAGTTTTGCTAAGTTTTTTCTGGGACTGATCAGAAAAACAAAATGGCTGACAGGCAACCATCTTTGATTTGGCACATAAATGAAGAACAAAAACAGAGGAGAGAAGAGAAGAGATAAGATCCAACTTTTAAAGAATAAATAAAGATCAAACTTTAGTGTGTGTCAAGATCCCAAAGTGATCTCTTGTTGAAATGTGAGACAGTGTATTGTAAACTGTCAAAAATTTTGTTCATAACAGATATTTGTACCAGTGTTTCCTTGACATTCTGCTGAAAGTTATGTGTTACTGAAATGAAATGTTTTAAATCTTGATTAGGATGGAAAAGTTCCAGAAGCTGAAAAAGGAAGCAGTACAAATACTAACGATAAAAACAAACCTGTTCAACCTGAAAATGTAGACAAGAATAAAAAGGTAAAAAAATTTTCAATATTAGTCACTTACTAGATTACTGCAGTCTTGTCTCTCCTGCTACAAAAAGTATCAAAAATGAGAATGTGATGTTGAAAATTTTATAATGCTTTGTTTTTTAGGAATACTGCACGGATCTTTCTTAAATTTCATATTTAGGTTCTTCTTGGTCTTTAGTTGTTCCTGCTTGATTTTTGAACTGATCAGAGTAAACAAATATGGCTTCTAGCTGATCATCTTGGATTTGGCAGTTAAAGATTATTATACAGCCCGCCATGAAATTCTTGGTGAAATATTTCAATTACCCTGTTTGACATCTGACTTTCTGACTGTCCGTCCATCTGTCTGTCTAGAATATAGTGTCTAAAAATGTTTCATATGATATAACGTTGTGCCCTTTCGCTTTTTGTAAAATTTCGACAATATTTTGCAGAGTTATGTCCCTTTTTGTAAATATACAGTTTGGAATATATTGTCAAGTACCATATTCAATCCTATAAGCACCCAGGGCGCTTAAAAAAATACAATTAAGGGGGTTTATTAGAGACCATCTTAGATGTAAAAGAAACACATTCAGTGCTAAAAAATCTGCCTCCGCCAGGAACTTTACGTTTCCTTTTTGAGGTGTTTTGTAAAGAGATTTTCAATTCACTCTCTTTTTGTCTCCAATCGCGAATTCGCTTCCTATCTATACCTTACTGCTTTGATGCTTTGCTATTTCCTCATTCCTTGACAAGCTCCACAACTTTTAACTTGAAAGAAATCTCATACAACTTGATTCAGCCCCCTTTGTGAGATTTTGATGTGTCTGTGGTCGCAATGATTTCAGTGTCAACCTCTATGTAACAAGGTGCATATATGACACGAAGTGGAATTTGTTGTGATAAAGATATAAATTTCCATTCATACTTGCCTGTTTTAGCACAACTATTTTATTTGTCATTTAATATCTAACTGCTTCATTTCTTTCTGTCAGATAATCTATCACACATGAAAATATCATTTCTTAATCTGCTGTATCAATGGCTATCTTTCCTGTTAAGTAATGGACTATGCCTATTCGGTCGTCGTTACTGTGGCTGAGCACGCGGCACCAAGGTGCACAAGGTAAAGGTAATCTACCACATGGTTTAGGAATGTGTGAAAAAAATGTCTTTTATGTATGAATATTCATCTGTGGTCAGGGGATATCATGTTAAAAACCATTCATAGGACAGTGACTTGACACAATTATTGAGGGTAATAATCCGCTTGACAAGTTTGCAATCAGTGCTGTGAAAGAAGGGAAAACAGTGGGTCACATTCCAAGTGAACTGTCAAAAACAGCTGATTTTTTTATCAGGCATAGTGGGAAAATTGTGGTAGTAGTTACAGAGGACACATATTGACATTCCTCTGTTGCTGGTGGAGTGGAGATAAACTGTTTTTTACATTTTTCTGGAGTACATCTCCATATAAACCGACTTAAAACAATTCTTGATCGTGACTAATACGTTAGTAAATCTAGACTTTTAGGGGGGAGGGGGCGCTTATTGGGTCGAATATGGTATATCTAAAGAATTACTGAAGTAGTATTTCTCAAAGCTTGCATTCTATATCCCTATATAGTTGTGCCCTTTCACTGTTAATTTAAACTTGATCAAATGCTACAACTACAAGTATAGCCAGAGACATATTATGTGTTATATATGTCTCTGGTATAGCCTATAACTTTAAATATGTGGTGTTCCAAAACCGTTACCATGGAAACACTTTTTGGGCATGTGATTGGTCGAAATTAAGATATTATCTGATTAAGTTGAAAATTGGTTTAAAAAGATTTAAGGGGATGACAAATACAATGATACCAATTTTGAAAAAACAAAGATTGTTTTCATTTGGTTGCCATGGTGACTAAATGAAGACCTCTAGTAGGAATTTGGGATTACCCCTTGAAAACTATTGTTGATTGGGGTGCAGGGGTTATTAGTTGGCCATCCTGGCCACAGTTCTAGTTATTGCTATTTCTGCAAAGGATTAATGTTCAAAGTTCTTATCATTAAGAGCAAAAACAGAGAAGAGAAAAGAAGGGAAAGATCCAATGTTTCAGAGAACAAATAAAGATTCAAACAATAGTGGGTGCGATGATCTTCTGGGTTCTCTTGTTTTTCATACTTAAATTTGTCAAAGTTAGCCCTTTTGGAACTAGCGCTTATTTGGGAGCATCCATCATTTCTACAAAATCTCTTGTTATTTTAGGTTGATGTAAACTCTTCTTCAACATCATCGGGAGCTGGAGCAGTAAACCCAAACAGTGAAAAAAGGTGATGTATGGGCATTTCTGATATGAAAATGATTACTACTTGAGAATACTAAATTGCTTAGGTTAGGTATGATAACATGCAGTTGTAAATGCAACAATATTGGACCACATGTAAAGTTACTACATAACTTTCTTCAAGAGATTTGACTTCACATGTTAATCATTATTTTGTATGATACTGCATACAAATTTTAATTAACAAGCCTGAATACATGCACACTTTTATAAATGTAGATTTCATGTTTTCCAATATGTTCAAGGGAAATAACCATATTAGTCTGTTGCATGGTGAAAACAGTGGTAAGTAATTCAAACTAATAGGCAACCATGCCACACAAGGACATGATTTGGTTTATCATCATTTAAATAGACTTCTTGTTTCCACAGATCAAACAAAAAAGAACAGGAAAGAATTACTGGTGACCATGTGAAGGTTGTTTTCCATGCTGTGTTTTCACCTTCAATTCTTCATGACTCTGTTGGCGGACAATACTTACGTTTGTCGTTACCAGATTTTTCTTATACTAAAATGGACATTGTCAGGTAGGAATTTGATGTGATAAATTGTATAGTATGTATGCTCTTTCAAACCATTTGCTCAACATCACCAGACAGTTAAATCACCTTTCGTGGTAAAGGGTTAATCAGTCTGCATATTGTCAGTTGTCTGTCGTCTGTTGTTGTCAGTAATTTAGCAATTTTTTGAAGGCTTCATATATAGGTTTCCCTCTGTTAATAGTTGTGCATTTTCATTATTGGGTTTTATCAAGATAGTTAACAGGTAGCCATCTTGTATTTTGACATTTGAAGATTGTTTTCACTGTTTCTTGAAAATCAGTGGATCTTTCTCAAATTTTTTAATGTAAACTGCCCTTGGTTCTTTACTGTTTATGTTTTGTTTTTGAGCAGATTGGAATCAGAATGGCCAATAGTTGGCTATGATAGATTTTGGCTGATAATGGAAATTTTAAATGGTTTTTCACAATTTTGTATTTCTGCTAAAATGACACAATGGTAGATGTAATTCACAAGATACCTTCCCTCCAAATGTCTATGTACCTGACCTATGATTAAGCCAGCTGAAAAATAAGAGTTCTGAATATGCATATTCTTGGGGTGATAACTACCTATTAAATTTATATCATCACAGGTCACTGTAATGCAAAGACCTAGAGTCATGGATCAGCAAGAATGCCTGTTTAATTCCATGTTTCTCAAACACTAGGTTTATTTGTACTCATCACAAGACTAAAAAAGCCGAAACCTCAAACAGTTGTAAGTCATCCTTTTTCAAAGTTAGCACTATAATCGTGTGCTCAGATAAGTGTGGAAATCTTGTATTTTTGACAGTTGAAGTTTGTTGTCACTATTTCTTGAGAAGTACCTTAAGGACGTTTCTTAAACTTTTGGGATTGATTGAGAAAGCAGAATGGCTGATAGCTTGGAGTTTGAAAGTTTTAAGATTAAAATTTTTTGAGAATTACTAGAAGGATATTTCTCAAGCTTGATGTTGAGGTTCCTTTAGGTCCCAAGTTGCACCCATGTAATTGTGAATAAGTTCAGGAGAACACCCACTGGGGTAGATGGGCAGGGCCTGTATAAGTGACTGTGTGCATTCATCTGTATTAAATCCTTTTATTGGAAGACTGAATATTCAGAAGTGCTGTAGAGCATTGGATATTTCATTCTCAGGTGAAAATCTGAGGTTTGTAGTTAGATCCTTCCCAAGGGAATGTTTTATCTCAGGAAGCTGGTTGGGTGGCGTAGTAGTTATGCACTTGCCTTTCACCTAGCCGTCTGTGGTTCGACTCCTGGAACGGACATGAAAAGGTAAGGGTCACCTGCCCAACCATGTGGGTTTTCCCCAGGTACTCCTATTTCTTTCCACAATAAGACCTGTCTTGCACTTACATCCGGGCCAACAAGAGTGGTTAGTTAAATTTGAAATAACTTGTTTTGCAATTGTTGTAAAATAAATGAATAAAGTTTATCATAGCTGAAATCAGACTTTGTTTCAACTTTGAAATATAAACCACTTGATGGATTAACCCTTTAGTGTAGAGCGGTTCTTATCATGCTTGATCTGTCTGCTGCATTTGATGTCATTGACCATGGCACACTGTTCAAGCGTCTGGAGTACTCTTATGGGGTGACTGGTGATGCATTACGCTGGACCCAGTCTTACTTGAATGAACGACGACAGTGTGTTGCCATTGGATCAACTGTTTCAGACAGCAAAACCTTAGACTTCGGAGTTCGTCAGGGGTCCGTTCTGGTACATAGAAAATACTGTCTTTATTCGAAACCAATCGGGGAGATTTGTCGTCGTCATAACCTTCAGTACCATTGTTATGCCGACGACACACAAATCTACATGGTTATCAGACCTCAAGACAACTGGGACATAATAGTAGCAAGTCTTGAAGCCTGTCTAAATGACATCAGTGCTTGGATGAACTCAAATATGCTCAAGCTCAATCAGGAAAAGACAGAACTGATCGTCTTTTCCCACAAGTGTCAACACACTAAAGGTCTCCAGTAAAAGGTCGGTGCCCAAACTATTGAGGCCGTCCAAGCTGTGAGAAACCTTGGTGTACACTTTGATAGCTCTCTGAACATGGAGAAACAGATAAACTCAATTGCCAGTTCCTGTTATCACCAAATCAGAAACATTGGGGGTATCCGTCAGTTCATCACCACAGATGCATGCAAGACATTGGTACATTCTCTTGTTACTTCTAGGTTAGACTATGGTAACGCGTTACTCGTTGGTGTATCTGATACACTAATGAGCCGCCTGCAGAGGGTACAGAACACCGCAGCACGCCTAGTTACCCGTACTCGAAAGAGGGACCACATTACACGAGTCCTTTACTTATTGCATTGGCTGCCTGTGCGATTCCGGTCACAGTACAAGATTTCGATGTATACATACAAGGCAATAAATGGAACAGCTCCTGAATATTTGCAGGAACTTGTCACCGTTTATCGGCCGTCACGATCACTGCGATCGGAGACAGAATCCTTGTTGTGCGTTCCGAACTCTCCGACTGTGACTTATGGTAACTGATGCTTTGGAAAGGTAGCGGCCACTTTGTGGAACAGCTTACCATCTGCTACTAGAAAGTCAAAATCCCTGGCCAAATTCAAGAGGGATATTAAAACCCACCTGTTTACGTCTGCATTTTAGACTCTCACGCAGACGTCCTGTATATACATACTTTCACCACTACTTACTTGATTTGGTTACTGTGTTACATATGTTGATTACTGTGTTATACATGTTCTGTAAATTTTGTAGTAAGATTATTATGTAATTGTGAAGCGCATTAGAGTATTTTGTCAAAATAGATAGTGCTCTATATAAATGTTGTATATTATTATTATTATTATTTAGCCATGCATTGACTGACTTCTGTTGGTTGTTGGGTTGTTTGACTGTGTGATATCTGATAAGATTCATTTGATCATCAATCATGGTTAAAAGGTCAAAAGTTGTACAAGAGCATTTTATTAGGGAGTAAGCAGGTGCACAAGAAATTTCTTGAACACAGCAAAAGATTTGTGATACATATATGCGATACATTATCTGGACTTCTCCTTTTGGTTACATTTTGAAGCTTGTCAGTCAAAGCTTTAAGGTCTAGGTCACATTTTTCCACCATTCAATTTTTCTTGAAATTTACTGCTAGTATAACAACATACACCACAAATTGGAAGGTGATGAGTATGGAAGTGGAGAGTATAGATTATTGGTAATCTTAAATAGAAGTGATTTTCTGTAAAGATCCAATTTGATAATGTATTTTTAGCTCGCCTGTCCTGAAATGCTGTTGGTGTGGCATCCTCAATCCTTAGTCCACTCGTCTTTCTGTCCGTACGTCCGTCCTTCCGTCTGTCCTTCCGTCCATCTGTCCATCTTCTGTCTGTTGTCAACTTTTCACTTCAAACTACTTCTTCTCCATAGCAGAGAAGCCCAGGGTACTGTTATTTGACCTGTAACATGCTGAGATGGAGGGCTATCAAGTTTGTTAAAATAAATTACCTTGACCAACTTTCAAAGTCATGTGGGTCAAATATAGGAAAATTTTCTTTAAACTTCCTGAAATCATATAAACAGCCCAAACAACATCAGACATCAGTCACCTTTTATTGTTACACAAGTTAATGTCAATTAACAAATAGTTGGGTGATGTAGGCCCATTGGCCCTCTTGTTGTTTAAATGCATATATTACATTTTGCAGATATTATATTTCTATTTCATAGCAAATTTGACAATGGCAGCTTGGAGTTGATGGCATCAGTCTTTTTGCCAAGACATCTGCAGCAGAAACTAATTTGCTACACATACGGTGTTGAGGATAGGAACAAGGAATTTGTTGCAGAGTTTGTTAATGACACCTACATTGCTAATAATGCTGAACGCTATATTAGCATGCCAAAGAGTGCTGTTCATGAAGGTATTGAATAACTTCACAAATACTTTGTAGACACTTGTGTCAGGGTTGGAGGGGAGTGGAGAGAATACTGGAATCAGCTCGGCCGGCCGTCTGTCTGTCGGTAGATGAACTTTTGTTCATGCTAAGGCAAATGCTGGGCTCTGATTGGTTGAATTTTAGACATTGCCTGACTTTGACCAAATTGTATTCACAGAGGCATTAGGGGATGGTAAAAATTTCTGTATAGATTTCATTGTCATGACATCTACACTGAGGCAAATTGTTGCCTCTTATTGGTTGAAGTTTCGACATTATCTGATTTTTTACCAAATTTTGTATATAGAGGTATTAGGGAATGCCAAAAATCAGTTCTTAACTGTTTTTGACTTTTTAGCTCAACTGGCCTATCTGTCAACTTTTTCTACAAATCACTATTACTTTTCTACCAAAGTTTGTCAGAAGCGTCCTTTATAGAGGGGAACAAATTTGTGTAAATGATGGGTCTCAACCAACAGGACCATTAAAAATCTACTCCTCCTGTAGAAATAATTGAATTTTGACCAAATTTGGTCAGAAGCATTCTTTGGCGAAGTGGAATAAATTTTGTATAATTTGGGTCTCAGCTCCCAAGGGCAGACGGATCAGGGCCCAATATGGGAAATAGAACAAATAAGTTAAAATCTTAGAAATAATTGGATTCACTGTAGGAATGATTGGATTCTCCTGTAGGAATGATTGGGTTTATCCCGAGTTCATTCTGAAGCATTCTTGGGGAAAGAGGAATCAATTTTGTATAACCGATGGGTCTCTGCTGCCCTTAAAGGGGGAGGGTGGGTAATTAGAGCAAATGCTTTAAAGTCATACTTCCCCTGTAGGAATGATTTTGTCTGAAGTATGAATGGTCTGGCTGACTCTCTCAGGACAGATGATTGGGGTCCAATAGGAAAATAGATATGTTTTGTGTTGTGTGCTTGGATATTCAGAATTCCTTCCTGTTTTAATGAAGCAATTTCAGCCAAGCAAAACCAGATCAGTGATACAGGCCCTATCCTCAGGATGACAGTTCTAGTTTAAATCAAACTTGGTTTGAATCCTTAACATAGGATGTCAGTTAATCGCACAACAAGGTTATTTCTTTGATATATTTGTTAAACATTCATGGAATGCAGGTGACATTAAGAACCATGGATCTCTTGCTTAGCTCACATGGCCTGAATCATCAAATTAGTTTATCTATGGATGAAGCCTTAAAAAGGTAACAATAAGGAATGGCTTTGACCCACATTAAGGTGACAAGTGTCAAATTGGTTAAAACACTGGAATAACTTCTTGGGCCTCTTCTTTGCAAATTAATGTAATTCTAACAGCATTTACACTTCAAATGTTCAACTTACCTATCCAGGATTCATTCTGACTTTAATAACCTAAATACAACAGACTATAAAGGGAAGAGAAAGAAAAATGTCTCATTGATATAGAATCAATGAAGATCATAGAAGTTGGTTGCCAAGATCTATCTGAGGTCCCTTGTTTGAGTGATTCTATCAGATTTCATCATGTTGCAAGGCAATTTTTTCAACAAATATTTTTCATTAGTAATGTTTACATTGTTTAGGAATATGGCACCAGTTTGACGGAGTGGTTTATGGCAAGCTGGAGTCCTCATTTTACCACAAGGTCAGAATGTTTTTGAAACTAGATGATCATGTGAAGAATATGAGAAAGGATGCAGAAATTATGTTGAAACACTATTTTGACCAATTCCTAGCTGAGTTACAGACACAAAATTTGCCTCCAGAAGAATTTATAGACTTTGTAAAAAGTCTGACAAAGGGCTTCAGCAATATATACCAACTGAAAGGGAAGCTTTGGTATTCAGCGAATGATTTTGAGGTTTTTGCTGGAAAGGTATGGCAGCTTTTTACTCAATAATTTGACATTTATCATTTATAACAAACTAGAAAGTTTTCTTCAATCATGTCATTTGTTTACACACTGAGCAAACCATCAGCTGTGTAAATCTTGATTGTAACTGTTTGTTAAGTAGAGGTACATAGTTATCGCTTTGCCTGTGAACGAGTTCCCAGCGCAAAGCTTATGTACAAGATATCTTAAGAAATATCAACAGATTTAGCATATTATTAACATCATAGCATTGTGCCAATATGTTCTATACCTGATTCGACTTTGGTGGTCATTAATTAAATTTAAAAGTGGAAGGTGACACTTAACCACTTTTGAAATAAAAAGCTGGTGTACAAGGTAGCTCAGGAAGCAGTCAATAGAATTAGTGATATTCATAGCATCACATTATCTTTGGTACCTAATTTGTTATCTTTTTTCTTAAATGTGTCACAGATATTCCAGCAGTCGTCAGTGTCTTTCATGGAAAGGATTGCCAGTGGAGGTTCAAATGTACCAGATCACTTGAGATTTGATATTGTTATCTCCCTAGTTCATATCATCCAGTGTTATAAACCATTTAGTGAAAAAGATGAAAAGGATATGGAATTGATTTGCAAACTGCTGAAGCTTCCAAATTTGGAGAAAGACAGCATGACAACTTTGATAAAAGATATTGCAGCTCACTTTCCAAAATATCTGAAGTAGGTATAAGCTTTCAATAATTTTTGTAATAAATTGATATTTCATTATTCAATTACCAGATTTATCATATAATAATTGTATGGAGGCAACATACAAATTCTGACTCAAAATTGTGTGTAAACTTAACTTGTATATGGGCAATGAAATAGCTTCTGTTTGTGATCACAATGTATACAGTAACAGAGATAAGTGATATGTTACCAGACATGGACTTAATGTTTAGGTAAAAGTCAAACTGAAAAAAATGGTGATTGATGTATAATAACATTGCATCATGGAACCCATAGCTTATTTAGTTTATTTTTATGCTGTGGTATCACAACATGAAGTTCCACACCAAAATGAATCTTGGTGGGTCATTGGTCAAGGTTAGAGGCTCACAATTCACAATTGACTAGACTATAGTAATCACAGAGTCTATGCCTGTCAGTACAACAGCAGTTTCACTTCCATAGAGCTTTAAATAAATTACTTGCCAGATCTTCACAATAATTTACCCTTATTAGTGTTTAGGAATCTGTTTAAATTTCAGCATAAATGATCTTATTTATTTGTTTGATGATGACAGATCAATTTTCAAATATTAATGGATGGCTAACTAATATCTTTTTCTTCTTCACTCACCCTATGGTGTGGCATCCACTCTGTGAATGTCATCCTGTGTTCCTTCAATGGCTTAAAAGGCCCAGAACCATGATATGAGGCTAGTATTATAGTAGGATGTAGGGCTACGAAATTTGGTAAAAAAAAGCAATTTTTATCATCTTTGCAGGTTGCAAGGGTCATATGTGTGAAATTCTTCTAACAACCTTTCAACAACCGAGATGCCCAGGGTCAAATTTATTACAAACTTTGAATGACTTTCTTTTGCATTTATCCTCTCCCATGTCTGATGCTTGAATAATATATACAATTTGTAATAATATACATAAGGAACCAGGAAAGGTGTAATGGTTAAGAAGTGGCAGACAGTAGTTTTTAGGTAATCTGACCAAAGGGTCTGACAACCTATTGCGATCGCCTTTTGTCTTCTCAAGTTCTACATGTCTCATTGAGCTGAAACTTACCTGAAATGATTGTGACATGATCCTGACCAAAGTTTGTTAATTTCGTGTTGGTCTGAAATCCAACATGGCCGCCATAGCCGCCATCTTGAAAACACATTTTTGACTTCTTCTCAAGTTCAAAATTTGAAATCATGTATTTTACATCAAATGACCGTTAAGGCCCATGGGCCTCTCGTTTAGGTTGTTTGGTTCCATCTGTCCTCCAAACGGTCCTCATTCTTAAGGTATTTTTCACCTTGGTGTGGTGACTTTTTACCTACATCATAGAAAAAGTCAGTCTGGGCTCTACTTGCTACCCTACTTGTTACTGAAACTTTATCCTTAAGGTATAGGTTTACTTTGGTGAGGCAGTGTGTGTCATGTATAAAACTATGTCACTTTAACCTACATTTTGTCTTTTGACCTACATAAAACAGAAAGTTTGCTCTATTTCCTAAACTACTTTTAACTGGAACTTTATCATTCAGGTATAGGTTCACCTTGGTGAGGCAACATGTCATGTATCAAAAGTAGGCTACTCTGATCTGCAAAGATACTGGAATCAAGTTGACTGTCAAAGATACAAAGATACTTCCTGGCTTTAATCCTTATGCTTTGTAGATGTGTGCAATCTGTATCACATTCAGTCACCTGATTTTTGGAAAGTTATGTCCCAAAGATGTATCTGCTGCTCCTCCTATACAACTGAAATTTTCCATCTGTCCTTTTGTGTCCGGAGCATGACTTTAACCACAGTTAAGCAAGGATCATGAAACTTGGTGTATACATACTAAGGGAATGTTCAGTGTACCAACATCAGACTCCTGACTCCTCAATCAAAGAGTTATTTCCCTTTGTTAAAATTTTGTGTCCAGAGCATTATTTTGCTTTCATTCAAGCTAGGATAGTGAAATTGGTGATTACATTGATCATACAAAGACAATGTACAAATGCTAAGGACATCAACCCCTTAATTACAGAGTTATTGCCCTTTGCCTTGTGTCCAGAGCATTACTTTGCCTGATTTAAACAAGGCAATTGAAATGTGATGTATACATGTCATAGAAAAGCAAGGTACAGTGGAGCAAAGTCGAGGCCCATGACCCCTCAGTACAAAGTTATTATCCTTTGTAAAAAAATTTTGTCATGAGCATAACATTGCTTCATTAAAACAAGGTTAATGAAACTTGATGTATACATTGATCATAATTAAAAAAATATGCTTCTTATCCCCTTTGTGGCAGGGCCCAAAAGGGGAAATTTTGCAAGTACTTTAAAATCCTGCTCCTCCTGTAGGAATGAATGGATATTGCCCATATTTGATCTAAAGCATTCTTTGGTGAAGAAAAATCAATCCTGTATAGACATTATGTCTTTGCCACCGAGGGCAGGAGGGGCAGGGCCCAATAGGGGAAATAGAGTAAATTCTTTAAAATTCTGCTTCTCCTGTAGGAATGATTGGATATTGCCAAAATTTGAACTGAAGCATTTTTGGGTAAAGGGGAATCAATTTTGTGTAAACAATTGTTTTCAGACCCATGGATGCAGAGGTACGGAGTCAAATTAGAGACATTTAGCGAATTCTTTGGAATCCTTCTTCAGTAGGAATGACTAGATTTTATCTGCATTTGGTTAGAAGCATGGGGAAAAGGAAGAAATATTACAGAAATTGAGGGTACTGGCTCCTTTGATCCAGATGGCAGGGTGCCGGGCCAATATAGGACTTTTACCAAATTCTGTAAAATCATTTTTCGTCTGAAAGAATGACAAGATTTTGTTTTAATTGTGTCAGAAAGCCTTCTTGGGGGAATAGGGAACTGATTTTTTGTAGATATAGGGCGTTGCCACCCCCTGGGGTCAGAGGTGCATGGCTTAATAAGGGAAATGGAAGATCCCTTTAAAATTTTTCTTTTGTTGGAATAGGGAGTAGGTGAATTTATTACAGTACATTGTTACCATCTGGTGTATTGTTTTGGTCTATAATCAGTTTACCATCTTGTCACACTACTTTTGACCTTAGTGTATGTAGGATTATAGTGCAGCTGAAAAAGTTGGTCTATTCCGTACTATCTCGTACACTATGTACGTCGGTGCTAGTATGCTCCACACTTCTAATTTGTCTGATGAAGGTGACCATGTAGTCATCAAAACGTCACACTTCAATCTTCTACTGGTTGTATTATAAGAACTTCTATTCTAGTGTTTTTATCATATTTGTTCAGAAGTATTCTTGGGTAAAGAGGAAACAATTTTTTCATAAATGATAGGTCTGTGTTCCCTAGTACCAAATAGGTGTCAGTTTCTTTAAAATTCTTTTGTAGAATTGACAAGTTTTTGTCCGCATTTGAACTGTTCATCATAGCCTAGTACAATTGTTAGTTCACTTGGTCCAAAGGACTGGGGAGCTTATGCCATGGCACAGTGTCTGTCATTGGTCTGCATCTGGTGTAATGTGCTTGACATCTGTCAACTTTTCCCTAAAAATCGCTACAAGTCATGAATGACTGAACAGATTTTGACCAAATTTGTGTAAATATTGGTTCTCTACCTCCAGAAACCTGAGGGGCAGGACCCAAAAGGAGAAATTATCAAGTTCTTTAAAATCCTACTCCTGTAAGAATCAACAGATATTGCCCGAATTGGGTCTGAAGCATTCTTAGGTGAAGGGGAATCAATCTTGTATAAATGGTTGGTCTCAGCCCCTGTGGGCTTGAGGGGCTAGTCCCATTTAAAATCCTATCCCTCCTGTAGTAATAATTGGATATTGCCAATTAAAATTTGATCTGAAGCATTCTTGGGTGAAGGGGAATCAATTTTGTATAACTGTTAGGTCTCAGCTCCCTTCAGAGGGAGGGATGTGACCGAACAAGGGAAATTATTTGAATTATTTAAGATTTTACTTCTTCTGTAGAAATGATTGGGTATCATTCAAACTTAGTCTCTTGGTTGAAGGGGAATCAGTTTTGTGTAAATGTTGCATCATGGCCCCCTGGAATGGGAGGGATGGGTAATGTAAATTCTTAAAGATCCTTCTTTGGTACAAGGATACTGTCTAAGTTAGGTCTGATGCAATTTTCCTATTTGACCACAGGGCTTGGACTGAATAGGAAAATTATTTCAGAAATTATATGTCAAATATGTCATATTTAAAATTCTTTGTTAAATGACTAAATAGCGAAATTAGCCAGTGAGTGATGTAGGCCCCTTTGGCCTCTTGTTTTTGTATACCGTTGGTAAACAGTGGGTCAGACCTCCTTGGGGCAAGAGGGGCAGAGCTGAATTAGTGGCAATAGAGCAAAATCTATAAAATCTTTTGCTGTAGGAATGCCAGGATTCTGGCCCAAGTTGGATTGAAATTTGGTCAAAAGGAGAAATAGCAAATTCTTTGAAATCCTTCTACTGTAGATCTGAAGCATCCATGGAAGAAGTTGAAGCAATTTTGTATGCACAAGTGGGTCTCTACCCCTGGGATGTGAAGGAGTAGCCCAATTGAGAGAATATAGCAAAAAATTTAAAACCTACCTTTCTTCTTAAGTTGGAATGATTTGATTCACTCTAAATTTCGTTTGAAGCATTATTAGGTCAAGGAAACTTTTTTATATATGGTTTTGCTGACCCCCGTGGGGGCAGAGGGATGTTGCCAAACAGGGAAAAGGCATAAACCCCATAGAATTCCTTTTCCTGTCATTTTGAGTAATCAATTTCTTCCAGGCCAGGTGAGTAAAACAGGCCCTTAGAGCCTCATGTAGATAAAGATACCTTATGAACCTATTGACTGATTTAGTTCATATTAACACTATAGCATCAACCCAAATGTTAAAGTCAAAAAATGAAATCTTGTGTTGCTTGTTTCAGAACAAACTGAGTGCTTACAATGGATTCATTCTAATTTTAGACATGTGACAGAAAATTTACAACTTATGAACAACTTACTTGCTGGTAAAACTAAGAACACCTGTTGGCTGCTGGTTGTTCCTCTGCTGCACTTTCTGTTGGGAAGGAGTACTCCATATCAGCAACCTTCAACAGAAACTGAACATACTAAACGTGAACCTGTATGGTGGGGTGTTCAGGAGTACAAAAAAAAAAATGACTATTTTGCTGGAAAATCATCATGGAATATGTAAGTACTCAGTGAGATTGTCTCTCTATCTCTCGATTCTGTTGAAGACAAAAAATCGTACAGTAAGGCTTATTACTCTACTGATGAAAATTGGTATGCATGATGTGTACCTAAAGGAGATTGTGTGAGGTTAAGTTTATTTTTCAGTCAACAAAACAACTTGATTCAAAATTATGACAACTGGGATATTGCATTATGGACTTATATATCAGATTTACATTCATACACAATTTAAAAAAAATTTCCTTGGGTTTATTAAATCCATCCTTTTATCTCACATGATGGTTGAAAGATCACACTTCACTACTATTGAAATAAAAGGCTTGTGTATGGATATCTCTGAATTCCACGACATATTAGGTAGGTTTGGGGAAGGGGAGAGGTCCATATGATGAGCCTCTACTTACCTGGTGGTTATTCTCACTTAAAAGGGGGTAAATAGTAAATGCATTGTCTGTGCATCCATTGGTGCATCCTTGCATGTTAACTTTTTTCAAAAAGTATCTCAGAAATCTTTCAACAGATTTATATTGATATTCACAGCATCAAGCGTTCAAGTTCTGCACCTGATTAGATTTTGATGGTCATTGTGAAAGGTTTAAGGTAATCTCAGGAACTCTTGGACAGATTTATTTTGTACCCTCACAATAGCATCATACCTTCAAGTCGTACCCCTGAGTACATTTTGGCGCACTTTGGTTAAGGTGTAATAGTTGACCACTTTTGAAATAAAAGGCTTGTGTACAAGATATTTTGTGAACCTTCTGGAATTGTGGTTAAAATAAAAAGATCAGGACATGAGGATATATCTGTTTGAGCCATAGATGATTGACCTTGACATATGCTGAAGGTCACTGTAGTGGAATGTGAAAAAAACTTTTATTCATAGAAGCAGTAAAATGTCTCATGTCGCCAGTGCTCACTGAAAAGTGTTTTTTTATTTATCTGAAAATAATGATATTTTGCAGCAGCAAATAGGAAAGCAATAAAAATACATTATACTGCTAAATGTTTGTATCAACAGGCAGCAACATAATCATGAATATTTTTTTTTTAAAAAGCATAGTCTAGCTTGTTAAGGAAAGTAACTCTAACCAAGAAAAACATATAACAAGGGACATGACTCCAACTGAGAAAAACACAACAATTGTAACTCTTAAACACAACAATTGTAACTCTTGTGTGCGTTCACAACTCATGCAGTAGTGTGCTTTACTGAAAATGTGTATTGCATTGCAAAAAGTTTAATCAAACTAGACCTTTAGAAGTATACATGTACATGCAGTGAGATCGCTTGACCCTGGCCAAGTTCGTACATAATCAGCTCATAACTAGTTTAGAAAAATCAAACTCTTAAGTGTATGGAAAGCTAGACACATTGTTTTAAGCACATAAATTTATAGACAAATTTAACTCTGAAATCCCCAATTGTATGAACACTTTTATTTTTTCATCTATGTTTAGGAGTCCACCAACTACCAAATCTCTTAGCTCCTTGTTTCCACATGTTGTCCTGTCCATTCCTCTGTCCACATGATAACTTGAGAAAGGGATGACCAATTAGATTGAAAGTTGATACAAGATTAGTTTAGTAGGAGACCTAATGTGGGATATTGTTTGGGGTCAAAAGGTCAGCTTCAAAGATCACTGTTGCTAAAAATTGATTTTTGCTTTTCAGATGATAGCTTGAGTTAGGAATGACCAATTAGGTTGAAACTTGATACAATAGTAGTTTAGTAGGAGACCTACTTGAGGATTTTGAGTTCAAATGGTCAACTATGAATGTTGCTGTTGCTAGAAAAAGATTTTTGGTTTCCAGATAATAACTTAAGTTAGGTATGATTGAGTAGGTTGAAACTTGATACAGTGTTAGTTTAGTAGGAGACCCCGTGTGGGATTGTGTTTTTGGTTAAAAGGTAAACTACGAAGGTCATGGTTGCTACAAATAGATTTTTTGTTTCTAAATGATAGCTTGAGTTAGGGATGATGATTAGGTTGAAACTGATAAAATGAAATCTATGTTAGTTTATGATCAGATCGAGGGTCTGATTGTTTTTAAGCTGCTGTCACTAAATCAAGATATCCATAACTTGTTCCAATCATGGTATTTGAAAAGTTTCTTCAATAATGTTAATTATGGCACGGGAGGGGACCTGTGTTGTTTACAACATGAACTGTAAGCTTGTTTTAGTTTTTCTTGATTATTTAAAAATATGTACCTAACGTTGTGTAAATAAAGAATTCAATTTCTGAAAATATCATATTTATTAGATATGTGTAGCCTTTAACATAAGTGTATATCATATTGTTCTTCACTCTATTTGTAGAGAATTCAAAGAACTTCTTCAAATATTGGAATCATTGTTTGAAGTTGACTACCTGTTACCCCGAACTTTGATGACTGTTATCAAACTCTGTGACATGCCTTATGCAGTGAAGTCAGGACTGTTTTCACTGGATTTGTGTATAGCCAAGCTGTATTACTTCATGAAATCAAAATATTTGCAAGAAAAAGAGCGTGAGGTAAGTCTTTGACTCATTGAAGTGTAATCAACATTTAGAATAAAGACCTGTAAAATATGCAGTATATTCAATGAATTACCAAAAAATTACCTGTTTTTCTTTTTAGCTCACTTGGCCTGAAAAGCCATGTGATCTTTTGCCTGATGCATCTTCTGTCGTCCATCTGCTTTCTTTCCAGTTATCATCAGCTTTTCCATTTCAATGACATCTCAATATCATTGTATTCGGCTTTTGGGTTGCTGGGAACAAGCATGACAGAGAATGCAAAAAGAAGTGACCTTGACTCATATTCAAGGTTGCAAGGGCTGAATTTGTTTTAACCTTGACCTCTTCAAAATCACTGTATTCAAAATTGTTTGAATATTTATTCAAAATTGTTTTGTGAATCATCTGTTCGTATATTTGAGATATGCTTTTAATATCAGGTGAGTGATGCAGGTCTTCTTGTCATCATCATCTGTTTTTCTATTGATTCAAAAGAGTAATTACTTTCCACTTTTTTGACAGGGCATATTATGGTAGAGCATATGCCTGTCTGTCCATCAACTTTTTTTCTGAAATTCGTTACTAGTTAAGAATGACAGAGCAGATTTGAACCAAATTTGGACAGAAGCTACTTAGGGCGAAAGGGTTTGGACCCTATATTGGAAATTTTGCAGATTCTTTAAATTCTTTTTTCTCTAAAAAATTACAGGAATCTGTCCAAATTTGGTCTGAAGCATTCTTGGGTGAGGGAACTCAATTTTGTAAAAACAAAAAGTCATATAACTCACTAGAGCAGAAGAGGCTGAGCCCAGTAGGGGAAATAGAGCAAATTCTGTAAAATCCTTCTTCTGTAGGAATATCAGTATTTTGTACCAATTTGGGATCCCTCTGGGATCTCTTGTTGATAATTTGATGTTGTTATTGCTTCAATTTCTAGATACAATGTAACATTGAAACGTTATATCTCTTAATCTGTATACAGGATCTACAGAGCATGTTAGCTGAAATTTCACTCCAAGTGTTGAAGAGAGCTGAAAGAACAAACACCATCGATAGGCAAGATGATGGGTATATACATTTTGTACATGTATTTCACCAATAAAGTGAGAGGTGGGGCACAGATTTTGCATGTAGGTACAAGGGCTGATTGATAAATTGACATTTTGCATTATGTTTCAACATAATTTCCTTCAGTATTTATACACTTTGGCCTGTGATGTTTAAGGTCCTCAGTGCCACTTTCAAAGAAGTCCTTTCCTTGACCATTCAGAAAGTCCTCCACTGCATGTATGATGTCATCGTCTGACCACAAGTGGGTACTGGAAATGATCATTTTCAGTTCTGGAAATCATTGATGGCAGCCATGGCAATGACAGACTGGTGAATAGGGGCATTGTTCTGATGGAACAACACACCTTTACTGAGTTTTCTGCAGCGCTTGTGTTTAATATTTTCCCTTAATTGCTTAAGAAGTGATGCATAATATGTGCCATTGATTGTTTGTACCTTTTGCAGATAATCTGTCATCAGAATACCATCAGTATCCCAGAAAACTGAGGCCATAACCTTTCCAGCTTATGGAACATTCTTTGCCTTCTTTGGTGATGTTGAACCAGGGTTTAGACTGTTGTTTGACCTCTGGGGTGAAATGATGGACCCACATTTCATCCATAGTCACAAACCTCTGCAGAAAGTTAGCAGGATCTTCCTCTAAAAGGTTCAGATAAGCACCTGACAAAGTCCGTCTGGTGTGCTTCTGATAAACTGTCAGAAATCTTGGTACCCACGAGCTTCCTCATTGCAATGTCTTCCATAAGAATGGAATGTATTCTAACCTGTGAAATCTCAACTGTACTGTCTTTATCTCTTTTTGTAAGTCGTCAGTCAGCAATAGCAATATCGCTGACCATTTCTGGGGTTGCAACAGTGACAGGCCTTCCAGGGCGGATGTCATCACCATGGCCCTGCCCACCATGCTTAAATTCCGCCACCCACCTTTTCACTGTAGCATATGAAGAGGCATCATTCCCTAGTGTTGCTACCAGTATGGATATCCTTAGGTGTTGAATATTGAATCAATGCCCTTTCAGCAATTTTGTCCAGTTTGCAAAAGTCACTTGCCTAGTTTACTTAGGAGTGCTACCTGTTTGACATAAACTGACCAAATGACACCAGTCTTCAGGAACAAAGCCTTAAATAGTCAGGGAATAGTAGAGCTGAAAATGACATCCCTGCTTACTTCTTTTATACAAGGCTCACAACTTATCAATATGCCCTCATATTTACCTCCAAACCAATCAGCTCATGAAACTGAGTAAATTAGTTATGTATAGAATGGTGTCCTCTTTATCATGCTCCCCGAAAATTTTCAGGGGGAGCACATAGTTCCTGCCTTGTCTGTCTGTCTGTCCTGCCATCAATCTGTCCTTTCTTTCTTTTTTGTCTGGAGCATAACTTTGCCCACAGTTAAGCAAAGGTCATGAAACTTGGTGTATCATTGATCATTCTAAATTGATGTGCAGTGTACCAAATTCAGGACCTCCAACCACTTAATTACAGAGTTAAAGTTTCGTTTGCAGAGCATCACCTTGCTTGCATTTAAACTAGGTTCATGAAACTTTGTGGATGTATTGATGATATTAAGACAATGTGCAGTGTACCAAAGTTAGGGCTCTTGACCACTAAATTACAGAGTTATTGCCCTTTGACAAAAGATATATCGTTAAGAGCATAGCTTTGCTTGTATTTAATCTAGGAGGGTAAAACTTGGTGTATACATTTATCATACAAAGACAATGTACAATGTATCAATTTTAGGGCTTGTATCTTCCACAGAGTTATTGCCCTTTGTTTTAAACATTCTTTTTCAGAGCTTAAATATGCCCACAGTTAAGCAAGGGTCATGAAACATTCATTGTACTAAGATAATGTGCTGTTAACCAAAGTCAGGGCCCTTGCCTGCTAAATTACAGAGTTATTGCCCCTTGTTAACGATATCTTGTCCAGAGCATAACTTTGTTTTCATCTAAGGTAGGATTATCATACAAAGACAATGTGCAGTACAAATGTTAGGGCCCACAACCCCTTAATAACAAAGTTTTGCTCTTTGTAAAAACTTTGTGTCAGGAGCATTACCTTGCTTGCGTTGAAATCAGGAAATTGAAACATGATTATGCATCAGTTATACAAAAATAAGGTGCAGTGGAGCAAAGACTGGGCCCATGACCCCTCATTTCAGAGTGATTGCCCTTGGTTAAAATTTTGTGTCATGAGCATAGCTTTGCTTATATTTAAACTAAGATCATGAAACTTAGTGTGTACATTGGTCATATGCAGTATACTAAATTCAGGGCGTCAATCCCTTAACTGCATAATTATAGCAATTTGTTAAAAATTTGTGTTCAATAAAGTCGTTTTCTTGGAACATTCATCAGTTTCATTGATACTCTTGTTTTAGTTGAAAAAAAACTTCCCAAGACCGACCCCTTCTAATTCCAAATACTGAAAAGAACGTTTCTCTAAAATGCTTGTACCACATACTGCGGCTATACCTGAGTGAGTGCTTGTACCGAATACTGCAGCTATACCTGAGTGAGTGCTTGCACCAAATACTGCAGCTGTGCCTGAGTGAAGGCTTGTACCGAATACTGCAGCTATACCTGAGTGAGTGCTTGCACTGAATACTGCAGCTGTGCCTGAGTGAGAGCTTGTACCAAATACTGCGGCTATACCTGAGCAAGTGCTTGTACCGAATACTGCGGCTATACCTGAGTGAGTGCTTGTACTGTATACTGAGGCTATACCTGAGTGAGTGCTTGTACTGTATACTGTGGCTATACCTAAGTGAGTGTTTGCACCGAATACTGCAGCTGTGCCTGAGTGAGGGCTTGTACCGAAAACTGCAGCTATACCTGAGTGAGTGTTTGCACCGAATACTGCAGCTGTGCCTGAGTGAAGGCTTGTACTGTATACTGAGGCTATACCTGAATGATCAAGACTCCAACCACAGCCCTTGGTATCAAAGTTTGAATTCTATTCTTCCTTTTAAAGTTTGTCCTTGTATACAATACCTGCCCCAATCAGGAGTATTTTGATTAACATATTTATGATTTGGACCACTGACAAAATGGTCAAAAAATCATACTGAATGAATCAATTGTTTCATCAAAGCAAACTGGTGAAAGTCATTGTGAAAATAGTGACTTTTGTTGAACTAGAAACCCACAGTCACAGTTTTGCATCAAATTTTCATGAGTGAAAAAATATTACATTTCATTGTAACATTTACATAATGAAAACTTCATTACAGTGTTTGTTAGCTCAACTGATCCCTTTTATACTGTTGAAATGAAGGTATTTTGTGCATTTGGTCTGAAAGTTTTAGGGAGTAGAAAAAAATTTTTGTGTAAATGTTGGATCCCTGTCACCTTGGGCTTGAGAAGAGGGAACCCAATAGAGGAAATAAAGTGATAGTGTTAAAATCCTTTTTACTCTGTAGGCATAATTAGATTTTGTATAGATATGGTCTGAATGAGATTTGAGCCCTAGCTGCTGTAGCCTCTTCTTGTCTGGCTGTTGTCTGTCACAACTATTCATAAATGAGTTTTGGTCAGAGGCATCCTTTGCAAAATAAAATCAATTCTGTATCCATGGTGGGTGTCTGCTACCTGGAGCAAAAGGGGCAAGGCCCAATAGAGGAAATAGAGCAGATTATAAAAATCCTTCTCTCTCTTTATGAATCCCAGGAATCTGTCCCAATTTGGTATGAAGCATTCTTGGATGAAGGGAAATCAGTGTTGTATAACCTGTGGGTCTCAATTTTGTATAAATAGATCTCTGCTCCCTGGGATGGGAATGATGGGACCCAATAGGAGTCATAAGCCCATTTGACTTAAAGGATTTTGTCTAAAGTTGGTAGGGACAAGGCAGAAAGGAGAACAATTGTAAATCTTTTAGATTCCTAATCCTTAAGTTAAGATAGAGTAAAACATGGTGAGGGACGCAGGTCCTATGGACTTCTTGTCCCTCTTATTGACAAATGTAAATGTTGATTAAATTAATGTAATGTGCAGAACAGAATCAAATCTATCATAACCACATCTGGACTGGTCTGGACTTTTGTTTGCTTTTACAAACCAAATCCTTCTAAATCCTGGCTAGTTAGGAGGTGCCCCATTGTATATAAAATTCGGTCAATTACCAGCGCCATGGGTATTGTATTTTTAGCTCACCTGTTCTTGGGCAAATCAACTGCAGTTGCTATTGTATCTGTTCATCCTTCTTTGTTTTGTTGATGCTATCAATTTAAAAATATTTTTGTTTGGTGAAAAAGACCAATTTTATGTATTTTGAAACTTTTAGCTCATACTAATAAAAGGGACAGGTGACACATGTAACTTGGTATACAAGAAATTACTGTGTTCCTTTGAAAAAATATGTTCTCTGTTATGAAGATGTACTATGTCATAGCAGTGAGTCAATAGCTTGCCATGATGAATTACTTTGACCAAGATACCCTTGGTCATGATGTTAGGTTAGTAGCCTGCTGAGATAGAGGGCTCTGCTACCTAGTTTGTTCAGGTAAATTGCTTGCTGGTTCAATTGTTGTATACCTTGTTTTCACATATTTCAAGTGTGATTTAATCTTCAAACAACCATCTCTCCATAACCAGAAGACCCTGAATTTATTATTTCACCTGCAACATGTATACCATTAAGAAGAGTTTCAAAGTTTTTTAGATAAACATGATAGATCCAGAATTTTTGTCCCATAAAGTTGTCTCTTATGTTTCCATTTGCAGAGCAGGTGAGCAGTACTGACCATTGAGTCTTTTGTTACTTATAGACTGGGAATACCTTTAAGAATAAGAGTAGTTTATCGATGCCTTTTATGTTTCTAATAATTAACTTACTCCATTTAATAATATTTATTTGATACTAAGTATTCTTGAGACAACAATATAAACTTAATGGAGTGCACTGTACTTGTAGACATCATTTTAATGTCTTACCAGTTATTTGTTGTCCTTGTATTGATACATGTTGCAGTAACATTTATTGTTGTTAATTGATATTTAATGGACAGTGCTTTTTATATTGCAGACAACAAATCTTGCATGACATGTACCGCCTGTATACAATAAGCTACGATTTGCTGAAACTTTCAATGGATAAGCGATACCTAATTACAAGTGTCTGTGTAGCCAAAATTGTACTGCAAGCTCTGGCTGTATTCGAGGAAAGCAAAGACATGGGAAAGGAAGATCAAACAAGGAAAAATGACTCCCTGGTTGTGTATGACAATTTCAGGAAAGACATTGTATGCTTTCTTCGCAGTCAGTGTCCAATGCATGACAAATACAAATGTTACAACAGCTTAAAAGTAAGTATGAAAATATAGATTTGGACATCTGTTATTTGGTCAAGGTATGGAGCATCAAATGTTGCCCATGTCCATCGGCCATTTCCCTGTCCCCCTCCCCTACCCCTGTGCTGACTTATTCACAAGACCACCAAAGGGCTAAACAAACCCTATCATGGTATTTCTCCAGTCTGCATGAAATGAGGCAGATAAGATCTGCAGACAGCCCATTATCATGAGCAAAATCTAATTATCTGTATCTCTCCAAGCTCACCTTTGGGTGTCCTTCCAATTGTTCAGATTGTCAACCTTTTAGGTACTACTCTCTGCTTGATTTTATTAATTAAGCACCAGATGGAATACATAATTCACTGCCTGGATGACTTTCTGACAATTGTTGCACCACGTTTGTTAGCTGAACGAACAATGGCCATTCTGTTAAAAGTTTTTTTTTTTAAAACGAAATTGAATATCCCTGTATCTCCCCACAAAACTGTATGTCCATGTGAAAGTTTAGAAATTCTAGGAATTACCCTGAATACTAATAAAATGGAAGCATGTCTACAGGCAAATAAACAACAGAGGATTGATCAGACAATCAAATCTTTCGTTAGAGAAAAACAGTAACAAAACATGAACTTTTAAGCCTCTTAGGTCACATGAGCTTTGCTAGCTGGGTGATCATTCAAGGACACTTCTTCAATTCATATCTCTTAAAGCTTGCTGCCTCAGCCAAAAAGTTTCATCATCACATACATCTTACCCAGGCCTGCCAGCAAGACTTGTTTAGGTGGTTTTCCTTCATGGATCATTGGAACGGAAACTCTGTCTTCTTGCAGGAGACGACATCCTTAGCTCACAATAGTAATATTTACCGCTGGCAACATTGGATTCGGTGCCAATTCCACTACATGGCCTCGTTAGCAGAAAAAACCCAAAATCCAATTCTAGATTACAACAATGTGCCTCTATATTAGGACCAACATTGCATGTGACATTCAGGTAGCAGCTAACAGTAACAACATGACATTGTGTCTTAAAGCATCCAAACCTGACATGTTCGACATGGGGTCACCATTAACCTGTATCATACACATCAGCAAGTACTTGCAGTAGCTGCAGGCATCAGGATGCTTACGGAAAGATACATGAAAGATTGTTTTCCTTTGGAACCTCTGTTTGCCACTCATTCTGTAGCCTTACCTCACTAGATGTTCATTGACAACTTAAGACAGACCTTGATCCGATCAGGACTAAATCATTCATTTTCCACAGGTCATTCTTTTAGAATAGGAGCTGTGACTACAGCAGCACAGTCAGATGTCCCAAACCATCTCATCAAGATGCTTGGACGTTGGCAATCAGATAGCTACTTTGATGTATCATTACCTCTTATCACTTTCTCCAAAAAGCTCTGGTAGCAAAGTGCAAGATCTCACCTGATATTTAATAGCACTATGACTTCATTGGTGTTATGTGAGTATGGAAACTTATGTACTCACTACAGGGCGAGTATACCTGTAATGAGTACTATATATCTCGTGCAGTGATATGCATGTCTGTCAAGGGTTACTCTGGATCTACGTATACCCGGTCAGGGCGAGTATATCTGTAATGAGAACCACACACGTCAGATTAATGTACGTAGTGACATTCTATTAAATTTGTCAATTTCCCAGGAATTGTGTGTGTGTCTGTTTAAGGCAAGTATATCTAAATGGTACAACTGTGGCTTTAACTCCTTCCTAACATATAATGGAGCTTACAGAACACACACTGTAATAACAGTCACTAGGTCGGCCAGTTTCCGATAGATTACAAATGGACCTACATCACATGATGCTGAGCCAAATATTTAACTAAATCCTGACATTCAACATGTGTACCTACACAGAGGTAGCATACTAAAATTTATATCATACTGTATAAAAATGTCATAATTTTCGGGATGGCACTGGGGATGATATTTCTAATACTCCCTTTCCCTTTATGGGGTCCTCATATCATCACATGCTTACTAATCATAAATCTCATACTCATTTGGGCTTGTGGCTGTAAACTAGCACTATGTAATAACATATAACATGTATTGTTAATGATGCTAGTCTGCTGCTATATACCCCAAATCGGTCAATCCAACTCTAGAACCTATTGTCAGCTGACTGTATATATCAACTACGGCTCAGGGTAAGAAAGTTAGTCAAGCCTCAGTCCCAAGTGATGTAACTCACAACCCTCACTGACTCCTGGACATTTGAATAACCAAGCTAAAGTATCCATCCCCATCAGTTGTACACAATAAATTTTTGAACTGATTGTAAAAACAAAATGGTCAGCAGATGGCCTGAGAAGTCCTTGATGCACATTTTTCTATTTATCAAATTACATAGACTTCCCTTAGTCCCTGGTTATACATTGTCCATTAATATAGGATTGATTTGTATAACAAAATTAATGGCTGACAGTTGATAGGTTTGGGATCTCTTCTCTATTGTGTCATCAAACAACTTCTTTCTGTATACATCTGAAGTAAACATCATCTATAACATTGTAAATACTTGGTTACTACTGTTTTAATTTCAGGTTTGGAATCAGATGTTGGATGTTGAAATACCATCCAAAATGATACTTGAATCATTCAAGGGGGGAGTGGTAGAAGAAGTGGAGAAGATTCTTACAACCAAGGTATATATGTATATCTTAAGTTTAAGTATATCAAATTATAGTATATGAGACTGTATATTACAATTCGTAGTGATTTTGTCAATGTAAAAATATATACCTAAATGACTTCTACGTAAACTAAAATGGCAAACTAGCTGTCACTTTCTGTATCAAGAAACTGACTACTAAAATATCCAAAGTATTTAGGCTCAAAAGACATCAAAACGATAAAAAAAAACCAAGTACAAATGTAACTTTACACAGCTGTGAAATTATAACAGAGCACATTTATTGTAGAATACCTGATTTACCACAAAATCCTTATCACCACAACAAGAGATTACTAAGTTAGTCAACATTGTCAACTAGACATCAATCTGACAGTCCACTCACAGAATTCCTCTACAACAAAATGGTTGTGTGATCTTTGTTACTTACTGTCAGAAGTGACTTTGCATTTATAAGTTCCATAGTTAGTCTCTTATGAAAATCACACTAGTTCACTTCATGACAGTGAAAAGTTAAGACACTAGACACTTCACATCCTGAAATATGATGAGTGTCTCATCACTTCTTAATAAACTTGCTGATGTCAGTATTTGCTTAAGCAGGAAATTTATATGCAATTTTTGTTTAAGATAATGAAAATTATGTATGAATGCAAATATAAGCATTAATGGGTGACATATTTATCTGTTGCCCAAATTGTATTCATATTGACTATATACTACCATCTGTGTACTGCTTAAATATCTGATGTGTTTAACCACAGACCTATATGCTTTTCTGACTATGGTACCATAAAAGAAGAGACAGTTAAAAATCTTCAAACTGTTCATATTTGGGAAACTTTAAAGAAATACACATCACTTATGCATGAATACAAGTAAGAAAGTTTCATATTTATCCATAGGTCTGAAACTTTAGCATGCAGGTAGGGATACTCCACTGAATATATGTTACACAGGCTGAATTTGACAGATATCTCAAGCTTTATTGACTTTGAATAAGATCCTTTGTTTTGTATATATATGGGTAACAATAAGTGCCACTTTGATTCAACAGGCTTCAAATTATTTACAGCTAAGGTTTCTCTAATGAACATGAATTGAAGATACTAAATTTGAATTACGTCATCATAAGCTTCCTTGCAGCATATGTAGGACATTTTTAGGTCACCTGAGACAAAGTCTCAAAGTGACCTATTGCGATCTCCTGTTGTCCAGCATCATCCAGCATCCGTCATGCATCCATAAACTTTTCAAATTTAGACTTCTTCTGGAAAAGGATTTCAATTAAATTTAGCAGGAGCCTGCCATGGCTGAATGGGCCAGAGGAGCGGGATATAAAAGGGTCAAATTGACAGAAATTTGATAGCATTATTTCAATACCCAAATACAACTTAATAGAAGAAATTAATTTCTAAACACCTGTCTTAAAATCAACAACACTGTCACGGTAACAAACTACTTACATTTCAGCAAATTCCAACTCAGAACTCTTTCACTACCTGACCACGTCTAAACACTGAAAATTTCACTTTCTGTAAACTAGTTTTCGGTGCGTAGACACAGATTAGAGACTGCCCAAATAGTTATCTCCAACACAAAGCTGAAATATTATTCTGAAAATTTTCCACTTCAACATGCCAGGACTAATTTCAGCAAGGATTTATTATTTTATAATGGGGTAATTCTATGAACAAAAATGTCACCCATGGCAACACCGAGAAACTGTACTGCTACCAATAGTATATGTGAGCTTTCGGTCAGCCATGTTCAGTTTTGAGGGCCTATGGCAGTAAACTGGCACTCTTTAATAACGGATAACAGGTATTATTAAGTATGCCAGTCTTCTGCGATACACCCCAAATCGGTCATGTTACATGTCAAACATCCTCTCAGATATGATGAAATAACCTAAGAATCCATTCTCGGATGCCAATGTTTTGTAATCGTCATGTGAATCAAAAATTCAAGAATGAATAATAGGCCATACCCTCTTGCAATTTTATGGCTACAGAAGTCCAAACATGCATGCATGTATTGAAAAATCATGATTTTAAAATTAACAGATTTGGTGACTTATTTCTGATTTTAACTAACTAGCAAGTTGTAGACCGAAAGATGATAAGTAACTTTCTTCAAATAGGTTTTGTTATAAAAAGAAGTTTACTGAAAAATATGACTGAAAAGGTTCCCATATCAACACAGATAGCCATCATTTTCACACCATTATTTTTTTTGATGTTTTTGTCATCAAAATGTAGTTCCCATTCAAATGGTGATTTTATGTAAAACGGGTAATTATGGGTCCCTCTAAGCTAACCCAAGCATCTCTGTGATTTAGTGATATTTACTGCAATTTTTTTTTTCCTGAATGATGATTTTACATTCTGTTTATCACTTATAATAATGATTGTTATCTACTAAGTGTTACAAAGTTTATAACATTGATATCCATGTTGATATCACTGGTGGAACATTGTGTTTCTCTAGCCTTATTTAATATACCAATTTTATAAAATTGACTTTGTTTACTAAATTCTCCGCCCTTCTCCCTAGACTTCATCTTGTATATTAGCACACAGTCAATCCAAAACACCAAGGGGTGAAAGTTAAACTCCAAAACTGGATATGTGTAGCTCGTTATATAAAATGAAAATCTTATATCTGATGATGAGTTTTTGAAATGTTTGATCTTAGAAAGTAGATGTAAAGCAAAAAATCAAGATATTTCTGCACCACTTTTCCCAGTATGGCATCAGAATATGTATAACAGGAAATGATTTATTTTCACATATTGTTCTAATTTTTTACCTAAAAAACAAACATTCCCTATTCTTTTCGTGGCAACATCTTTAAAATAGATTTTGTTTTTCCATTATAAGATAAGGTATGATACTTGGATGTTGCTTTAAGGAGCTTTTAAGTGCATAGCAACCACACCTTAATCCTTCATTCAGCTTATCCTAGTATTGAACTTTTTTGTATAAGACTACCAAAGCCCAAGATATTATGTCCAAATTAATTTCATATTGAATTATGTCCTACTTTCGGTCAAACCATCTGAGGAGTGCATCCTTAAGTATGTTTTATATCTGATTTGTTAATTAATTGTATCAACCTAGGATCAGTATCTGTTGTTCTGTATATACATGTTTACAAGCTTTTAAGTTGTGCTTGATATGAAAACAAAAATTGTTTTCCTTTTACTGTGAATATTCTTTACACAAAACATAATCAATGTTTATCTGTTTTGGATTGCAGAGATCACTAAATGATGTCGTTGAGGTTTACGTTGAACATGTTGATGAGTTTGGAAGTCACATTCAAGATATTCTGAGTAAAATAGCATTTGAGGTACAAATTATCTTCAATGCAGATCCCATATCCCAGTGTATACACTGATTCTTTTGTAAACATTTTATGGCAGTCACTATTAGATTGATTTATCATAATGTTTTTGCATTATCATGGACAAATTTTCAAGGGTCTGAAGAATCTGTCCCTTGAAGCACTTATTGAATGTGTTGTTCATCTACAGTAAAATAACCAACAAGCTGCAATCATCAAAACTGAAGAATTAATCCACTGAAAATTGATGGTCTTGCAAAAATATATTGTTGGATAATTTGAAATATAAATTTCAATAGGTGTTAAATTTATAAATAAATACAACTTTTTGAATATTTGTTGAATCATTAGAGAGGTTACAAGTTTTGTCTGTAGTAGACAATTAACCACACACCTGTACAGAGTGTTAAATGAACACTATTAGCTAATCCCTTGTATACCATTTCAGGCATTGATGAAAGGATATGTAAACATCAGGTATAGCTCTCACTCAGGAAAGGAGGAGAAGGCTAGATATGCAAGACTTTTGTCTGATGTATTTGAGAAACATTGGAAAGGGTTGACAGAAGAAGAGATGTTTCATGAAGCTCTGAAATGGACTCCATTTGAACATTTCATGGACATGTTTTGTAAGTTCAGTATCTAACTCGGCAGTTGCCATATCTGGTCATAGTATCACCAATTCTCTAGATACAGATAACTGTATTTGTTTGGCTCAGGAGGCACACATCAGTATGAATTGATACTATTGTATGATGTCCTAGCCTAGGTCATTATTAATTATCTTTCTTTTTTTTCATTTTGTTACGTTTTCAGTTTATAACTTTTTTAAAAGCAACTGCAAAAATCTGTTTGGCTTGGAGACACCATGGATATGTAGTAAGGCATATTTTGTAAAATAACAACAATTCACCTTTGTGAAAGTCATTTTTAACAATTCGGTCTTCTGAAGCTCAAAAGACCTAAAATTTTTGTACTTGGTCATGAGTATAATGGTATGGAATGCAAAAGAATTTGTGAAAAACAATTGAAATATTGACACAAAGCTATGTATTAAAAAAAAGAACAAGTCAAGTCATGAAATTTAGACAAATAAATTAGTCAACAAAGTATCTGTCACTTGGTGTCATTGACAGTAGCAAAGTCAGAAACAAATATTATCATGACATATACCAATACATATATAGGTAAGTGTAGTCAAATAAGCCCTAAACCAGAATCATTTTTTATACAGAAATGACACATTCTACCGTATTTTACCGGGTATAAGCGCAGGGGCTAGCGCACTGAAAATGAACAAAAGTCGGGTATGGGTTTATTCCTGGATAATGCCCTATGTCAAAGGGAAGATAATGACCACCATATTTGATTATGATAAGGATAATCTCCATCTCAATATGTATAATTGAAATGTTTTTTAAAAACTAATGCAATACAGTGAAACCCACTTAATATCGCGTTCCATTTCTCAGGGGGAAATGTGAAAATAAGGGAAACATCAACAATGCACACATTTTTTCTGGATGTCTAAACCTGGAAATAAATTTTGTGATGTGCCAAACTGATTTGTTTCCGACAGAAATTGTTTAAAGACAAGAAATTTGATATTTGAATTGTTTTTCTCATAAAAAACACTGATTTTCCTTGACTTTTGTTTGTTAATTCTTTGAAATATCTGAACTACTATTAGAAATTATTGTGAATGATCATGACATGATTCATGCCATACTCGATTAGCACATTGGCTGTAAAATTAGTGGTTATTTTCAATGGCCAATTAAGTGTCGTGAAACACAGCATAGAGAAAACCTCATTTCAGAACATTTTACTGTCGCTAATGCTCACGGTAATGCAAGCTATAAATGATTTAAAGAAATGTTATAATGGTAAGATTCTGATATTATGAACCAATGGGTTTTCAATTTTCATTCCATACGATTCATTTTTTCCCATAAATGGATTTCACGAAACAAATTGATTATTTTAGCATTTTAAGCGTTTTATGGGAAATGTGTTCACATGAATTTAAAGATGTCAACTTTTGTAATGAAGCTATTGACATGCTGAGGTTTGGTGTTGTAATTTAATAATTTATCTTTAATTATGGTTGATAGTTGATTATTTTCTTAGATATCTGTCTTTTGCAAAATAATCTTTTTTGTTTTGAAATGATACCAGTTACCTACTAAAGACTTATTTTCAAGAAGTTTGGCAGTACGTTGGACATGTCAGAAAACTTATCGGCATGGCACCCACTCCAACAATGGGTGCAGCGTGACAATTTCCAAGTGACAAAGGTTTAAAACACATATCGAGTTTCTGGTTGACAACATATTTGTCGGATTTGGTGGTAAGATCATCCAACAGGCTATTAGCATATATATGGGAACCAAATGCGCCCCTCTGTTGGCTGACTTGTCTTTGTTTTCATACCAGGCCGAATATATTGAAGAGCAAAACAGGTCACAAAGACCCTGCAAAGTTGTTTAATTTCACCTTCAGATATATTGATGACATTTTGTCATTAAATAACAAGAAAATTATTGACTACGTCCATCATATATATCCACCAGATCTGGAAATCAAAGATACGACAGACGCCTCTACATCAGCTGCTTATCTTTTTTTCCCCAAAAAATTAAACCAACATGGATAGTTTTTCACCAAGCTGTATGATAAACGTGATGATTTCAATTTTCTTACTGTGAATTTTCCATTTCTGGATAGCAATATTCCTGCATCTCCAACATATGGTATTTACATGTCACAGTTGATTTGATATTCAAAGACCTGTTCCCATTATCATGATTTCCATGCAAAAAAGTTGTCAACTGACTGACAAACTCATAACACAAGGGTTCAAAAGATGCAGGTTGATGATAAATATGGGAAAGCTTTATGATCACCATAGTGATCTCATTAAGAATATTCTGTTTCTTTGTGCCACGTGAAGCTGGACGTGGGGGTATTTTCTTGGTGGTTTTATTAACACTTGGAATGCACTAGCCAGTTAAAAAAAACAAATGCACTAGGCTTCCTTTGAGCTAGCTGGACCTTACAGGTAAGCAGGTCAATCTTATTGTTTGGGAGTTGCAAGGTGTGAAAAGTTGGCCAATAGGGCCAATATGTGTCCAGGTGTGATATATAACTCCTCAGGCATGAATCCATAGTTCCTGTCGTCACTTACCTTTGATTTACCTGTGTTTTTTGGGGGATAATCGGCAAAATGAAGTGAAAATAAGTGACATTATCAGATGTTGGATTACATAGAATATCTTAGGAAAAAAAACATGTTTCAAGAAAATGTGATATTAACCAGAGAGTGACATTAACAGATGTGACATTAAGTGGTTTCCACTGTATATCGTTATTTCCATTAAAATATTGACAAGTGTATTATGTACGACAAGTATTGTTACTTGATTTAGGAGTTAAGGAAAATGTGTTGTGTCCAGACTTCAACCACAACATCATTTGTTGAGACAAATATTGATATATATGTATCAACTTTTCTATAGTTTTATTTCTCAAGTTAATAAGAAGATTTGATTCGATGAGAAGGCTACAGAATGATTAGGCCTACATGCTGCCTAAAATGATGCTGTGGGTTAACAAAATCAAAAACGAAAATTAACTTGTCTGAATTTTTTTATTAGGTCTAATTAAATGAGATAACAGTGAAAGAAAGACGTTGTTTTTTTCTCAGTTTTAGCTCACCTGGCTCAAAGGTCACTGGGGTCAGATTTCATAAGAAACTTTAAATGACTTCTTTTGATGAACTAAAAGGCCCAGAGGCATGAAATTTGGCTGGTATGTTTCTTGGGTGAAGCCCAACAAAGTTGTGAAAAGAAACAACCTTGATATGTATTCAAGGTCACATTGGTCAGATTTCTTAAAATATTTAAATGACTTCTTCTTATGAACTAAAAGTCCTAGAGGCATGATATCTGGCTGATAGGTTCCTAGGATGACTCCCAACAAAACTGGTGAAGACAAATGACCTTAACTTATATTCAAGGTCAAAAGGGATCATATTTGTTAAAACTTTTAAATGACTTCACATGAACTAAAAGGCCTGGAGACACAATATTTGGCTGGTATGTTCCTAGGAAGAAGCCTGACAAAGTTTGCTAAAAAAATTACCTTGGCCTATATTCAAGTTACAGGTGTCAGATTTGTTAAAACCTTTAAATGACTTCTCCCCATGAACTAAGAGGCCTAGATCCAAGATATTTGGCTGGTATGTTCTTAGGACGAAGTCCAAAAAAGAAGTGAGCACTACAGGCCCATTGGGCCTCTTGTTTAAACAAAATGATTATCGTTACTCTGTAATTTTCACTTTTTTCATGCTAGACCAGACATTTTAAAAGTGGGATGGGTTTTTTCCTGAATGTGGGCACGGAAAATATGAAAAGTAGGGGACTGGATTATTCCTAGGCATGGGCCTATACCTGGTAAAATACGGTATCCTAAAGGTCCAAGGGCTAATTTTGTTCCAGTTACTTTGCTAAATATCAGAATATCTTATTTACATGTGTTACTTTGTTTACAGCATACTGAGATGATCAGTTTTATTATTTCACTATCATGATTAAGACTGAGAGGATTTCATCTTACAGCCAGGAGACCTTGAATAGTGTGACTTTAGAAGTAGCTTGAAAGGGTGATCTTTTTGACTTTGATAAATTGTGAAACAAATTTTAGGCACAAGATAGTGACATTTGGTCAATAGCATGCTGCAAGGTCTTGATATAGCAATTGAAGAATCTTCCAATCATAACAAAGAAAATGTAAGATAATTTAGGTAATTCTGGGATTAAGAGCATTAAGTGTTGTTGAGCTTAATGTGTGGTTTATTATTCTTAATTCATTCATGATTAATTGTCTTTGAAATTCTGAATGACCTAGTGTCCTGTTTGGCCAGTAGATATAAATGATAGAATTTAAGGAATTGTATAACTTGTCAGCTTGGGCTATTATGTGTGAAAATATATCAGAATCTTAAGTTTCATAAGCACTGGTGTATTATATTCCTTGTATATAGCTAGGATGTGTTCTTTAAAGGATGCCAGTTTTACTAAAAGATTGAGAAAAGTCATAAGTTCTGGATGATTAAGTGCTAGTAGCTAAGTTCAATAAAGCCCACAACTGGGATGATTATACGGTATGTAATTGGTTTTGAATACTGTCAGAATCTTCATGGAAAAAAAAATGTTTAGGCATGTTTTCCAAAATAGATTCTTTTTGACCCAATCTCTGGCCAACAGCATTAAAATTGGTCAGAGCTTAATAAACTATCAGGATTGCTCCATAGTCGAAACTTATTCCTGAGGACTTGTAGTCAGAGGGTCAAAATATTCAATGAATTAATCGTATATGGTTTAATCTGAAGTTTAATCAAAGTTGTTGGAAAGTGGTAATATATCCATAGAGTCTAAACTGGCAAAGTTATTCACAATATTTGAATTCTAGTTGTACATATTTGCTTATTATGATGTCTAATTCTAGATCTAACTGAGCAATCCAAGCACCTTAGTGAAGAAAGCGGTATACAACTTACCCAGGCCACAACTGCTATTCAGGACAGAATGGAACAGTTAGAATCAGGCCATATTTTGGTGAAAGATTTCAGTGTTATTTGTGCAAATTTAGAGAAATTTGACAGACTTATCACAATGTCATCAATAAAGAATAATCTATCACTGAAACCAGAGTATATCAAACAGATGGTTACCCTGCGACAAAAGGAATTGAAGTTGTTTCAAGAAACCTATGACCTTGTGACAGTTTTTTTGGATATGTGCTGCAGAATTCATGGTAACTATACCAAGTTTGTACTACAATGATTAAAATAATTCAGTTTAAAATATATCATTGATCTACTTATTCTAAAATCTCCAAAAGAACAATCATGACTCCAAGAGGAGTTCTTTGGAGAGTCAAAAAAATAATATGATAGACCTTAGTTTTATGTAAAAATTTGAAAAGTTTGTTGGTTATGACAGAAACCTGTTGTTTATTCAAACTTTTCACCCAAGGATGCTTCAGATTAAATTTGGACAAATTCTGATAAGTCCAAATGAAGAAGTAGGATTTCAAAAAGGTTGAAGAGCAACTTATGTTGTATAAATGGAGGGGTTGGGCCCAATAGGGGGAAATATAGGAATTACTTTAAAAACCTTCTTCTGTAGGAATTCATGATCAGTCCCAATTTTATCTGAAGCGTCTATAAGTTAAGGGAAATCAGTTTTGTATAAATGTGGGTTTCTTCCCCCTGGAGCAGGAGTGGTGTTGCCTTAGAGAAGGAATGGAGAGAATTCTTCAAAATCCTTGTTTTCCTCTATGAATGCCTAGTTTTGTCCCAGTTTTATCTGAAACATTTTTGGGTAAACAAAACCTAATACTAGTTCTGTATAAATGATAGGTCTCAGTGCATAGGGGCCTGAGGAGTGGGGCCTATAAAGGCAAAATATAGCAAATTATTCTGAATCCCTCTTCAGTGAAAAGGAACTAATAATGTCCAAGTTTGGTCCGAAACATCATTGAGTGATGGGAATTTAATATATCGTATAAATGGTGCCTTTAAACTCTCATGGAGCAGAGCAGCTTGGTTTACATGCTATTATTAACCAGGGTAATTAAAGGGTATGGCAGTTTGGGATAACAACAGAGAAAAACCATAAAAACCTGTGGCCAGTATCTGGCAACTTCCCCATGTAAACCTCGAAGAGGAGTGGGGTCTAATAAGGGAAGTTGATATAAATCTTTTTTATGCTTTTCATGTAGTTTAGATGAAGCACTTTCAATGAATTAAACTATGTAAGCAATCCATGCCCTATAGGCCTTTTGTTTATGGTACACTAGTTAACAGTTAATGGAAAATCCTAAACTGTTGTGCTTGTTGGACTCTGAAATCACAGCAGGGACAGAGATTTTGTAAACCTCTTATTTCTTAAGTTCACAATACTCTTTTAAATGTTTTTAGTGAACATAGAAACTGTAGAGAGACAACTGAGAGATTTGAAGAACTTTGAAAAAGTGCCAGTGGCAGAGCTATGTAAACCTGGAGTGTTGACTGATATGATGCATCCTGATGAATACCAGCCAGTGGTGACAGCCTTTGAACTAGCTCAAGAAGAGCTGGATTTACTTCCACAGATGAAGCATTGTTTCCAGAGTCTCATCTTCACAACCAAATGGGACTTCACTGGCCAGAAGGTTGTGAAACAGAAAGAAAGGGTTTTGTCGATTGCAGAAACATTTGAACATGTTTGGCAGCCTACTCTAGATTGGTGGAACTCTGTTGTGGGAAAGATCAAACAAGGATCAATGACATTCAAGGAATTCAACAAGCTATTTGGTAACATGGAGAATAAAGAACTGGAAAAAGAGTTCTCTTCAATGGAGAGAAATGGAGCATGGATAGAGGAACGAATGAATCAAATCCAACTGTTCAGAGATCTGGAAAACTGTGTAGAAGGAGCCAGGATTATATTGCAGGTGGTAGAAACCTATAAACTGAATGGGGACTTTGGGCCTATAGAGCTTATCACATCTGTGGTAAGTATCTTTTAACATGGTAAATCAGTTGTTTTATAATCTGATTAATGTTGTAAACTGTAAGAATTACATTGTTTCAAATTAAATGTTCTTTTTTCTCTAGTTGTTAAGTTTCTTATTGATGCCCCAGCCAAATGGGAGGATGGGAATGATGATCTGGTATTACGGTGCCCATCCTGCCACAATGTTTTGGTTCATATTTACTCCATACAAAAATTGTAGTATCATAACAACAAGTTCTACACTTTATGATATTAAGGTTGTCATCGTTCAAGGGCCAAAGGTCACATTTAAAAACTTCATCTAACAATCTTGCTTGATATATGCATGGGACCATAGGAATTCATGTCTTTTCTAGTTCTTTGGTAAGCAGTGTTGCAAACCTCCCAGAGTGAAATATCAGGTCATGACTAGCTAAAATAAACGAACACGCAAAATGATGCGAAAAAAGTCATGATGCACATGACCCTTGTTTTAACTCTTGCACCCTGAATACAGTATTTATATCCTCATATATTTCATAATTCTTAATTCCTGAAGGTGCAATTGGCAGCTTTAGCTTCTAGTAACACTGTGAATTGTTTATTATCCCAAGGAGTACAAACAGACATATGTCATTACCTAGTTCCAATCTCTATCCCATTCTAAATTTTTTATTTGTATCATTCTCTTTACAAATAGCTGTGTTTTCCACCTTTATTGTCAATAAGAGGAAGAAATCTAAGACTATGATAACATGTGATGAACCTGTCAAAAGTAGCACATTCTCTTTATTCTTTCATGCCTGTTTCTAATCACATTTTGCAAAAAAACTTTAAAAGTCTTGTAAAAAATGCTGAAACTTATGATAAATGACTGTGGATATTTCTTGTGGAAAATGTTTATAATGTTTTTTGAATATTGTCCTGATTCAGGGATGACTTGCTAATGTTACAAGGGCTGCCATTTTCTTAGAAGAACATGGGTAGCAACAATTTTATAAACTATTTTGACACACAATTTGAAATATCTTAGTCTAGCAATAAAGACTCTCATAGACTATATCTTAGTCTAGTGCAATAAAGACTCTCATAGACTATATCTTAGTCTAGTGCAATAAAGACTCTCATAGACTATATCTTAGTCTAGTGCAATAAAGACTCTCATAGACTATATCTTAGTCTAGTGCAATAAAGACTCTCATAGACCATATCTTAGTCTAGTGCAATAAAGACTCTCATAGACCATATCTTAGTCTAGTGCAATAAAGACTCTCATAGACCATATCTTAGTCTAGTGCAATAAAGACTCTCATAGACTATATCTTAGTCTAGTGCAATAAAGACTCTCATAGACTATATCTTAGTCTAGTGCAATAAAGACTCTCATAGACTATATCTTAGTCTAGTGCAATAAAGACTCTCATAGACTATATCTTAGTCTAGTGCAATAAAGACTCTCATAGACTATATCTTAGTCTAGTGCAATAAAGACTCTCATAGACTATATCTTAGTCTAGTGCAATAAAGATTCTCATAGACTAGGTAAATTATGATATCCATAATAAAAATATTGTACATGAACTGGCAGTAATCACTTACATTGGGCAATGTCTATGTATTCAAAACAAGTTGAACTAGCAATTAAATCACAAATATAAGATTATCTTAACTGAAAACTACCTATCTTTTATGCATGAAGAGTCTCTCTGTCCTAGCCCGTCATTATGCCATGGCTAATATCCTTATCTTGCTCATTCAGACTCTAGATCATGGTGTGTGTAGATGTACAGACAACAAGAGTATGGTTAAAAAAGACTACTGATATCTGAGTTAATAGGATTCATAATGGTAAATCTAGAGATGTTCCAAAGCAAGTTGTCTTGAATAAAAAAAGATGGGTTATTTGATAACCCAATGGGTCAAAAGGAGTGATTTATTAATGGTATTGTAAGAATTGAGTTGGCAATGGGAAATACGATGATTTAGCAATACTGTGTATGTGTTTAGATGTTTGGATGTCTAGATGTTTCAGAAACTAACATGGCAGATTTATGATGAATGAAGATGTTTTATGTATGTGCTGTAATCTATTTCATTTTACCTGAAAAGTTTGATGTGATCAAACAGAGATGTATGTTAGATAGACTTAGCTTACCGGTAACTTCTTTATTTGCAAAAGTTACTTATTTTAAAAAAAACCCAGTAATAACTAACATAATAATTACTTATCTTCAGATGACAGGAAGAGACATAGCCATGAAGGACCTGGATGAATCCCTTAGACAGACCTGTTCAGTCCTTAGTGGAGTACAGGAGAAACATGTCTTATGTCTCCAAGAATTCATCGACTGTGAACCACTTATACTGTGGTTAAAGGAATCGATGCCTTGTAAGTAACCATTATAGTACCTTAACACCGATATTCCACACTGATTGTACTGCAATCAGGAAGTGTTCAAATAAAGATTCTAGATATTAGAAATCCATGATTACAAAGCAAGTGGACCAAATATATACTGCTTACATTTGATTGAATCTTGTGTTAAATCATACATGCAAGATTAATTTTCAGTGATCTCCGATGATTGTTAGTTTGAAAATTCTATTACAGCTGGTTTGAAGGAACTGAAGGTGTTTGTGGATTTAGCCACTATCTCTGCTGGAGAAGGAGATATAGAGATAGCCAAGGTCCAGTGTCTACACTCTGCCACCACAGGATATGCTCCACTGATTTTCAACCTCACTGATGATATAGGCTATCAAGGCTTCCTGGACAAATGTAAATTGGTATGGAATGAGCTGGAAGCTGATCCAAACCTCCACAAGAAGTTGGTATGTATTGTTTATTATTACTTGTATTTGAATTTACATAGAACTGTCTGATTTGGCACTTGTTTTCCTTTCAATCCTAGCTGATTTTTATTCCAAACCCAATATGGATATCATCATTCCAGGTAATATATGTTATATCCTTCGTGAAAATGGTGATCTTTGCTAACTGTATCCCCAGTGAATGGCAAACTAGCAAATTTTGATTATATATTCATCATACTTAACAGTCTGGTCCATGATTTGTCATAATTTATTTCTTTTGTTTGAAGCATGATACCAACAGACAAATTGAGTGGTTGAAGACTGTGAAAAAGGCCCACGGCTCTGTTGAAGTTACCTCCCTTGCACAAACTGAAGCAATAAACTCTGTTGGAATTTATCAAGTGGGGCGATTAACAGACCAGGAATGGGATCAAAAACCTGTAAGTAAAAGTGACTTTTTATTGTTCTTAAAATGGTAGCTGATAAATGATTTTTATGGAGTATTAACTTATCATTGACAAAACAAAAAAAAAAAACAGTACAAAAACCTACATTAGTGTATTTTGAAATTTAAATTTCATTATTTTTGTTTTTTTGGATCTTAGAACATGACTGTTTCCTGTAAGAGCTATAAACTCCTATATATTTGACTTTTTGCTTTAAATATTCTTCCTTCAGAGCATGAACATTTCAAGAAAATAATGCTTTTTAGGTCATCTGAACCCTAAGGGTCAGATGACCCATTGTGATCGCCTTTTGTCCGGTGTCGTCCGGCGTCTTTTGTCCGTCATCTGTCGTAAACATCTTCAACTTCTTCTCAAGTTCTACATGTCTCATTGAGCTGTGACTTACCTGAAATGATCGTGACATGACCAAAGTTTGTTAATTTCGGGTTGGTTCGGAATCCAACATGGCTGCCATGGCCGCCATCTTGAAAACACATTTTGGACTTCTTCTCAAGTTCCATCAGTACGATTGAGCCAAAACTTGCATAAAATGATCATGACTTGGCACTGACCAAAGTTTGTTAATTTCGGGTTGGTCCGAAATCAAACATGGCCACCATGGCTGCCATTTTGAAAATAAACCTGTGACATTGAGCTGAAACTTACCTGAAATGATCATGACATGGTCCTGACAAAAGTTTGTTAATTTCGGGTTGGTCCAAAATCCAAGATGGCCTCCATGGCCACCATCTTGAAAACACATTTACAACTCCTTCTCAAGTTCCACCAGTGCGATTGAGCCAAAACTTGCATAAAATGATCATGACATTGCACTGACCAAAGTTTGTAAATTTCAGGTTGGTCCGAAATCCAACTTGGCCATCATGGCCGCCATTTTGAAAATAAATTGAAAACACATTTTCAACTTCTTCTGAAGTTCTACCTGTGATATTGAGCTGAAACTTACCTGAAATGATCATGACATGGCACTGACCAAAGTTTGTTACTTCAAACATCTTCTGAATAACCAGAACACCCAGGGTGATGATATTTGGCCTGTAGCATGCTGGGATGAAGGTTTACGAAGATTTTTGAAATGAATAACCTTAACCCACTTTCAAGGTGGTGGCTGAGTGCCTTTTATTCTTAAATTCAAGTGAAATCAGTTCAAAATTTGAAATCTTGTATTTTATGTCAGATGACCGTTAAGGCCCATGGGCGTCTTGTTAGTATTTTGTAGCTGAAAGTCTATCATAGTGATCGGAATATTCTGTGTAACTGTGTTCAACTTTGTCACCTGTCTTAGTAGTTTGTATGCCTGTTAACCATGTACTTTTAATCAATGTGCTGTGTAATGAATACTTGTTTTTCCTTTTAAAGGTCAAATTCACAAATGTGTGGTTTTTCATGGGTACCCTTATATTGAACTAAAGAAAGCTAACAGTCCAAAACATGCCATGTCTACTCTATAACTTTGTAACCATTCAATAGAAAGTAGTAGAAAATGTGTCATATACCAAGAGACCTCTGTATTGAACTTTAGAAAGTTTGTTTCATCACTTTGTAACCAGTCATAGTAGAAGGATGAAATTTTGCATGGTTGTCAACCACTTTGAGAGTGTGAGTTGCATACTTAATTTATTTTGCCGTTTAAAGGTCAAGGTCTCAAACTTAAGGCTTCTCATTGTACCCTAAATGATAAACTACAAAAAGCTATGTCTGCTCGTTGATTTTATTCTAAAATGGTGAGGCCCTGTGGCTCTCATCTCTGTATCATTTTATTGTTGAATATTTTTGTAGGAGTTGAAAGATGTGATCAGTCTACATGTGTCTGAAGATGAGAATGGAGCCAGACAGAGGAAACTTTATCACTATGATCAGCTTCATGACTTGCAGAGTCGACTTATGTTAGTAGCTGGCAAGGCAGAGAAGGGCAAGGATGATGTGGATCGCTTTACATTGGTAAATTGTGTGTTCTTCACTGAAGAACAATCTGTGTTTTAATATCAAATTTCAAAATGACTGTAATTTAAGAAAATAAATTCAACTCAAAGTTTTCCATTTTTCTATATCAATTATATATATAACAACAAAACAGAAATAATTTCATTTTTTTGATATCTGACAGAAATCAGCAAAAAGAAAATATCTAAAATCTTGGTCACAGAAGTTTATGTAATATATAATAATGATCCACCAATTTAGAGAAATCCATATATTGTTGTACTCATTTCTCACAATTATGCATCATACAGTATGTTGATATCTTTATTTTTACTTTGTGTGTAATTAGTCAGACAAGTAATGACACAGATATGAATATAACTGGCTGATTCTTTTTTACTCTGTTGTAGATTTTGGATTCAGTTGTTCGCCTTGCCAACACTTACATCAAACTTGTATCATCAGGATGTGTGTTGTTCTCAGAATGGAAAGCAAGATTCTTGTGTGACAAAGATCGAAGGGCTTGCTGTTTTATAAACTTTGGGATGGGAGATAACCGGAATACCTTAAAAGGACGTAAAGCTACAAACAATGATGATGTGAGCTCTATCGTACCACGACTTGCTAAATTCATGGAGAAGTGCTATGAGCAGTGGCTACAGTATATTGCAGATAAGAGAGACGAATACTATGAACTGAACTATCTAACCATTGACCAGATGGTTATCCTGCAGAGAGAACTTGTTAAGGTTGGGACCGAGCAGGAGCCCGATAATCTCATCTTTCCACTGCTGTCAATGATCAAAAAGGACTGTAGTTTGTCCGACCTTATCTCTGCAATGAAGGCTGCACAGAGAGAAGTGGAACATATGGATGAACTTAGAGATGAAGAAATGACAGAAACATCTTCTGAGGGAGAGATGGAAGAGGTTGAGGAGAAAGAAGTCTTCATCCGGGAAGTGATTAAATCAGGCTACCCAGAGAAACTAGCCAAAAAGGCTCTACTTCATTTCAAGCCAGATGAAATAGATGATGGTAAGATCCAACACAAGATATTTCTATTCATTTCTCATTGGGACTTCATGAAGGCAGGCAGGTCTTGTGTTATTCATTTCTCATTGGGACTACATGGAGGAGGGCAGGTCTTGTGTTATTCATTTCTCATTGGGACTACATGGAGGAGGGCAGGTCTTGTGCTATTCATTTCTCATTGGGACTACATGAAGGCAGGCAGGTCTTGTGTTATTCATTTCTCATTGGGACTACATGGAGGAGGGCAGGTCTTGTGCTATTCATTTCTCATTGGGACTACATGGAGGAGGACAGGTCTTGTGTTATTCATTTCTCATTGGGACTACATGGAGGAGGGCAGGTCTTGTGTTATTCATTTCTCATTGGGACTACATGAAGGCGGGCAGGTCTTGTGTTATTCATTTCTCATTGGGACTACATTAAGGAGGGCAGGTCTTGTGTTATTTATTTCTCATTGGGACTACATGAAGGCGGGCAGGTCTTGTGTTATTCATTTCTCATTGGGACTACATGAAGGCGGGCAGGTCTTGTATTATTCATTTCTCATTGGGACTACATTAAGAAGGGCAGGTCTTGTGTTATTCATTTCTCATTGGGACTACATGGAGGAGGGCAGGTCTTGTGTTATTCATTTCTCATTGGGACTACATGGAGGCGGGCAGGTCTTGTGTTATTCATTTCTCATTGGGACTACATGAAGGCGGGCAGGTCTTGTGTTATTCATTTCTCACTGGGACTACATGGAGGAAGGCAGGTCTTGTGTTATTTATTATAAAACAGTAACACTAAAATGCCAGCATCAAAGTGGCTATAGAGGTTGCAAAACAGTCAAAACATATTGACCATCCTTACAGTTGACCATAGAGGTTGCAAAACAGTCTAAACATATTGACCATCCTCACAGTTATCCATAGAGGTTACAAAACAGCCTAAACATATTGACCATCCTCACATGTATCCATAGAGGTTCCAAAACAGTCTAAACATATTGACCATCCTTACAGTTTACCATAGAGGTTACAAAGCAGTCTAAACATATTGACCATCCTCACATGTATCCATAGAGGTTACAAAACAGTCTAAACATATTGACCATCCTTACAGTTATCCATAGAGGTTACAAAACAGTCTTAACATATTGACCATCCTTACAGTTATCCATAGAGGTTACAAAACAGTCTTAACATATTGACCATGGTCACATTTATCCAAAGAGGTTATAAAACAGTCTAAACATATTGACCATGGTCACATATATCCATAGAGGTTATAAAACAGTCTAAACATATCGACCATGGTCACATATATCCATAGAGGTTATAAAACAGTCTAATCATATTGACCATGGTCACATATATCCATAGAGGTTACAAAACAGTCTAAACATATTGACCATCCTTACAGTTATCCATAGAGGTTACATAACAGTCTTAACATATTGACCATCATTGCATGTATCCATAGTGGTTACAAAACAGTCTTAACATATTGACCATGATCACATGTATCCATAGAGGTTACAAAACAGTCTAAACATATTGACCATGGTCACATGTATCCATAGAGGTTACAAAACAGTCTAAACATATTGACCATCCTTGCATGTATCCATAGAGGTTACAAAGCAGTCTTAACATATTGACCATCCTTGCATGTATCCATAGAGAATAAATTTATCATTCTCTGTCCTATGCATACAAATAATCAATTTTCTTTATCTGTTCAACACTCTTTAAAATTCTGTTGGCTAGCTAGATAGTTGACATGTTCCATAATGCACCAAGTGCTAATACATATTGTAAAGTCATTTTTATGATGAGACAAGGGCTTGTCCACATGATGACATTAGTCATCGTCAAAGCAACAGAAAGATTATCACTTCAGAATAAACTTAAAAAGAATTTCATCAGTCATATCACAGGATAATTATCACCCTTATCTTGAAGGAATTTGAATATTCATAAGTACTCAGATAGAAATTTGAGCATAATAGTGGTTATTACCCACTGGAAATAACTTTGTAAGAATTATGAGTGAAGGATGACAGTCTTAATGATATGCATATATTGACACTAGCTTACTATACTCAGTGTTACAATTTCTTTTTCATGACACTAGATAACTATCTTTTAACTTTCAGATTCAATATTGCTTATCTCAGGTGGCCGTCAAGGCCACAAGGCCCTTGTTATGTTTACTTACAATGTTCTTTTTTCAGCTGTAGTGTGGTGTATGGACCATGATGATGAGTCCGACACTGAGGAAGCCATGGATGTGACAGAGAATAGAAATAATGAACAGCCTGAACTGCCGTCTGAGGAATTTAAGGGCTGGACAAACACACCTGTGTCTATCTCAACCGTCACTTCAGAACTTCTAGCTACTTTGGAGCACATCAATGAGTAAGTTTTTTGTAGTTGTTAACTGGATAATTGATATCTTCCTAATAACCATTATCAACTTGTTTTAAAGAATTCTTTCACAAGGATTTGTATTTTTCATAATAAGTTGATGAGCTCAAGGGGGAGGTGTAAAAAAGTAGGTAATATAACCATACTGCTGCTTATTCCTTGACACATGATAGATATGAATCCTAATGATATTAACCAAATTTCAAATTAAAATCAGATTTAAAGTTTATATAGATAGAAGGACATACCTCAAGATTTAAAGTTTGTATAGATAGAAGGACATACCTCAAGATTTAAAGTTTGTATAGATAGAAGGACATACCTCAAGATTTAAAGTTTGTATAGATAGAAGGACATACCTCAAGATTTAAAGTTTGTATAGACAGAAGGACATACCTCAAGATTTAAAGTTTGTATAGACAGAAGGACATACCTCAAGATTTAAAGTTTGTATAGACAGAAGGACATACCTCAAGATTTAAAGTTTGTATAGACAGAAGGACATACCTCAAGATTTAAAGTTTGTATAGATTAAAGTTTGTATAGACAGAAGGACATACCTCAAGATTTAAAGTTTGTATAGATAGAAGGACATACCTCAAGATTTAAAGTTTGTATAGACAGAAGGACATACCTCAAGATTTAAAGTTTGTATAGATAGAAGGACATACCTCAAGATATAAGTTTGTATAGATAGAAGGACATACCTCAAGATTTAAAGTTTGTATAGACAGAAGGACATACCTCAAGATTTAAAGTTTGTATAGACAGAAGGACATACCTCAAGATTTAAAGTTTGTATAGATAGAAGGACATACCTCAAGATTTAAAGTTTGTATAGATAGAAGGACATACCTCAAGATTTAAAGTTTGTATAGACAGAAGGACATACCTCAAGATATAAGTTTGTATAGACAGAAGGACATACCTCAAGATTTAAAGTTTGTATAGACAGAAGGACATACCTCAAGATTTAAAGTTTGTATAGATAGAAGGACATACCTCAAGATTTAAAGTTTGTATAGATAGAAGGACATACCTCAGGATTTAAAGTTTGTATAGACAGAAGGACATACCTCAAGATTTAAAGTTTGTATAGACAGAAGGACATACCTCAGGATTTAAGATTTGTATAGATAGAAGGACATACCTCAAGATTTAAGGTTTGTATAGACAGAAGGACATACCTCAAGATTTAAAGTTTGTATAGATAGAAGGATATTCCTCAAGATTTAAAGTTTGTATAGACGAAAGGACATACCTCAGGATTCAAAGTTTGTATAGATAGAAGGACATACCTCAGGATTTAAGATTTGTATAGATAGAAGGACATACCTCAAGATTTAAGGTTTGTATAGACAGAAGGACATACCTCAAGATTTAAAGTTTGTATAGATAGAAGGATATTCCTCAAGATTTAAAGTTTGTATAGACGAAAGGACATACCTCAGGATTCAAAGTTTGTATAGATAGAAGGACATACCTCAGGATTTAAGATTTGTATAGATAGAAGGACATACCTCAAGATTTAAGGTTTGTATAGACAGAAGGACATACCTCAAGATTTAAAGTTTATATAGACAGAAGGACATACCTCAAGACTTAAAGTTTGTATAGATAGAAGGATATTCCTCAAGATTTAAAGTTTGTATAGACAGAAGGACATACCTCAAGATTTAAAGTTTGTACAGATAGAAGGACATACCTCAAGATATAAGTTTGTATAAAGTTTGTATAGATAGGATACCTTAGATTTAAAGTTTGTATAGACAGAAGGACATACCTCAAGATTTAAAGTTTGTATAGACAGAAGGACATACCTCAGGATTCAAAGTTTGTATAGATAGAAGGACATACCTCAGGATTTAAGATTTGTATAGATAGAAGGACATACCTCAAGATTTAAGGTTTGTATAGACAGAAGGACATACCTCAAGATTTAAAGTTTGTATAAATAGAAGGATATTCCTCAAGATTTAAAGTTTGTATAGACAGAAGGACATACCTCAAGATTTAAAGTTTGTATAGATAGAAGGACATACCTCAAGATTTAAAGTTTGTATAGACAGAAGGACATACCTCAAGATTTAAAGTTTGTATAGATAGAAGGACATACCTCAAGATTTAAAGTTTGTATAGACAGAAGGACATACCTCAAGATTTAAAGTTTGTATAGACAGAAGGACATACCTCAAGATTTAAAGTTTGTATAGATAGAAGGACATACCTCAAGATTTAAAGTTTGTATAGACAGAAGGACATACCTCAAGACTTTAAGTTTGTATAGATGGAAGGACATACCTCAAGATTTAAAGTTTGTATAGACAGAAGGACATACCTCAAGACTTAAAGTTTGTATAGATGGAAGGACATACCTCAAGATTTAAAGTTTGTATAGACAGAAGGACATACCTCAAGACTTTAAGTTTGTATAGATGGAAGGACATACCTCAAGACTTAAAGTTTGTATAGACAGAAGGACATACCTCAAGATTTAAAGTTTGTATAGATGGAAGGACATACCTCAAGATTTAAAGTTTGTATAGACAGAAGGACATACCTCAAGAAGACAGAAAAGCCCAGATGGCAAATCATTATCACTATAAACACCTTCTTCTTTCAAACTATCCAATAGATATCAACTGTTTTAGGGTGAAAGAATCAGAAAAAATGACTGACATCCAATGGCCTGAAGTCCAAAAGGAGTAAATTACTAAATTGCTGAAGAGGCTATGTACACTTTGGAGTTTGTGCTTTGGCTATATTTGCTCATTATTCCAAACTAGAGTGTCAGCCTTCTAAACAAGGTTAGACAGGCATAGCAGTATCAGCAGATTGCTATTTCAAGATCAAAGACTCTCACTTTCTTTTGAAGAAGGTTGATGCTGAAATGAAGTGAAGAGAGATTTGTGGGAAAAAAATTCCTGTGCACCTTCAAGCTGTTTTCTGATTAAATGATAATTTGTGGTATAAAGAATATTTGTATTGGTACATTTCAGAGAAGTGCGAGTAGACCCACTCATCAAAGACCTTGAGAAGCTATGGGAAAGATTTCTCACTTCTATTTCCTCAAGTGTGTCCGACTATCTCAGTGTAGAGCACCTTGGACTGGTCCTCAGATGTCTTGCAAGCAAAGGTTTTTAATGCTCCTGAGTGTCTTTGGTTTTCCTTGTTTAGAAAAGTGTTGAATCTAAAATGGATAACAATTTTTTTAAACCAATTTATTGCTACCAAATATAGCATAAACATCTCAGTTGTTAAGATCTTGAAAGATAAAAGAAATTGAGTCAAAGCTTTGAATTTTTGTGATCCTTCTGGTTGGATAAAGATTTTGACTAAATTTGGTTTCGTGTATCCTTGAAAAAGGGATTTATGAATAGAGGGTCCATTAGGTCCCGGCTAGTGTATTTCCTTTGTCAAAACGAACTCGGATTTGATTGGGTCCAATTGCGTAAATAGAGGGAAATCATAATTTTTTTTCTTTTCTGATAAAGATGAAAAAAATTTGAAAAATAATGAAAACATAGAATGCAACATAGTATTATGTAATTATCTTCTAGACCTACATAAGCGAGTCATACACTTTTTTTTAACTCATTTGATTTTGGTTTTGATAAAAGAGTCTATCTATATTTCAGAAACTTTTGCTGTAAGAAGACACCTTATCCAAAGTTTTAAGGAGGGTGTACCAAATTTGATCATTTGTCCGCAAAGTAAGTATTGCATAAAGACGCATGACGTCCGCAGTTTATTTAGTACAAGTAAAGATTTATAGCATTTTTTTTTTGATTGCCTTGTCCAAGGGTGTGTTCATCACTTATAGCATTACTTTTTATATTGGCTTGTCCAAGGATGTGTTCATCACTTATAGCATTACTTTTTATATTGCCTTGTCCAAGGGTGTGTTCATCACTTATAGCATTACTTTTTATATTGCCTTGTCCAAGGATGTGTTCATCACTTATAGCATTACTTTTTATATTGCCTTGTCCAAGGGTGTGTTCATCACTTATAGCATTACTTTTTATATTGGCTTGTCCAAGGATGTGTTCATCACTTATAGTATTACTTTTTATATTGCCTTGTCCAAGGATGTGTTCATCACTTATAGCATTACTTTTTATATTGCCTTGTCCAAGGATGTGTTCATCACTTATAGTATTACTTTTTATATTGCCTTGTCCAAGGGTGTGTTCATCACTTATAGTATTACTTTTTATATTGCCTTGTCCAAGGATGTGTTCATCACTTATAGCATTACTTTTTATATTGGCTTGTCCAAGGATGTGTTCATCACTTATAGCATTACTTTTTATATTGCCTTGTCCAAGGGTGTGTTCATCACTTATAGTATTACTTTTTATATTGCCTTGTCCAAGGATGTGTTCATCACTTATAGCATTACTTTTTATATTGCCTTGTCCAAGGGTGTGTTCATCACTTATAGTATTACTTTTTATATTGCCTTGTCCAAGGATGTGTTCATCACTTACAGCATTACTTTTTATATTGCCTTGTCCAAGGGTGTGTTCATCACTTATAGCATTACTTTTTATATTGCCTTGTCCAAGGATGTGTTCATCACTTATAGCATTACTTTTTATATTGCCTTGTCCAAGGATGTGTTCATCACTTATAGCATTACTTTTTATATTGCCTTGTCCAAGGATGTGTGATGAACTGATTAGCTTGTTATAAGTTATGTTTTTTATAAAGTAATACATTATGTACAATTATATACTTAACTGGGATGTATTAGTGTTAGAATTCCCATATTTATATGATCACTGAAAATATTTGGGGAAGCATACAGTCGCTGTTTTGTCCATCCATCCAACCTTTTGTGTCTATAGATAAGTTTACCCAAAGTTAAGCAAGGATCATGAAACTTAGTGTATGTATTGGTCATATATTATGGCAATGTGCAGTGTTCCAAATTTAAGGTCATGCATGACCCTTCTATAACAGAGTTAGTGCCCTTTGATACAATTTTGTGTCTGGAGGATAACTTTGCTTGCATTTGAATTAGGATGATAAAACTTTGTGTATATACTGATCATATTAAGATGATGTGCAGTGTACCAAAGTCAGAGCCCAAAAACCTCTTAATTATAGAGTTAGTGCCTTTAGTTGAAATTTTGTGTCCAGAGCACAACATTAAATTGCTTGCAATTAAACTAGGATTATGAAACTTGGTGTTTACTTTGGTCATACTAAGAGAATTTGCAGTGTGCCAAATTCAGGACCTGCCACCCCTTAATTACAGAGTTAGTGCCCTTTGTATGGTTGATGTTGTTAGATATGAAAGGTGAATCCCTCTGTCTCAACCCGTGGGTGAGACAAGGAAATTTCATACTGATGAAAGTCATGACTCCCACTTCAGGGTGGGAGTAAAACAGGGTATTGTGCGAGTTAAAACCCATTGATCAGTTTTGATGTCACAGTTTTTTCCCTGTGATGGAAGGCTCTAGACTTCTGGCAATGATTTGTCTTATTGTTTATTTAAATTTTAAAATATCAGTCAACATCCATTTGGTGTAATATTTCAGATGATATTCTCAACACAGTGCTGACCATTTATATGAACGATAGACAGGAACCATTGCCACAGCCTGATGAAGTCCTTGTTTGCTCCAGTCATACAACACTGGACCAGGTAATTACACCCTGACCACAATCTGATATAGTTCTTATATAACACTAGACCAGGTAATTACACCCTTACCACAATTTAATTTAGTCCTACAACAACACTAGACCAGATAATTACACCCTTACCACAATTTGATTTAGTCCTACAACAACACTAGACCAGGTAATTACACCCTTACCACAATTTGATTTAGTCCTACAACAACACTAGACCAGGTAATTACACCCTTACCACAATTTGATTTAGTCCTACAACAACACTAGACCAGGTAATTACACCCTTACCACAATTTGATTTAGTCCTACAACAACACTAGACCAGGTAATTATACCCTTACCACAATTTGATTTAGTCCTACAACAACACTAGACCAGGTAATTACACCCTTACCACAATTTGATTTAGTCCTACAACAACACTAGACCAGGTAATTACACCCTTACCACAATTTGATTTAGGCCCACAACAACACTAGACCAGGTGATTACACCCTTACCACAATTTGATTTAGTCCTACAACAACACTAGACCAGGTGATTACACCCTTACCACAATTTGATTTAGTCCTACAACAACACTAGACCAGGTAATTACACCCTTACCACAATTTGATTTAGTCCTACAACAACACTAGACCAGGTAATTATACCCTTACCACAATTTGATTTAGTCCTACAACAACACTAGACCAGGTAATTATACCCTTACCACAATTTGATTTAGTCCTACAACAACACTAGACCAGGTAATTATACCCTTACCACAATTTGATTTAGTCCTACAACAACACTAGACCAGGTAATTACCCCTTACCACAATTTGATTTAGTAACAACACTAGACCAGGTAATTACACCCTTACCACAATTTGATTTAGTCCTACAACAACACTAGACCAGGTAATTATACCCTTACCACAATTTGATTTAGTCCTACAACAACACTAGACCAGGTAATTACACCCTTACCACAATTTGATTTAGTCCTACAACAACACTAGACCAGGTAATTACACCCTTACCACAATTTGATTTAGTCCTACAACAACACTAGACCAGGTAATTACACCCTTACCACAATTTGATTTAGTCCTACAACAACACTAGACCAGGTAATTATACCCTTACCACAATTTGATTTAGTCCTACAACAACACTAGACCAGGTAATTATACCCTTACCACAATTTGATTTAGTCCTACAACAACACTAGACCAGGTAATTACACCCTTACCACAATTTGATTTAGTCCTACAACAACACTAGACCAGGTAATTACACCCTTACCACAATTTGATTTAGTCCTACAACAACACTAGACCAGGTAATTATACCCTTACCACAATTTGATTTAGTCCTACAACAACACTAGACCAGGTAATTACACCCTTACCACAATTTGATTTAGTCCTACAACAACACTAGACCAGGTAATTACACCCTTACCACAATATGATTTAGTCCTACAACAACACTAGACCAGGTAATTACACCCTTACCACAATATGATTTAGTCCTACAACAACACTAGACCAGGTAATTACACCCTTACCACAATTTGATTTAGTCCTACAACAACACTAGACCAGGTAATTATACCCTTACCACAATTTGATTTAGTCCTACAACAACACTAGACCAGGTAATTACACCCTTACCACAATTTGATTTAGTCCTACAACAACACTAGACCAGGTAATTACACCCTTACCACAATTTGATTTAGTCCTACAACAACACTAGACCAGGTAATTACACCCTTACCACAATTTGATTTAGTCCTACAACAACACTAGACCAGGTAATTACACCCTTACCACAATTTGATTTAGTCCTACAACAACACTAGACCAGGTAATTACACCCTTACCACAATTTGATTTAGTCCTACAACAATACTCATGAAAATTATTAAAATCAAAATCCTTCTACCGTAGTCAACTTTATAGACATTGATAGAATTTTGGCAAATGTACGGATGGATTTTTGTCAGATATTTATATAAAGATATATAGAAATGTGGATGAGAACTAAGATAAATGTTTCTGTGAATTGTAAGTTCTTTCATTATGTACTTTAAGTTGGATATATTCTGGAGACGTGCTGTTTTCAACCAGAGTGATCAAATCTACTGTCTTGCTAATTCTGACCTTCTGGACTACGAGGTCAGTGACAAAGGGGAACAATGTCTGGAAAAACACATGCAAAGAGCAAAAGACAAGGGTAAGGATAAATTCTTCCATCTTTTTTCAATGTACAAAATGTTTGTGTTCTGTAGAAATGTTTGTCATTTTTGTGGCTATGAATTAACCAAGAAAATAAGAAAGAAGGAATTAACTTCCTTTGAAATTAGTATATGCATACTTATGTAACATCCAGGAAAGATTTTCACCCCCGAAAGGATACCTGATCAGGCTTGAACCACATTTTAAAGAAACTACACACAAACTTTTGATGTTACACAATATCTCTAGATATATTGATTAAAATGAATTGATTGTTATGATAAATTTTTCAGAAGTTTTTATTGCTCGACATTTTCTGAACTGTAATCAGAACCAATTATTAGTGGATATAGAGGGTCTATTTGTACAACAGAGGTCAGATCTGGGAATCATTATCAGTGGATTTAGAGGGTCTATTTGTACAACAGAGGTCAGATCTGAGAATCATTATTAATGGATATAGAGGGTCTATTTGTACAACAGAGGTCAGATCTGGGAATCATTGTTAATGGATATAGAGGGTCTATTTGTACAACAGAGGTCAGATCTGGGAATCATTATTAATGGATTTAGAGGGTCTATTTGTACAACAGAGGTCAGATCTGGGAATCATTGTTAATGGATATAGAGGGTCTATTTGTACAACAGAGGTCAGATCTGAGAATCATTATTAGTGGATATAGAGGGTCTATTTGTACAACAGAGGTCAGATCTGGGAATCATTATTAATGTTGATTTAGAGGGTCTATTTGTACAACAGAGGTCAGATCTGGGAATCATTGTTAATGGATATAGAGGGTCTATTTGTACAACAGAGGTCAGATCTGGGAATCATTGTTAATGGATATAGAGGGTCTATTTGTACAACAGAGGTCAGATCTGGGAATCATTGTTAATGGATATAGAGGGTCTATTTGTACAACAGAGGTCAGATCTGAGAATCATTATTAGTGGATATAGAGGGTCTATTTGTACAACAGAGGTCAGATCTGAGAATCATTATTAGTGGATATAGAGGGTCTATTTGTACAACAGAGGTCAGATCTGAGAATCATTATTAGTGGATATAGAGGGTCTATTTGTACAACAGAGGTCAGATCTGAGAATCATTATTAATGGATATAGAGGGTCTATTTGTACAACAGAGGTCAGATCTGGGAATCATTATTAGTGGATATAGAGGGTCTATTTGTACAACAGAGGTCAGATCTGAGAATCATTATTAATTTCTGAGGATATTTTTTAAGTCCTGTTGACAGGCAATGGTCATTTGTCTGATGAAGGTGACAGAGTAGTCATCAATACATCACCTAAAATACAAGATATATGAAAATCTGTTTTTAAATGTACAAATGTATGATATTCCTTTGAATTGTGAAGTAATTGTGCCTTAATATATTTGAATTATTTTCATTTTGTTCCAAACTTAATTCAGTTGAATAAGACTATAGAATATACATAGGAATTTCTACTACAATGTAAATAGTAACCATTACAGAGGTATTCTGTTATTTATTGAGTAATAATGCGATATCATGTGACATTGGAGAGCCATTCTTCCAGTGATATTATCTCCTTTGATCTCCATATGTAGGTCCTGTGTAGTATAGTACCCTACAGGTATAAAGTACAGACTGGTGGTCCTTTGTAGTACAGAACCCTATATCCTACAGGTATAAAGTACAGACTGGTAATCCTGTGTAGTATAGTACCCTACAGGTATAAAGTGCAGACTGGTGGTCCTGTGTAGTATAGTACCCTACAGGTATAAAGTACAGACTGGTAGTCCTGTGTAGTACAGTACCCTATATCCTACAGGTATAAAGTACAGACTGGTAGTCCTGTGAAGTACTGTATCCTATATCCTACAGGTATAAAGTACAGACTGGTAGTCCTGTGTAGTACAGTACCCTACAGGTATAAAGTACAGACTTGTGGTCCTGTGTAGTATAGTACCCTACAGGTATAAAGTACAGACTGGTGGTTCTGTGTAGTACAGTACCCTACAGGTATAAAGTACAGACTGGTGGTCCTGTGTAGTACAGTAGCCTACAGGTATAAAGTACAGACTGGTGGTCCTGTGTACTACAGTACCCTACAGGTATAAAGTACAGACTGGTAGTCCTGTGTAGTACAGTACCCTACAGGTATAAAGTACAGACTGGTGGTCCTGTGTACTACAGTACCCTACAGGTATAAAGTACAGACTGGTAGTCCTGTGTAGTACAGTATCCTATATCCTACAGGTATAAAGTACAGACTGGTAGTCCTGTGTAGTACAGTTCCCTACAGGTATAAAGTACAGACTGGTAGTCCTGTGTAGTATAGTACCCTACAGGTATAAAGTACAGACTGGTAGTCCTGTGTAGTATAGTACCCTACAGGTATAAAGTACAGACTGGTAGTCCTGTGTAGTATAGTACCCTACAGGTATAAAGTACAGACTGGTGGTCCTGTGTAGTATAGTACCCTACAGGTATAAAGTACAGACTGGTAGTCCTGTGTAGTACAGTACCCTATATCCTACAGGTATAAAGTACAAGCTGGTAGTCCTGTGTAGCACAGAAAATGAATACAAGTCCAGGATTGTTGCCGCACTGGAGAGATTTCGCAGACCACAACTTCCTGTAGCCAACCAGCAATTGATCAAAAGATACCTACAAGAGAAATTGAAAGTAGATAAAACTCACCTGAAAACTAATCCAGCATCTTTTGTGGATTTTGGACGGTAAGCATCTTCAGTGATTTTTGATAATGACCAATGAAGAATAACAGTAGTATAACAAGAAGTTGTTGTTCATCTGGCTTTGTAGTCTATTTTTTTTTTTACATTTTTCACAATGATCAAGAGGTCTTGAGTTCTTGTAGTAATAGAGCCATTAGAATGTTTTGATGATCTGCTCTCAAAGTTTGTTGAAAAGCTGACCTTGACCTTCTTTCTAGATCCCGCCTGAAGTAAGATTTGTTCAAATCTCTGAACAACTTCTTCTGAAAAATGCAAGAATCCAAGGATCAAGATATCTGTTTATGTATTTATGGCAAGAAGATTGTACAAAGGACAAACAAAATGAAAAATGCATTTTCTTTTAATTTGCAATTTGAGACCGGTTTTTCAATCATGTCATCATTTAGTTACCACTTACATGAAAGAAACAAATTTGTCTTATTGTCTCCTGAAGTTCAACGGTACGAGTGGTTAAGTCCTGGAGAGCTGGGGTAGGTAAATCCTTGTACAAGACAAGGAAAGCAGCAGACCTGAAGGAACTGTATCCAACCAGTAAAAGGACAACTGGAGCAGTAGTATCTATTCCCCTCCATGAGAAGGAGATTGATGTGGATACAATCATGGCCAGATTACTAGAGTGTACACTGTCAGTGGGACAAGTAGAACCAAGAATCTTCCACATTGACATTTCATATGAGGTGAGTAGCAACACCTTATTTAATAATAGAAATTACATTTTAAAAGACTATTTTTAGAGAGTGGAAGCTTCAGTAACCTTTTTTCTCTACCTTTTTAGTAAATGCTGTTGTGATGTATTGCAGGTGTATATAGGTGTGGATGCCTTTTTGTTCCAATTGCTGGTCCTGGGCTGTCTCATTAACAGTGCTGGCTATGTGTGGATCAAGTCGCCTTGTGACCACTATCTGGTGGAAGCCATGCCTCTTCTCACCACAGATAATTCTAAACAGGTATTATCTTCATTTAGGTATCACTTCTTCTCATCAGACAAAGTGAGTGTTTTCCACAAGTATGTACTGTATACACCAATATGTACACCAATATGTACTGTATACACCAGTATGTACTGTATACACCAATATGTACTATATACACCAATATGTACTATAGACACCAATATATACACCAATATGTACTATATACACCAATATGTACTGTATACACCAGTATGTACTATATACACCAATATGTACTATAAACACAGATATATACACCAATATGTACTGTAGACACCAATATGTACTATATACACCAATATATACACCAATATGTACTATATACACCAATATGTACTGTATACACCAATATATACACCAATATGTACTATATACACCAATATGTACTATATACACCAATGTATACACTAATATGTACTATATACACCAATATGTACTGTATACACCAATATATACACTAATATGTACACACCAATATGTACTGTATACACCAGTATGTACTATATACACCAATATGTACTATAAACACAGATATATACACCAATATGTACTGTAGACACCAATATGTACTATATACACCAATATGTACTGTATACACCAGTATGTACTATATACACCAATATGTACTATAAACACAGATATATACACCAATATGTACTGTAGACACCAATATGTACTATATACACCAATATATACACCAATATGTACTATATACACCAATATGTACTGTATACACCAATATGTACTATATACACCAATGTATACACTAATATGTACTATATACACCAATATGTACTGTATACACCAATATATACACTAATATGTACTATATACACCAATATGTACTATATACACCAATATGTACTGTATACACCAATATGTATACACCAATATATACACTAATATGTACTATATGCACCAATATGTACTATATACAACAATGTATACACTAATATGTACTATATACACCAATATGTACTGTATACACCAATATGTACTGTATACACCAATATATACACCAATATGTACTGTATACACCAATATGTACTGTATACACCAATATGTACTGTATACACCAATATGTACTGTATACACCAATATATACACTAATATGTACTATATACACCAATATGTACTGTATACACCAATATGTACTGTATACACCAATATATACACCAATATGTACTGTATACACCAATATGTACTGTATACACCAATATGTACACCAATATGTACTGTATACACCAATATGTACACCAATATGTACTGTATACACCAATATGTACTGTATACACCAATATGTACTGTATACACCAATATGTACTGTATACACCAATACTGTTTACACCAATATGTACTGTATACACCAGTATGTACTGTATACACCAATATGTACACCAATATGTACTGTATACACCAATATGTACACCAATATGTACTGTATACACCAATATGTACTGTATACACCAATATGTACTGTATACACCAATATGTACACCAATATGTACTGTATACACCAATATGTACTGTATACACCAATATATACACCAATATGTACTGTATACACCAATATGTACTGTATACACCAATACTGTTTACACCAATATGTACTGTATACACCAATATGTACTGTATACACCAATACTGTTTACACCAATATGTACTGCATACACCAGTATGTACTGTATACACTAATATGTACTGTATACACCAATATGTACTGTATACACCAATATATACACCAATATGTACTATATACACCAATATGTACACCAATATGTACTGTATACACCAATATGTACTGTATACACCAATATGTACACCAATATGTACACCAATATACACCAATATGTACATACACCAATATGTACACACAATATGTACTGTATACACCAATATGTATGTATACACCAATATGTACTGTATACACCAATATGTACTGTATACACCAGTATGTACTGTATACACCAATATGTACTATATGCACCAATATGTACTATATACACCAATATATACACCAATATGTACTGTATACACCAATATATACACCAATATGTACTGTATACACCAATATGTACTGTATACACCAATATGTACACCAATATGTACTGTATACACCAATATATACACCAATATGTACTGTATACACCAATATGTACTGTATACACCAATATGTACTATACACCAATATATACTATGTACTGTATACACCAATATGTATATACACCAATATGTACTGTATACACCAATATATACACCAATATGTACTGTATACACCAATATGTACTGTATACACCAATATGTACTGTATACACCAATATGTACTGTATACACCAATATGTACTGTATACACCAATATATACACCAATATGTACTATATACACCAATATAAACACCAATATGTACTGTATACACCAATATGTATACTATGTACTATATACACCAATATATACACCAATATACTGTATACACCAATATGTACTTTATACACCAATATGTACTATATACACCAATATATACACCAATATGTACTGTATACACCAATATGTACTGTATACACCAATATGTACTGTATACACCAATATGTACTGTATACACCAATATGTACACCAATATGTACTGTATACACCAATATGTACTGTATACACCAATATGTACTATATACACCAATATGTACACCAATATGTACTGTATACACCAATATGTACTGTATACACCAATATATACACCAATATGTACTGTATACACCAATATATACACTAATATGTACTATATACACCAATATGTACTATATACACCAATATATACACCAATATGTACTATATACACCAATATATACACCAATATGTACTATATACACCAATATGTACTATATACACCAATATATACACCAATATGTACTATATACACCAATATATACACCAATATGTACTGTATACACCAATATATACACTAATATGTACTATATGCACCAATATGTACTATATACACCAATATATACACCAATATGTACTATATACACCAATATGTACTATATACACCAATGTATACACCAATATGTACTATATACACCAATATGTACTATATACACCAATATATACACCAATATGTACTATATACACCAATATGTACTATATACACCAATATATACACCAATATGTACTATATATGTACACCAATATGTACTATATACACCAATATGTACTATATACACCAATATGTATATACACCAATATGTACTATATACACCAATATATACACCAATATGTATATACACCAATATGTACTATATACACCAATATGTACTGTATACACCAATATATACACCAATATGTACTATATACACCAATATGTACTGTATACACCAATATATACACCAATATGTACTGTATACACCAATATATACACCAATATGTACTATATACACCAATATATACACCAATATGTACTGTATACACCAATATATACACCAATATGTACTGTATACACCAATATGTACTGTATACACCAATATATACACCAATATGTACTGTATACACCAATATGTATACACCAATATGTACACCAATATATACACCAATATGTACTGTATATACACCAATATACTGTATACACCAATATGTACTGTATACACCAATATGTACTGTATTCACCAATATATGTACTATATACACCAATATATACACCAATATGTACTATATACACCAATATGTACTGTATACACCAATATGTACTGTATACACCAATATATACACCAATATGTACTATATACACCAATATGTACACCAATATGTACTGTATACACCAATATGTACTGTATACACTAATATGTACTGTATACACCAATATATACTGTATACACCAATATGTACTGTATACACCAATACTGTTTACACCAATATGTACTGTATACACCAGTATGTACTGTATACACCAATATGTACACCAATATGTACTGTATACACCAATATGTACTATATACACCAATATATACACCAATATGTATACACCAGTATGTACTGTATACACCAATATGTACACCAATATGTACTGTATACACCAATATATACACCAATATGTACTGTATACACCAATATGTACTGTATACACCAATATGTACTGTATACACCAATATGTACACCAATATGTATGTACACCAATATGTACTGTATACACCAATATGTACACCAATATGTACTACACCAATATGTACTATGTATACCAATATGTACTGTATACACCAATATGTACTATATACACCAATATATACACCAATATGTACTGTATACACCAATATATACACCAATATATATACACCAATATGTACTGTATACACCATATGTATATACATATATACACCAATATGTATACTATATACACCAATATGTACTATATACACCAATATGTACTATATACACCAATATATACACCAATATGTACTGTATACACCAATATGTACTATATACACCAATATGTACTGTATACACCAATATATACACCAATATGTACTATATACACCAATATGTACTATATACACCAATGTATACACCAATATGTACTATATACACCAATATATACACCAATATGTACTGTATACACCAATATGTACTATATACACCAATATGTACACCAATATGTACTGTATACACCAATATGTACTATGTACTATATACACCAATATGTACTATAGACACCAATATATACACCAATATGTACTGTATACTCCAATATGTACTGTATACACCAATATGTACACCAATATATACACCAATATGTACACCAATATATACACCAATATGTACTGTATACACCAATATATACACCAATATGTATATACACCAATATGTACTGTATACACCAATATGTACACACCAATATGTACTGTATACACCAATATACACCAATATGTACTGTATACACCAATATGTACTGTATACACCAATATGTACTGTATACACCAATATATACACCAATATGTACTGTATACACCAATATGTACACCAATATGTACTGTATACACCAATATGTACTGTATACACCAATATGTACTGTATACACCAATATATACACCAATATGTACTATACCAATATGTACTGTATACACCAATATGTACTATATACACCAATATGTACTGTACTGTATACACCAATATATACACCAATATGTACTGTATACACCAATATGTACTGTATACACCAATATGTACTGTATACACCAATATATACACCAATATGTACTGTATACACCAATATGTACTGTATACACCAATATGTACTGTATACACCAATATATACTGTACTATATACACCAATATGTACACCAATATACACTACACCAATATATATATACACCAATATGTATACACCAATATGTACACCAATATGTACTATATACACCAATATACACCAATATGTACTATGTACACCAATACCAATATATACACCAATATGTACTGTATACACCAATATGTACTATATACACCAATATATACACCAATATGTATATACACCAATATATACATACACAATATGTACTATACACCAATATGTACTGTATACACCAATATATACACCAATATGTACTATGTATACACCAATATATACTGTATACACCAATATGTACTATATACACCAATATGTACTATATACACCAATATATACACCAATATGTACTGTATACACCAATATGTACTATATACACCAATATGTACTATATACACCAATATATACTATATACACCAATGTACTATATACACCAATATGTACTATATACACCAATATATACACCAATATGTACTATATACACCAATATGTACTGTATACACCAATATGTACTGTATACACCAATATGTACTATATACACCAATATATACACCAATATGTACTATATGCACCAATATGTACTATATACACCAATATATACACAATATGTACTGTATACCAATATGTACTATATACACCAATATACTATATACACCAATATGTATATACACCAATATGTATATACACCAATATATACACCAATATGTACTATACACCAATATGTACTGTATACACCAATATATACACCAATATGTACTGTATACACCAATATGTATGTATACACCAATATGTACTGTATGTACATACACCAATATGTACTATATACACCAATACTATATACACCAATATGTACTATACACCAATATGTACTATGTATACACCAATATATACACCAATATGTACTATATACACCAATATGTATGTATACACCAATATACACCAATATGTATATACACCAATACACCAATATATATATACACCAATATGTACTGTATACACCAATATATACACCAATATATATACACCAATATGTATATACACCAATATGTACTGTATACACCAATATGTACACCAATATGTACTATATACACCAATATATACACTAATATGTACTATATGCACCAATATGTACTGTATACACCAATATGTACTATATACACCAATATGTACTGTATACACCAATATATACACCAATATGTACTGTATACACCAATATGTACTGTATACACCAATATGTACTGTATACACCAATATATACACTAATATGTACTGTATACACCAATATATACACCAATATGTACTACACCAATATATACACCAATATGTACTGTATACACCAATATGTACACACAATATGTACTGTATACACCAATATGTACTGTATACACCAATATGTACTGTATACACCAATATGTACACCAATATGTACTGTATACACCAATATGTACTGTATACACCAATATGTACACCAATATGTACTGTATACACCAATATGTACTATATACACCAATATGTACTGTATACACCAATATATACACTAATATGTACTATATGCACCAATATGTACTGTATACACCAATATATACACTAATATGTACTGTATACACCAATATATACACCAATATGTACTATATACACCAATATGTACTATATACACCAATGTATACACTAATATGTACTATATGCACCAATATGTACTATATACACCAATATGTACTGTATACACCAATATGTACTGTATACACCAATATGTACACCAATATGTACTGTATACACCTATATGTACACCAATATGTACTGTATACACCAATATGTCCTGGGATTTAGGAAAATGAAAACAGATATCAGGAACTGTTTTTTTTTTTACTACTAGTCAGTCTATTTAGCATTGGATTGTTGTACAGTCTACTTAGGTATGATATGTTTTCATTAATAAAATTAATGTTTTGTCTTTAGAGAGGAGGAGAGCAGATCTGTTTCCATCGTTGTTTTGAGATCCTTCCTGATGTAACGTGTCGCTCTCCAGAAGAAAGCATGTATATCCTACAGGGAAAGAAGCCACATGGTAGGAAAGCTTAGTTTGTATGTAGTACATGTAATCAAGTTTCACTTCACAGTAAGAAGATTTATTAACATCTTTACCTCACATTTAATAGTTACATATTCAGACATTTTAACACAAAGTAAGGATTGAATCTTCAGAATTTCATACCATTTTAAAAGTGATAGCAAATACAAAAATGTATTTCTTGCTACTTCAGAAATACATCCAACTGTTATCACATTCTGTTACAGATTATGCAGATAGTGACTTACTGTTTGATAAACAAGAGTTTGAAAGCTCTGTATTCCAGCGGCCCTATCAATACCTGCGACGCCTAGATGAAAGGAGAGGCCTTGCTGATATCAATGCCTATCAACCAGAGGGAAACCAGATCAACTGTCTCCAAACATTTCTAAGGTTCAAATTTCAGTTTTTGTGACTCAACACAGTTAATTCTATAATGTACCCTTTTTTATGATTTCAGGATTTATTTTTGTATTATCAATTTCCTTGGTTGACTCTGTTTCTGTAGCCATGAGAATGCTTTGTATTTTGTAAATATCTGGTTTTGTTATGAATGTATGTGGTTAATAACCTTGTCTGTAACAAAACATATGGGTGTATTAAAAGAGAAGTTTGAATTACAATACTCTACTCGGATCAGGGTGATGCAGGGTTACCCTTGTCTGTCATATTGTCATAATTTTATTTCTGCTCATCAAAGGAACATTAATCTAGCTATAGAGCTGTAATTTGGTAGTAATTGTATAATTATGCCGATCAGGTTTTGATTTTGTTGTGGTCAGTTATGTTTTCCAAAGTTGGATGAGGCCCTTAATTTTTGAGAATTTTGATAAAATGTTCACAAAAAACAGTAAGACCTGAATTGGAAATCTTTGCCTTTGGGATTTAAAAAAGAAATCCAAATCCAAATAAATCCATTGCTCCAAACTTCATCCAGGTTGATGGCTGGGACTTTTGTGTGTTCCAACACTGTTTATTTATTTTTTTTGGTCAAAGAAACTACATGATTGCATCGATCATTCAACCATGGCTTCTATGTTACAGTATAGACAGTAGTTATAGATGCATCATGGGATAGAAAAACAAAGGGCAATAGCTCCTGAGTAATGTGTCACCTTTTTGAATATAGATACTTCTTACCTGTTTTAACACCTGTTCCCAGAACCATTATATAAATTCTGTTTATAACTTAATTACATTTCCTTAATTGTTACAGACACTGCGGAGTAAGGGATCCGTCATGGGCCGAGCTGAAACACTTTGTCTGTTTCCTCAACTCCCAGCTACAGGACTTTGAGGTTTCTGCCTTTTGCGGAGCTGCAGCCAAAGAAGACTTACCAGGATTTGACAAATTTGTATTAAAATTCCTCATACAGATGTCAAGGGTATGTTGTGTTTAACTGTGGTATCAAATCATCACAGAAATTACTACTAATTAGCTCACTGGTTTCAAGTGAATGTGAGCTAGTGCTGTTTCCCCGTCTTCTGCATCCCATCCCAAAATTTTAAAGTTTAGGATAGCTTCCAAGTCCATAAATTATACATCTCTCACTTCTCTTATTTGGTATATACAATATACACATACTATCATCAGTGATAGTCAAAGATAAATGTTTCACCAATTTAATGCTTATCATTAGCTCACCTAGTCTTAGGGCATACAGTGGTGTCTCTTGTCTCTCCCTCTGTCTGTCTTTCTGTCTGTCCTTCTGTCATTCCATCCATCCATCCATCCATCCATCCATCCATCCATCCATCCAGTTTTTGTATAGATGATGGGCCTCAGCCCCATAGGGTCAGTGGGGTGGGGGCCCAATAAGGGAAATAGTGCAATTTTTTAAAAATCCTCTTAATGCTGAAAAGGTGTCAGAATTCTTTCCAAGTTGTTCTGTGACAATTCTAAGGTGAAGCAGAAACAATTTTGTAGAAATGATGGTTGTCAGCTTGCAGGGAACGGAGAGGCAAGATCCAATAGGAAAACAAATTTTAGAATATCCTTCTTCTGTACGAATGTCAAATGTCTGTCCAAATTTGGTTTGAAGCATCCTTGGATGAAGGGGACTCAGTTTGCTGTAAATGGTGGATGTCACCCCCATGGGTGCAAGGGTTTCGGCCCAATAAGGGAAAAAGAACAATTCTTTAAAATCTGTCTTCTGTAGGAATGTAGAGTCTCTGTCACAATTTGTTGTGAAATATCTTGGGATGAAGGAGAAAAGACTTTGTGTACATGTTGGGGCAGCGGTAAGTGAAGACTGAGTGATAATGTGTATCTATGTTGACTGTGTTACAGGACTTTGCCACTAGATCACTGGTGATGAGTGAAGACTGTGTGATAATGTGTATACATGTATATGTTGACTGTGTTACAGGACTTCGCCACTAAATCACTTGTGATGTGTGAAGACTGTGATAATGTGTATATATGTTGACTGTGTTACAGGACTTCGCCACTAGATCACTGGTGATGAGTGAAGACTGTGTGATAATGTGTATCTATGTTGACTATGTTACAGGACTTTGCCACTAGATCACTGGTGATGAGTGAAGACTGTGTGATAATGTGTATCTATGTTGACTATGTTACAGGACTTTGCCACTAGATCACTGGTGATGAGTGAAGACTGTGTGATAATGTGTATATATGTATATGTTGACTGTGTTACAGGACTTCGCCACTAGATCACTTGTGATGTGTGAAGACTGTGATAATGTGTATATATGTTGACTGTGTTACAGGACTTTGCCACTAGATCACTGGTGATGAGTGAAGACTGTGTGATAATGTGTATCTATGTTGACTATGTTACAGGACTTTGCCACTAGATCACTGGTGATGAGTGAAGACTGTGTGATAATGTGTATCTATGTTGACTATGTTACAGGACTTTGCCACTAGATCACTGGTGATGAGTGAAGACTGTGTGATAATGTGTATACATGTTTATGTTGACTGTGTTACAGGACTTCGCCACTAGATCACTGGTGATGAGTGAAGACTGTGTGATAATGTGTATATATGTTGACTATGTTACAGGACTTTGCCACTAGATCACTGGTGATTAGTGAAGACTGTGTGATAATGTGTATACATGTATATGTTGACTGTGTTACAGGACTTCGCCACTAGATCACTGGTGATTAGTGAAGACTGTGTGATAATGTGTATATATGTTGACTGTGTTACAGGACTTCGCCACTAGATCACTGGTGATGAGTGAAGACTGTGTGATAATGTGTATACATGTATATGTTGACTGTGTTACAGGACTTCGCCACTAGATCACTGGTGATTAGTGAAGACTGTGTGATAATGTGTATCTATGTTGACTATGTTACAGGACTTTGCCACTAGATCACTGGTGATGAGTGAAGACTGTGTGATAATGTGTATCTATGTTGACTATGTTACAGGACTTTGCCACTAGATCACTGGTGATGAGTGAAGAATCCCCAATCAAAAGAATGCAGAGACTTGTGCTTCATGATGAAGAGACCGAAGGAGCTGTTGAGGATAATATTATAGAACAGTTCCAGATGAGGAGGACGTGGGAAAGCAGGTGTGTAGCTGCATCATCCATTACAGAATGTCTCCAATATGTTTATTGACCTAAAACGCCAATCTCTCTGTGTTCTGTAGGTGTAGGTTTGTCTGCCTTTGCTTTATAGGACTAAGAGAAGGTTAGTTATTATACAGGTATGGCTTATCTAACTTGGTTACTAAAAATAGAACTGGGAATATACTGTCAAATATCCCCAAGTACAAATCAAGGTGAGAGGTCGTAACATTTAATGATAAATATTTTGTTCTGACATTATGAAGCAGGAAGAGTTTGATCAGTGGCTGAAGTCAAAGGGTTCAAAGTCAAGGTTACATTTTGTATCTTGTAAATGACAGATATTTTAACAATATAAAGCAGACTTGATCAATGAGAACTTCACCAAAGGTCAAAATTCGTAATTGAAGCTAGATCAAAGTCAAATATTAAGTATTTTAAGTGGGAAGTGATGATAGTGTGAATTAGAAAAAAACAAATCAAAACAAGAAAGTGCATGGTCACATTGATGTACTTTGTTCTGCTGTGGTCAGTCTAACGTCATTCTACTTATTAAGTGGTAAATATTTTTGTTTAAATATAATGACTTCAGCCTGGATTTAATTGAATGAAGAACCACTATCCAGCAGGAGGATATATAAAATAAGAATCAAAAGGTAGATGACATCAAACAACACACAATTACCTGATAATTACCATTTAGTTTGTAGTTTTAGTGTCTTTATACTTGTAGTAATTGTTTATCAATGTAACCTAGTTAAGCTCTGGTTAAGAGTCTGACACATTGTGGAGCCCATTCTGTGCATTTCTTTGCCTTTGTACATGGCATCTGTAACACATGCTTGTGTACAAGATATGAACCTTGTGACATATTTAGGCGCTGTTCACACCATCTAATTCTACACTCGAATAGAATTGTTGTGGTCAAAGGTCACACTTAATGACTTTTGAAAGATAAGGCTCCTGTACAAGATATCTACTGAATGCTGCAATATATTTACTCCATATACATTTCCTTTCACTCTATCGTTATATTAACAAGTTTTACACATGGTTAGAGTTTGGGGATCTTCAATGTTAAAGAATTGAAGGTGACGCTTCATGAATTGTGAAATAAAAACCACGTTTGAATCCTTTCCTATTTTCTTTTTTTTTTATGCAGTCCTCATCCATACCTTTTCTTTAACCCTGATCATCATTCAATGACATTTGTGGGGTTCAAGATCCAGAGAGCAACAGGTGACCTGATGGATCAACAAACTGAGACAGTTCTTGAGCCTCGCATAATGCAACGAGAGCTTCAGGACAGCCTCATCAGAAACAAAGTCAACATTGACGAAAACTTTGACAGACTTGAAAGGTTTGGCAGAACTTGTGATAATCAATAGATTTTGATGACTTTAGTGGTAGAAAGGATGATTCACTTCTCCTAGAGGACATTAATTACCTCATGAAACATGATTAAGAAAACTGGTTTGTGATTGGTCAGTACCTTGTCTGGACATGACTCTGCATCCGTTACAACAAATATTACATGGAAATATAGGATGTGTTTGATTGTTATATGATGAGTTGTTGAGTTGAACATTTCACTAATGATACATGTATGTGTAAATTATACCCATGGTTACTGAAACTGGTCTAAATCAATGGTCATTATCCACATGTATAACAGAAATAGGAAAGGTAAGGTTTGAGTATGCAGTTCATCCAAAAATGAAAGCCATTACAATGAACATCACTGATAGGTTGTTACAGATAACATACTCTGTTTATCTTGTGAGGATGCACATAGATAAGTTATCTTTTACCCTTTTTTTTTCTTTTTTGTTTAGGTGTGAGGAGGGGTGTGTGTGTGTATTATTATTTGTCCTTTTGGGTGCCTCTCATAGAAAGTTTAGTATGGATTCACTAGTGTTTATTGGGGGTATGGGGTGGGGGTGGGGGTGTGGAGATCATTTGTCCTTCGAAGGCTTTTATTAGATAGCTGAGGATGAACATCCAGTTTAAAAGGGAAGTGTATTAGTTATCCTTACGGTTTTATTGTCACTCTTAAAAGTTTATTTAGAAGTATAATCCTCCATTGTCTTCAGACATGAGAAGATATTAAAACTATGCAGTGTGATGGGAATGGATTTTCCACACGATCCAGATGACACCTATGAATTGACCACAGACAATGTGAAGAAAATCCTAGCCATCTACATGAGGTTTAAGTAAGTTCACTTTCTCTCTGTCCTGGTACTGTTGCTATATAATGGATTGAAATAATACCCTGATTTACTGAATGAAACATACCCCCTTTATCCTTCAGATGTGATATCCCTGTCATCATCATGGGAGAAACTGGATGTGGCAAAACTCGACTGGTCAAGTTTATGTGTGCTCTTCAGTGTCCCCCAGGAGTGAACCTAAAAAATATGATCCTCATGAAGGTAATAAAGCTATTTCTGCCAGACAGCTTTGAAGCTATGATGTATAACACATTTTTGTAGAAATAATGATAAAAGTAATTATGAAGACAGGGATGTGATGTTTTCTACAGCTGGCTGTGATGAAGGGCTGTCAGGTTGATGTTTTCTACAGCGGGCAATGATAAAGGTCTGTCAGGTTGATGTTTCCTACAGCGGGCAATGATGAAGGGCTGTCAGGTTGATGTTTTCTACAGCTGGCTGTGATGAAGGGCTGTCAGGTTGATGTTTTCTACAGCTGGCAATGATAAAGGGCTGTCAGGTTGATGATTTCTACAGCTGGCAATGATAAAGGGCTGTCAGGTTGATGATTTCTACAGCTGGCAATGATAAAGGGCTGTCAGGTTGATGTTTTCTACAGCGGGCAATGGTACAGGGCTGTCAGGTTGATGTTTCCTACAGTTGGCAATGATAAAAGTCTGTCAGGTTGATGATTTCCACAGCTGGCTGTGATAAAGGGCTGTCAGGTTGATGATTTCCACAGCTGGCTGTGATGAAGGGCTGTCAGGTTGATGTTTTCTACAGCTGGCTGTGATGAAGGGCTGTCAGGTTGATGTTTTCTACAGCTGGCAATGATAAAGGGCTGTCAGGTTGATTATTTCTACAGCTGGCTGTGATAAAGGGCTGTCAGGTTGATGATTTCCACAGCTGGCAATGATAAAGGGCTGTCAGGTTGATGTTTTCCACAGCTGGCTGTGATAAAGGGCTGTCAGGTTGATGATTTCCACAGCTGGCTGTGATGAAGGGCTGTCAGGTTGATGTTTTCCACAGCTGGCTGTGATGAAGGGCTGTGAGGTTGATGTTTTCCACAGCTGGCTGTGATAAAGGGCTGTCAGGTTGATGATTTCCACAGCTGGCTGTGATGAAGGGCTGTCAGGTTGATGTTTTCCACAGCTGGCTGTGATGAAGGGCTGTCAGGTTGATGATTTCTACAGCTGGCTGTGATAAAGGGCTGTCAGGTTGATGACTTCCACAGCTGGCTGTGATGAAGGGCTGTCAGGTTGATGATTTCCACAGCTGGCTGTGATGAAGGGCTGTCAGGTTGATGTTTCCTACAGCTGGCTGTGATGAAGGGCTGTCAGGTTGATGTTTCCTACAGCTGGCTGTGATAAAGGGCTGTCAGGTTGATGATTTCCACAGCTGGCTGTGATAAAGGGCTGTCAGGTTGATGATTTCCACAGCTGGCAATGATAAAGGGCTGTCAGGTTGATGTTTTCCACAGCTGGCTGTGATAAAGGGCTGTCAGGTTGATGATTTCCACAGCTGGCTGTGATGAAGGGCTGTCAGGTTGATGTTTTCTACAGCTGGCTGTGATGAAGGGCTGTCAGGTTGATGATTTCTACAGCTGGCAATAATAAAGGGCTGTCAGGTTGATGTTTTCTACAGCTGGCTTTGATAAAGGGCTGTCAGGTTGATGTTTTCTACAGCTGGCTGTGATGAAGGGCTGTCAGGTTGATGATTTCCACAGCTGGCAATGATAAAGGGCTGTCAGGTTGATGTTTTCTACAGCTGGCTGTGATGAAGGGCTGTCAGGTTGATGTTTTCTACAGCTGGCTGTGATGAAGGGCTGTCAGGTTGATGTTTTCTACAGCTGGCTGTGATGAAGGGCTGTAAGGTTGATGTTTTCTACAGCTGGCTTTGATAAAGGGCTGTCAGGTTGATGATTTCCACAGCTGGCAATGATAAAGGGCTGTCAGGTTGATGTTTTCCACAGCTGGCTGTGATAAAGGGCTGTCAGGTTGATGATTTCCACAGCTGGCAATGATAAAGGGCTGTCAGGTTGATGTTTTCCACAGCTGGCTTTGATAAAGGGCTGTCAGGTTGATGATTTCTACAGCTGGCTGTGATAAAGGGCTGTCAGGTTGATGATTTCCACAGCTGGCAATGATAAAGGGCTGTCAGGTTGATGTTTTCCACAGCTGGCTGTGATAAAGGGCTGTGAGGTTGATGTTTTCCACAGCTGGCTGTGATGAAGGGCTGTCAGGTTGATGTTTTCTACAGCTGGCTGTGATGAAGGGCTGTCAGGTTGATGATTTCCACAGCTGGCTGTGATGAAGGGCTATCAGGTTGATGTTTTCTACAGCTGGCTGTGATGAAGGGCTGTCAGGTTGATGTTTCCTACAGCTGGCTGTGATGAAGGGCTGTCAGGTTGATGTTTTCCACAGCTGGCTGTGATGAAGGGCTGTCAGGTTGATGTTTTCTACAGCTGGCTGTGATGAAGGGCTGTCAGGTTGATGTTTTCTACAGCTGGCTGTGATAAAGGGCTGTCAGGTTGATGTTTTCCACAGCTGGCAATGATAAAGGGCTGTCAGGTTGATGTTTTCTACAGCTGGCTGTGATAAAGGTCTGTCAGGTTGATGATTTCCACAGCTGGCTGTGATGAAGGGCTGTCAGGTTGATGTTTTCCACAGCTGGCTGTGATGAAGGGCTGTCAGGTTGATGTTTTCCACAGCTGGCTGTGATGAAGGGCTGTGATACTGATGTTTTCTACAGCTGGCTGTGATGAAGGGCTGTGATACTGATGTTTTCCACAGCTGGCTGTGATGAAGGGCTGTGATACTGATGTTTTCCACAGCTGGCTGTGATGAAGGGCTGTGATACTGATGTTTTCTACAGCTGGCTGTGATGAAGGGCTAAGTTATATTAATTGATAATTGCATTTTGTAAAAATTAAAAATCAAATCAATTGAAAATCAGGAATTTTTTATGTTGATGCTGATTGAAATACTTTTAATCATTGTTCACAAATTCATATCAAATGCAAGTATGGGTAGATTACTGAAATATTCTGTTAGGTATACATGTGGAACTAATAGCCACCATTTAATTAATTAATATGATTTGCCAGTTTGGCGTAGAAAATATCTTACTTAGTTATCGTAAACGTCATAACCGTTTTGATGAGATGTTATACTGAACTTCTGGAGAGAATGGACATTGCTTGCTAAATAGGAGTGTGTTTTGATCTTATAACCTATGCCTTTATCAAAATATTTGAATATTGATAGAATTTATGACTGGCGCTGTACCAAAGTGATACAAATTTGGTAGCTAGTTTACCCTTATCAACTTCATTTCCATTCTGTTTGTTTGGATGATGCCATCACTATTGCTTTTTCGGACAGGGAGGGGTGAAACTGTTACAGCTGGAACGGGCTACCCAGGGGCACCTCCAGTGATCATTACCAAATAATCAATCTCACAACAAACAGCCCAGGTGTCAAATACGAACACTTGCTTAGAGTTACAGCTTTCAAAATTCAAACATGAACAGATTTTGTTTTTATTAAAAACAAATAAGAGAAGAAAATAATGAATAAGTTACAATTTTAAAGAACAAATGGAAATAAAACAATGTGCATCGAGATCCCTCTTATTTTACAGATGGAATCATTTTTGTGGGTATTTTGGAGGTGTATATAACCCAGTTCTGTCTGACAGTTTGTGTTGGAGTTTTATCCATAAGATGATACAATTAACCTTTAACTTCTGGTAATATTTTTTCTAACCTACACTAGGTCCATGGTGGAACAAGAACAAAGGACATCATCAAGAAAGTAAAGGAAGCGGAAAAAATTGCCAGAGAAAATGCAGATACATATGGGCACCACATCCAAACTGTTCTCTTCTTTGATGAAGCCAACACCACAGAAGCCATTGGTCTTATCAAAGAGATCATGTGTGACCGTACCATCGGCGGAAATCAACTAAAACTTTGCCGTAGTCTCAAGATCATAGCAGCATGCAACCCCTACAGGAAGTAATCAAACTTACTAATCTATAAATAGTTTTAGTCCTGCTTAACACCATATCAGGCTACAACCTCTACCAACATTAGATTTTGGTGGCCATATTAACACAGTAACTTCACCTCTACCAACATTAGATTTTGGTGGCCATATGTTAGGGTTAATAATCTATGTTCACTGTCAACCACTTTTGAAATAAAAGGCTTGTGTACAATGAACGCTGTAATAGATGAACCCCTCTATAGATTTAGATGAGAAGGAAAATTGATGGGATGATGTGTATGATTTGATTTGATTTCTGTTTGTGATCCTGGTGAGATGAAAGTAAACAAAGGCAGCATCAAGTAGAAATATATTTAAAATGAGCAGTACAATTTAATATTGTTACATAGTGATTTTGACAAATGAGTTGTTGTGCTGAAAACATTGTTTTCATTCCAAACATATTCAAAACAAAAGTTTTTGATTTCTTTGTATTGATCAGAAGTTGAATGTTGTAAACGGGATTATACCACCACATAACTACATAGTAATGGTTCTTGTTTTCAGACATTCAGAAGAGCTGATTAAACGCCTTGAGCAGGCAGGTCTGGGCTATCATGTAGATGCTGAAAAAACCACAGATAAGTTAGGTAAGATATATTGAGATATTCATCATTAATAGTTTAAATAAATAGAGATACAAAATCTTTCTTTTTTTTTTCTTCTTTAATGCACATGACAGAAGCTTTCCATTTTTCTTATGAATGTAATAGAAACTTTAAAATCTATGTTTTAATTTCTTTATCTTGAAACCAATTTTCATTTAAGGATTGAGATTTTGATCAAGCTATAGATACACTTGTCTCTTTAAGATAATATTATTATATGTTTTGATCTTAAGAAGTTAGTTTAAACATGAGATAATAACAATTGTATTAGAGATACGTAGGTCGTTGTTTTACATTTCTAATGGAAATCTTCGGAAAGGATGTAGCAGGAAAAGAATGTCATATTTCAAAATTGTCATTCTTGTAATATCATGAAAAAGGCAATGATAATTGACCAATAAATTGTAATTTGATATTTGTTTTGAAGATGTTAAGACACAACTCTTCATTACCTGTTCTGGAGTATAAATCCAAAATTAACAACACCAAAATCATCTTCAAGTTATATTGTTTTGGGTTTAAAAAACAACTATATATATACTCTTTATTTCCTCCACAAGGAAGATTACAGAATTAGAGAACATCAAATACATTCAATATAAATAGATATTTACAATATTGTTATACACATTGAATAACAATGATGAGGTAGATGTTTAGGCTGACAACATCAAACCTTTTTGATTAATCAAATGTTTTTAATATGTCATTTGTAATATGACGTTATCATTCGAAAGATTATCCTGACTATCGGAACTCTTCCAAGTCGGAGTTACATAAGTCATAAGATAAGCTTCCTCCAATCAGAACATGAAATAATCGACTTTCCTCTAAGGCGCGTAAATATACACTTAACAAAATTTCACTAATATTGATAATTTCGCACCAAAATTCGTCTCTTAATTCTTCCGTTGAACTACAATGTAACACTATATGAATGACATCGTCATTATACAACTGACCACACTTAAGACATAATTCATTATGATCTAACCATCGCATGGTCACAACTTATTATCTGTCTTATTATGTAATCTTGGTGAAAGCTGAGTGCTTTGCCCCACCCAACCACCCAATGTCCTATTTCTCCCCTTCCGCACAGTGATTTTATGTACATATATTTGATAGTGTATCTGTATTGTAGGGCGTGTACCTCTGCGTCGCCTTGTGTACCGAGTACAGCCTTTACCCCAGAGTCTATTGCCCCTGGTGTGGGACTTTGGACAGTTAGACACTCGAATTGAAGAGCTCTACATCAGGCAGATGGTTCTCAGATATGTATGTGTTAGCATGACATGATACTAAAATCAGTCCTCAAGTGCAGAAAAAAAGTGAAGTTTTTATATTTAAGAAACAAAAAAAAAAAAGAAGAAAATTAAGGAAATTTTTTTTTTTTTTTCTAAATATGAAACTTTCCATATGTTTGGTTTTCTTGACTCGTCCTTTGTAAAAAAAAAAAAAAAAAAACTGTTGTGTTAAGTTTGATTGATGATATTTTCAGATCCGAGCTAACAAGCTGCCTCTCCTTGACAACCTGGAAAATGTTGTCAGTAAGATACTTACTGTTTCTCAGGACTTCATGAGGCAACAGAAGGTATTTCTCTTCAAAGGTTTTTCTTAATGTCGGTTATTACTTTTAGAATTGTTGAGTAGACTATGAAATGTAATTGGTTCATCAGTGCCTTTAAAAAGTTTTTCAGGTCACTGAAGAGAAATTTCCAAATTATAATAATAAAAATTGATTTTATCAGTAAATTTTTGTTTAAGAAAGTTTTTGTAGACAAGCTTTACATGTTTTTGGGATTTTAAAGTTAACACCAAGCACCAGTAAAACATATCTATCTCTGTGTTTCAGGATGAGTGTAGCTTTGTGAGTTTACGAGATGTAGAGAGGGTACTAGAAGTAATGAGTTGGTTCTACAACCAGAGTCAGACAAACTCTGTCCTTTTTAACTTATTAGCTGAGGAGAATTCAGATGATGATGATGATGATGATGAGGAGGAGGAGGAGTTGATGGATGAGGATGAAGGACAAAACAATGCACAGGTAAAATCTATAATGTCCTGACATTTATCCTAAATAGGAGCATCTTCAATATGATGGTATAGAAACTTAGAAGCAGTATTTTAACAGAAATTTCAAACAGAAATTCAACAGAAGCAATTAAACTTGTGTCAGATAGGAATCTTTTATTCCAGTTAAACTTTGAATTGAGATCAATTGATTTTGATGAGAAAATTTTTACAGGATATTACTGAAGTAGCCATGTCACTGATGCTAGCTTTAGGAGTATGCTATCATGCCTGTCTGAAAAAACGGGAGGAATACAGGAAAGCTGTCACACCACACTTTGTCCGGCCATGCCACATACCAGGTCCTGACCCGGCGCAAAGGATGTTGGAGGAAATAGAAAAGTGTCAGGATGTTTTCTTGGAGAATGTGCAACTTGGAAAGAATATAGCTCATAATCAGGCTCTGAAGGAAAATGTGTTTATGATGGTAACTTGTATAGAACTAAGAATTCCCCTGTTCTTGGTCGGCAAACCAGGAAGTTCCAAGTCACTGGCTAAAACTGTTGTGAACAATGCCATGCAAGGACATGCTGCACACTTTGATCTCTTCCGTGGTTATAAGGAGGCAAGTTTTATGAGATGATGAACTATTGATAATTATGTCAGTGGAGAGATAGGAAATAAATTTGTAAATTACATAATGCTTCTGTCTAACAACGGTTTTGTTCCATACTTTTCACTTTGACCTTAAAGACAAAATGTTGCTTTATCTAATACAGCATATAACACTTTGACATATTTTCGATGTACATATTTGATATTAATGAAATACTAGATTGTATTTATTTGGGGGATACCTGTTTAAAATATAGTCTGTATCTATACTACCAGGTCCAGATGATGTCTTATCAATGCAGTCCATTGTCAACTCCTGATGGTATTTCTGGAATGTTTAGACAATGTGCCCAGTTCCAGAAGGACAAGGACTTGACCAGATTTGTATCTGTTGTTGTCCTGGATGAGGTTGGCTTAGCAGAAGATTCGCCACGTATGCCACTCAAGGTATAAAATACTTAATAGGGGATGTATTTAGTATGCAGTTTAAGTATTGACTTGAGGGATAATGGTGCAATTTTCTGGTTTCTTGAAACAGGCCAGACATAAGTTTTTGAGGCACAACCTGAGGAAACTACAAACATGACAGATCCATCAAACCAATACTTTAACCAATTTATGATACATTACAAAACTTGTAAGATATTTCCATATTGAAATATTTTGCTTAACATAAGTTATATACAGCAAATCTCCATCTCCTTGATGAACTGAAGCCAAATGCAAAGCATAATCAAAGACACAGAACTGGAAAAAGAATGTGTCTTGTGCTCATCCCAACTAAAGACACTGAACTGGAATTAGAATGTGTCTTGTGCTCATACTAACTAAAGACACTGAACTCGAAATAGAATGTGTCTTGTGCTCATACTAGCTTAAGACACAGAACTGGAAAAAGAATGTGTCTTGTGCTCATCCTAACTAAAGACACTGAACTGGAATTAGAATGTGTCTTGTGCTCATACAAACTAAAGACACATAACTGGAAAAAGAATGTGTCATGTGCTCATACTAACTAAAGACACAGAACTGGAATCAGAATGTGTCTTGTGCTCATCCTAACTAAAGACACTGAACTGGAATTAGAATGTGTCTTGTGCTCATACAAACTAAAGACACAGAACTGGAATTAGAATGTGTCTTGTTCTCATACTAACTAAAGACACTGAACTGGAATCAGAATGTGTCTTGTGCTCATACTAACTAAAGACACTGAACTCGAAATAGAATGTGTCTTGTGCTCATACTAGCTTAAGACACAGAACTGGAATCAGAATGTGTCTTGTGCTCATACTAACTAAAGACACTGAACTGGAATCAGAATGTGTCTTGTGCTCATACTAACTAAAGACACTGAACTCGAAATAGAATGTGTCTTGTGCTCATACTAACTAAAGACACTGAACTGGAATTAGAATGTGTCTTGTGCTCATACTAACTAAAGACACAGAACTGGAAAAAGAATGTGTCTTGTGCTCATACTAACTAAAGACACTGAACTGGAATTAGAATGTGTCTTGTGCTCATACTTACTAAAGAGACTGAATTGGAAATAGGTGCTCATACTAACTAAAGACACAGAACTGGAAAAAGAGTGTGTCTTGTGCTCATACTAACTAAAGACACTGAACTGGAATTAGAATGTGTCTTGTGCTCATACAAACTAAAGACACAGAACTGGAATTAGAATGTGTCTTGTGCTCATCCTAACTAAAGACACATAACTGGATAAAGAATGTGTCTTGTGCTCATACTAACTAAAGACACTGAAATGGAATTAGAATGTGTCTTGTGCTCATACTAATTAAAGACACAGAACTGGAATTAGAATGTGTCTTGTGCTAATACTAACTAAAGACACTGAAATGGAATTAGAATGTGTCTTTTGCTCATCCTAACTAAAGACACTGAAATGGAATTAGAATGTGTCTTGTGCTCATACTAATTAAAGACACAGAACTGGAATTAGAATGTGTCTTGTGCTCATACTAACTAAAGACACTGAAATGGAAATAGAACGTGTCTTGTGCTCATACTAACTTAAGACACTGAACTGAAATTTGAATGTGTCTTGTGCTCATACTAACTAAAGAAGTGTTTGAATTTTGTACTAAAACACAGCTAAGTAAAGTGGAAAAAGTAGAGAAATTATTACTTTATAAATTTCTTCAAATTACAAAGAAGTAAATATTATTGATATTGATTTTTTTAAATAATGATCCCTTACTAATTGTCTTGATGTTTCTGCAGACATTACATCCACTTCTGGAGGACGGATGTGAAGGGGATGAGACACCAGAGCCTTATAAAAAGGTGAGATGTTGATGTATCAGCAGATCATTTTCTTACTTTGGACAAACAAGTGACCTATCAGTTGATAATTATTGTTGAAAATTACAATAAATGCAAATGAATAATGAAGGAGAGAAAAAAGTATATTTGCTACACTTTAGAATGAAAAATTCATTTATAAAAAGATCAGTTCACATAATATAGGAAAAGTTGAACGGTACAGACACAACTGTTACATTGACTTTTTGATGGAAATGATATATACAGACTTAGGGAACAGATCATATGTAGCATACTGATACAGAAGTAACAGTTACAGAATATTTATGAAGAGGTTGTTGCTGGACAGGTAGCATTTATTGGTACCTATCTGATATATTTTCTCTCATTTCCTTGTACAGGTAGCTTTCATCGGTATTTCTAACTGGGCTCTAGATCCAGCCAAGATGAACAGAGGAATTTTAGTCCAGAGAGAAGTCCCTGAACTGGAGGAACTCACACTCAGTGCCAAGTAAGAGTCAATTTTCAGTTTTTCACTCTGTTCCTCTGAGTGACAATTACCATTATTTTTTCACCCTTCCATCAACTAATGGTTAAACGTTAAACTCCCTTTGTTGTGTTGCCTGCAGAGCTGGCGGACACTTAGGGATCACTTTGTCGGTCGTCACGTGGCGGCGGCGGCGTCCATACAAAAGTTTTCCTGACTTTTTTCGGTTATTCTTTGAGTTATTGAAATGAAATCTGGTATATGGCTTCTTGTTGGAAGGGTACAGATTAAGTTTGATTCCTTGCTGTCTGTGACCCTTCTTTGCAGAGTTATGCCTCTTCGAAAATTCTTCAAGAATATGGTTTCTTGTGCTTTTCTTGATTATGCTGAGAGTTTTTGAAATGAAATATGAGAAATGGCTTCATGGTCGAACATTACTGATCAGGTTTGATTTATGGCATTTTTTACTTTGCACAGTTTTCCCTTTATGCTTTGAGTTATAGAAATGAAATTTGGTTTTAAAACTTTATGGTTGAACGTTGCACATCCGTATCGATTTCTTGGTGACAGTGACACTTTAAATTTATGCAGGCGACACATACAGTTCCGAGGAACTCTTGTGTCTGTAAACCTTGGTCTGTCTGCTCATCTGTCTGGTTGTATGTCCTGTTCTTGTTATTGCTGTGACTTGGATCCTAATTCTGCTCTTTTGATTTTGTAATTATCAGGTGTGAGGTGGCCATTTTGAATTTTGACTATCTCTATTTCATGAGAAGAACATGATTGATGTTTTTCTGATTTTATATGTCTCGTACCTTTCCCTTGGTCTGTACTTGTGTCCATTTGATTTTTGGACTTCAGAAAAAATAAAATATCTGTCATGCAGTGTTCTATTTTGACAGTTAAAGAATATTATTGTTATTTCTTAAAGAGAAATTTTCAAATTCATATAGATAAGAGCAAATAAGAAGAATCTAGTAAAAAGAAGGGAAAAGATCCATGTTAAAACAAAGATCAAACAATGTATGTTAGGAAGTAAGATCCCTTTGGGACCTCTTGTTTTATTTGTTTTTTAATTTAAAACATAATGTTGTGTAATAGGTGCTAATATCTCTCATCAGATTACTTACATCAAACTGTGTTGAAGCACTTTGAAGTAAACTATGTACCTTGAGAATATGTTACATTTCCTTATCATGAGATATATACCATTTCATTACAGAGGAATTTGCCAAACCAGCAAAACTGTTTACAAATTGATAAAACCTCTTATTCCTCAAATGGCAGAAGCCTATTTAGAGCTGTTCCAAAGTGCCTTAAAAATGAGAGAGTTTTTTGGGCTGAGGGACTTTTACAGGTATGTATTTTTACAGAGTGTGGTTCTATAAAAGTTATATTTGATGGACAGTAAGAGTTACTCTCCCTGGTTGTAAGTGTAACTTTCTGGACATGGTACTGTATACTTTATATATTTTACAACAATAATGAATCAAGTTTAATACTTGCCCCTGTTGGCCTGGATGGAAGTGTATGATGGGTCCTATTGTGGCAGGAAACCAAAGTAATTTGGGTGAAAGGTTAAACAGTTACCACTTAAGTGCCACTCAAGCACCCAATCTGACAGTCAGTCTGATGGACCACTAAACCCTAATGAGATAGACAACCTAGTACTCAATCTGATGGACCACTAAACCCTGAGATAGACAACCTAGTACTCCATCTGATGGACCACTAAACCCTAATGAGACAGACAACCTAGTACTGAATCTGATGGACCACTAAACCCTAATGAGACAGACAACCTAGTACTCAGTCTGATGGACCACTAAACCCTGAGATAGACAACCTAGTACTCCATCTGATGGACCACTAAACCCTAATGAGACAGACAACCTAGTACTGAATCTGATGGACCACTAAACCCTAATGAGACAGACAACCTAGTACTGAATCTGATGGACCACTAAACCCTAATGAGATAGACAACCTAGTACACCATCTGATGGACCACTAAACCCTAATGAGACAGACAACTTAGTACTGAATCTGATGGACCACTAAACCCTGAGATAGACAACCTAGTACTGAATCTGATGGACCACTAAACCCTGAGATAGACAACCTAGTACTGAATCTGATGGACCACTAAACCCTAATGAGATAGACAACCTAGTACTGAATCTGATGGACCACTAAACCCTAATGAGACAGACAACCTAGTACTCAATCTGATGGACCACTAAACCCTGAGATAGACAACCTAGTACTGAATCTGATGGACCACTAAACCCTAATGAGATAGACAACCTAGTACTCAGTCTGATGGACCACTAAACCCTAATGAGACAGACAACCTAGTACTGAATCTGATGGACCACTAAACCCTAATGAGATAGACAACCTAGTACTGAATCTGATGGACCACTAAACCCTAATGAGACAGACAACCTAGTACTGAATCTGATGGACCACTAAACCCTAATGAGATAGACAACCTAGTACTGAATCTGATGGACCACTAAACCCTAATGAGATAGACAACCTAGTACTGAATCTGATGGACCACTAAACCCTAATGAGATAGACAACCTAGTACTGAATCTGATGGACCACTAAACCCTAATGAGACAGACAACCTAGTACTGAATCTGATGGACCACTAAACCCTAATGAGATAGACAACCTAGTACTCAGTCTGATGGACCACTAAACCCTAATGAGACAGACAACCTAGTACTGAATCTGATGGACCACTAAACCCTAATGAGACAGACAACCTAGTACTGAATCTGATGGACCACTAAACCCTAATGAGATAGACAACCTAGTACTGAATCTGATGGACCACTAAACCCTGAGATAGACAACCTAGTACTGAATCTGATGGACCACTAAACCCTAATGAGACAGACAACCTAGTACTGAATCTGATGGACCACTAAACCCTAATGAGATAGACAACCTAGTACTGAATCTGATGGACCACTAAACCCTAATGAGATAGACAACCTAGTACTGAATCTGATGGACCACTAAACCCTAATGAGACAGACAACCTAGTACTCAGTCTGATGGACCACTAAACCCTAATGAGATAGACAACCTAGTACTCCATCTGATGGACCACTAAACCCTAATGAGACAGACAACCTAGTACTGAATCTGATGGACCACTAAACCCTAATGAGACAGACAACCTAGTACTGAATCTGATGGACCACTAAACCCTAATGAGATAGACAACCTAGTACTGAATCTGATGGACCACTAAACCCTAATGAGATAGACAACCTAGTACTGAATCTGATGGACCACTAAACCCTAATGAGACAGACAACCTAGTACTGAATCTGATGGACCACTAAACCCTAATGAGACAGACAACCTAGTACTCAGTCTGATGGACCACTAAACCCTAATGAGACAGACAACCTAGTACTCAGTCTGATGGACCACTAAACCCTGAGATAGACAACCTAGTACTCCATCTGATGGACCACTAAACCCTAATGAGACAGACAACCTAGTACTGAATCTGATGGACCACTAAACCCTAATGAGACAGACAACCTAGTACTGAATCTGATGGACCACTAAACCCTAATGAGACAGACAACCTAGTACTGAATCTGATGGACCACTAAACCCTAATGAGATAGACAACCTAGTACTGAATCTGATGGACCACTAAACCCTAATGAGACAGACAACCTAGTACTGAATCTGATGGACCACTAAACCCTAATGAGATAGACAACCTAGTACTGAATCATGGACCACTCTGATGGACCACTAAACCCTAATGAGACAGACAACCTAGTACTGAATCTGATGGACCACTAAACCCTAATGAGATAGACAACCTAGTACTGAATCTTGTCACTGAAGCTGCAGATTTAGAGTGATTTAATCTGACTTATCAAAAATAGATATTAGTTACTTTGACTGATTTTCATAGTGTTTTCAAATATCTTATTAAATTACATAAGTACATAGTACACATTCTTCCTGCAGGCTTTGGAGATACAAGTGCAAGTGTTTTCACATGAATTGCTTCCACCTTCTTGAAATTTCATCAGGGCCTTTTGACCTTTCAAAAATTTCTTGTTTTGATAATTCAGTCTTTTAAAAATGGTGTATGCCTTTGCTGACAAACAAAAGAAAAAGCCAAGTTGGCACCAGATGCAGCATGCCATTATGCGTAACTTTGGAGGAATGGATGATATCAACCCTGTTAATGTGTTTGCCCAGGTTTTTACGACAGTCAACATCACAGAAAAGGTCAGTATTATTTGTCTAGACAATGTTAAGTCAAGGTCAGTATTAATTGTCTAAACAATGTTAGGTCAAGGTCAGTTTAATATGTATAATCATTGTATAGGTTAAGGTCAGTTTTAACTGTATAATCAATGTCAGATCATGGTCAATGTTAATTGTCTAAACAATGTTAGAACAAGGTCAGTATTAATTGTCTAAACAATGTCAGATCAAGGTCAGTATTAATTGTCTTGACAATATTATGTTAAGGTCAGTATTAATTGTCTAAACAATGTTAGATCAAGGTCAGTATTAATTGTCTAAACAATATTATGTCAAGGTCAGTATTAATTTTCTAAACAATGTTAGATCAAGGTCAGTATTAATTGTTTAAAAAATGTTAGATCAAGGTCAGTATTGATTGTCTAAACAATGTTAGATCAAGGTCAGTATTAATTGTCTTAACAATATTATGTTAAGGTCAGTATTAATTGTCTAAACAATGTTAGATCAAGGTCAGTATTAATTGTCTAAACAATGTTAGATCAAGGTCAGTATTAATTGTCTAAACAATGTTAGGTCAAGGTCAGTATTAATTGTCTAAACAATGTTAGAACAAGGTCAGTATTAATTGTCTTGACAATATTATGTTAAGGTCAGTATTAATTGTCTAAACAATGTTAGATCAAGGTCAGTATTAATTGTCTTAACAATATTATGTCAAGGTCAGTATTAATTGTCTTAACAATATTATGTCAAGGTCAGTATTAATTGTTTGATCAATGTTAGGTTAGAGGATTTCCTTAATTACTTTTTCAATGTGTGTTGCTGTTTAAACTTGCAGCATAATTTTTCAATGCAGTTAGGATGCATGTATGATGAACAATTTTAAAGCCCATATTTAATGGTTTGGAGTTTTATTTTGATCAATGAAAACTTGATTGGTTAAACACTAATCACGCACAAAAGTAGGATTGTCACATTATTACTTGATCAATGCATATTGTGTTCAAAATTATGAAAAGACTACACTGCTGTGGTAGTAAGTTTTAAAGAATGTTGCCACATCATTTCAAACAACAGTAGTAACATTGTTGGTGCTAACATGCTGAATCATTCTACATTTTGCATGTAATGCTGGTCCATAATTGTCAAGGGTGAAATAGCTTCATCATTTTATGTAATGTTGTCATTTTCTCAGCTGATGGATATGATAAGGAACATTTTCAACAAATTCAGTTAGTTTTTGAAGGATAGTATTAAGAATTACGTAAATGGTGCAGAATAGGTCAGATATTCCTATCTTACCACCATTGGTATAGGTTTATTTAGACTCACCCAGGATGAGACAAGAAGGAGAACATTGATGAGGTGGTAGACACTATCATTAATTGTTGTAAAATATATCATTTTTCAATCAGCTTCATGTGGTTTAACCAGGTGACAAAATTTACACCCTAGAAATTTGGAAAAACTTTATATACCGAGTATATGGGTTTAAATTTTTCCCCTGAAATCACCAATGTATTATGAATGAGTGATCACAAGGCTGATATTATCAGTATTCCATCAAAAGAATGTCTGGTGCCTTTATCGTACTCATTTCAAATAACAACAGACACAAATTTATTATACAACTCTTATATTATAGCCATAAGTTTATTAGATTAATTGAAAGTTCTTGTATAATATCCAAGCTATGTTTTAAATCATATGTAAATAGAGAGAAATGATTGGTTATTAGCTCTCAGGCTAGTTCAAGTGTTGACCTCAAATTAACATACTGATAACTGTTAAATTTATACACAAAATAATTCATTTATATCAAGGCATATTTATATCTTACATATTACTAATTCTATATGGTTGCAGCGAAAGCATTTTGATCCTGATTGTTCACCAGCTGGTCTCATCCAGGCCTGCCTTACAGGGGACACAAACGACAGGTAAATATTCTACACTTCTGGCATGGTTTCATCCAGGCCTGCCTTACAGGGGACACAAACAACAGGTAAATACCCTACACTTCAGTCATGGTCTGATCCAGGCCTGCCTTACAGGGGACACAAACAACAGGTAAATACTCTACACTTTTGGCATGGCCTGATCCAGGCCTGCCTTACAGGGGACACAAACAACAGGTAAATACCCTACACTTCAGTCATGGTCTGATCCAGGCCTGCCTTACAGGGGACACAAACAATAGGTAAATTCCCTACACTTCAGGCATAGTCTGATCCAGACCTGCCTTACAGTGGACACAAACGACAGGTAAATACCCTACACTTCAGGCATGGTCTGATCCAGGCCTGCCTTACAGGGGACACAAACAACAGGTAAATACTCTACACTTTTGGCATGGCCTGATCCAGGCCTGCCTTACAGGGGACACAAACAACAGGTAAATACCCTACACTTCAGGCATGGTCTGATCCAGACCTGCCTTACAGGGGACACAAACAACAGGTAAATACCCTACACTTCAGGCATAGTCTGATCCAGGCCTGCCTTACAGGGGACACAAACAACAGGTAAATACTCTACACTTCTGGCATGGTCTGATCCAGGCCTGCCTTACAGGGGACACAAACAACAGGTAAATACTCTACACTTCTGGCATGGCCTGATCCAGGCCTGCCTTACAGGGGACACAAACAACAGGTAAATACCCTACACTTCAGGCATGGTCTGATCCAGACCTGCCTTACAGGGGACACAAACAACAGGTAAATACCCTACACTTCAGACATGGTCTGATCCAGGCCTGCCTTACAGGGAACACAAACAATAGGTAAATACCCTACACTTCAGGCATGGTTTCATCCAGGCCTGCCTTACAGGGGACACAAACAACAGGTAAATACCCTACACTTCAGTCATGGTCTGATCCAGGCCTGCCTTACAGGGGACACAAACAATAGGTAAATACCCTACACTTCAGTCATGGTCTGATCCAGGCCTGCCTTACAGGGGACACAAACAAAAGGTAAATACCCTACACTTCAGGCATAATTACCTGCCTTACAGTGGACACAAACGACAGGTAAATACCCTACACTTCAGGCATGGTCTGATCCAGGCCTGCCTTACAGGGGACACAAACAACAGGTAAATACCCTACACTTCAGGCATGGTCTGATCCAGACCTGCCTTACAGTGGACACAAACGACAGGTAAATACCCTAATTTCTGGCATGGTCTGATCCAGGCCTGCCTTACAGGGGACACAAACAACAGGTAAATACCCTACACTTCAGGCATGGTCTGATCCAGGCCTGCCTTACAGTGGACACAAACGACAGGTAAATACCCTAACTTCTGGCATGGTCTCATCCAGGCCTGCCTTACAGGAGACACAAAGGCATGGGCTGGTCCAGGTTTGTCTGACAAGGGCATAAAGGACAGGTAAATACCCTGTACCTTGTGTAGTCTCATGCAGGCCCCCTTTACAAAGGATTCGTTTTAATTACATGCAATCTTTAGACAAGGCCTTATCTATGCCTAGTTGACAAGGATCACAAATGACAGGTAAATGCACTAAAGTATAGGTGTAGTCTGGGTCTGATTTTAAGTGATGTCAAGTGATGCACTGTTCATAAACTTTCTAAGTTGAAATTGTTCTCCATAACCAAAAGGCCAAGCATACTGATATTTGGCTTGTAGCATACTCACATGAAGGGCTACTACATTTGTTCAAATGAATGAAATTGACTCACTTACAAGGTCACACAGGTCAAAACTGTGTTAAAATCCTCACTTTTTCTCAGTAACCAAATAAAAGATACAGGGTGCTGATAATGGATTTGTATAACTCTGCAATGAAGGGCTATGGAGATTTTTCAAGATAATCACCTTGATATACAGGTCACAAGGGTTAATTGCCGACATTACAGATTTCTCACTATGTGAATTGGTTTGCACATGGTAGTCTGTGTATTTGCTTTCTTGTTTACCATTTCAATTTTGCAGAAATTGATTTATGGTAACCAACAATTTGTTTTTGTAAGCTGTAGAGCAAATGAGTGATTCAGGCTATTGGGCCTCTCTGTTAAAATATTCTTCAGTATTCCTAATCATATATAGGTGTTTAAGGACCATTAAGGTCTATGTGCCTCTTGCTTTGTCTTTTTATATCAATATAATTTTTTATTAACTGATACGATAGATATTAACTGTTTCCATGTTTTATTCAAAATCAGTGAAAGTCGTCAGGATTGTCTGTGGCTACGGGCATTGACAATTCTACACTAATCCTGGTGTCACAAAAAGCTATCACCATATTTGGTAGCAGCTTCCCAAGTGATCAGGATTATACACAAGTAAGGACTGGTTTCCCAGGGGGTTTTAATATACATTGTATTGTATATATATATGTATTGTATTGTATATATAGGTATAGGTATTGTATATATAGGTATTGTATTGTATATATATGTATTGTATTGAATATATATATGTATTGTATTGTATATATAGGTATAGGTATTGTATTGGTATTGTATAGGTATTATAGTATTGTATATATAGGTATAGGTATTGTATTGTATATATAGGTATTGTATTGTATATATAGGTATTGTATTGTATATATATAGGTATTGTATTGTATATATATAGGTATTGTATTGTATATATATAGGTACCCCATGGGTCTTCACTCGTGGAACCCATAGGGGTTGGTCTCTCCTCTAGGAGATGTTATAGCAGTGCGGAATCCCCCCAATGTTCTGCTACTTCGGGGGCCTTGTTGGCCGGTCCTATAAAGGTTTGCCAGACCTTAAGGACTTCCGCCTCCAGCGCGGACCCGTCGGTCTCCTGTTCCCAGGGGTCGGCTTCGGGTCTCCGACCCAAGCCTACAGCTACAGCTGTTGGTCGCGCTGCGTCCAAATGCCATAAAGAGGAGTTCCCCTCTGCGGAGATGGCTCCTCTGGCGGCCCCTGTTCCTCCCAAGGGGACTTCGGTCTCTATTGAGGAGGAGATGGACATCGAGGGTGCGGGCTCGGCAGAGGAAGACGATGTCATTCATCTTTCTCTTGGGCCAAGAGGGTTCACAAGGGGAAGATGGCCCTGAGACTGCTGAAGCTGAGGCTCAGCATGTGCTTTCTGGGATGCGGGTCCTCCGGGCCAACATCTCCCGGATTCTCAGGGCGGAGGTTTGCCCACCGCCTCAGCATCGTCGGCGCCTGAATCCACCATCCTTCTGGGTTCCCTGGTGGCTCCTCGGGCTTCCGTTCGCTCAGATCGGTCTCTGCCAGAAGGCAATATCATGTCTTCGGTTCTGGCCACGGCCCGGGCTCCGGTTTTAGAGAAGGACTCCTTCTCTACCCGTGCTCTCGGGTTTGTCGGTCTGCAGCTCAGTGTTGGTGAATTGTCGGAGGCTTCAGCTTCCGACTATGCCACACATGATGGGCAGCTGGCCTCTCAACCAGCACAGCTGGAGTTGAGACAGCTGGCTGCCTGGCCCGGCAAATCAGTGGACCAGGTGGTGCTCGATCCCAAAGAGCACCACAGGATGGAGAGAATGTTGCACCTCTCCATCCAAGTTCTGTCATACATAGACTTCCTGACAGTTTGTCTATACAGGGTATCCGATTTGCCTGAGTGTCGGTTATCCGAGACAGAACAGCCGACATACAGGACACGGCAGCCTTGCAGGTTCTCTGCTCGTCAATGCCGTGTTGGCTAGGCAGTTTTCAGTTCTGAAATTCCGCCCAGTCCAGTAACCCTACCGTTTCCGCTTGTTGAATGCCCCCTTCTAGGGCTCTACCCTGTTCAGGGGAGCTCTTCCTTGGGTTCAGAAGGATATGAAGGAGGACTCGGTCGCCTCAGCACTTCTGGTGAAGAGGTTTCAGGCTGAGAAGGCCAGTGCCTCGCAGGGGTCAGTGCCTCCTAAGAAGAAGGCGAAGTCTTCGGCTGCTCAGTTTTCTGCACAGCCCAAGTCCCAACCTCACTTCAACGGCAACAAGGGGAAGGGTAGGAAGGGTAAGAAACCTCCTGGGGGCAAGAAGAAGGGTTCCTGACTATTTCTGCTTCTTGGCCGCGAAAGGCGAAGGGTATGGCCGGGTGGACGGTGGTTCTCCTTTCCCGGGCTCATGTCCTTCTCCTGCAGGCTCAGGCTCCGGGTGGGCAGACGATTCTCTGGTCTGGCAGGGGCTCGATCTGCCCCATCCGGAACTCCCTGTGGGCGGACGTCTCTCTGCTTTCCTTTCCTAGTGGCAGGATATTACAGAGGACGCTTGGGCTTTTGTCGGTGGTCAGGGAGGGTCTAGGTATTCCCCTTCTTCAGGATTCGTCCCTCACCTCCTGGCCGTTTTTGTTTCTTTCCTCCTCCCGGGGATTCAGAAAGGGCACGGGTGCTCCAGGAGGAAGTAGGGACCATGCTGCCAAGGCAGAGATGCCCTTGGGGCTCACGACAGCTCCTTTGGTGTTCACCAAGTTGCTGCTGGTGTTTCCTTCACTCCTGCAGAATAGACGTCCACATCTATTTCGACGACTCCCTCATGCCTCTTTTGGTGTGGGAATCGTTAGTGAAGGACACTCGTCTGGTCCTGAAACTCTTGCTCAGAGTCGGCTTCATTCCTTCCAGAGAGAAGTCAGAGGTTCCTTCATATTAGGACTTCTTCTTCCTGGGGAACCATTTTGACATGGTTCGGGGCTTAGCCCTTCCACCTCTGGAGAAGTTTGAGAAGGTCAGGGCTCTGGCTCTGACTTTCATCACTTGGTCACTTGTCCAGGTACATTGGTTCCTCAGTTTTCTGGGGTATCTCAACTCCTTGGCATATGTGGTCCCCCTAGGGAGGATTCACATCGGACCTCTCCAGATGTTCCTCCTGTCTGACTGGGTTCCGTCATCCAGGAGGCCTGGATCCCGCTTACCCAGTCGGTCAGGGAGTTCTCTTGCTGGTGGACCATTCAGGAGAACGTTTTCCACGGGGTACCTCTGACCAAGCCTATCCCCTCTATGATCCTGTTCATGGACGCGTTCATGACAGGAATGTGAGCTTACCTCGATGGGGGAGTGGTCTGGCGAATAACTCTCGGAGCACATCAGTGTACTCGAGATGACACTGTTCATTTGGCTCTGCAGTCCTTTAGGGGTATCCTGCAGTCCAAAGTGTGGCTACCGACAACAGTTGTCGCGTATCTGGAGAGACAGGGGCCACCAGGTCTCATGTCCTGTGTGCCCTCTCCATCCACATCCATCTTCTCTGCCAGGACATGCAGTTGACCATAGCGGTCAAGCATCTTTCTGGCAGGCTGAGTGTGTTGGTGGCCACTCTCCAGGCGCCACCAGCCGGTGTTGACGGAATGGCAGCTGTGTCCCTTGATTTTCAAGGGGAATTGTCAGGCGTGGGACAGACCTATTATAGACCTGTTTGCCACTTCCCTGAACAACCAGCTGCTAACCTTCGTCTCCCCGGTCCCAGACCGTAAGGCGTGGGCTGTGGACGCCCTTTCTCTGGAATAGGAAGGGACGTATGCATATGCATTCCCTCCCTTCAACCTGGTGGGCAGGGTTCTACAGAAGTTCTGGGAGCATCACTGCTCCTTACTTCTGAGAGCCCCTCTGTGGCCGAGGCAAGCTTGGTTTCAGGAGCTCTTGTCGTTTCTGGTGGAGGAGCCCTTGGCTCTCCCCACCAGACCGAATCTCCTTCGCCAGCCTTGGCCCAGAACGACACACTCTTGACCAGAGATCCTCCACCTTCACGCGCTGAGGCTATCTCTGGAAGCCACGCCAAGGCAGGCTTTTCTCAAGAGGTGTCCGATTGCATTGAGCAATCAATCAGGGCTTCCTCTTCTGCCGTCTACCAGTCACGTTGGATGATCTTCTGTGATTGGTGTGTCGGCAAGGAAGCTTATTCATTCGAAGCCTCTGCATTTGATTGCGGAATTCCTAATCTCTCTGTTTAGGTACCGCTATCTGCCACCTGGCACTATTGCTGGCTATCGTACAGCTATTGCCAGAGTTCTTGCTTGTTATGGCAGGAAGGAGATCGGTTAGTCCTCCTCTCTTTCTGCCCTAATCAGAGGCTTTGCTATGAATAGAGTTGTTTTTAGCGAAGAATCAGGTTCCGGGGTTCTCGCACGATCCCATCAGGATCCTGGCTGTGACTAGCTCGGAGGAGCGAGATAGGTTGCTTTGTCCTTGTCGGGCTCTTAGGTTTTATCTTGATAAAACCAGGGGGGGGCGGGGCTCTCGATCCCGTCTGTTTTGCCCATTAAACAGGGGCAACGAGATATCTCCTCCCAGTCGGTTTCCAGGTGGGTTTGCCAGGTGATTTAGTATGCTTACGAGCATTTTGATGATCTGGCTCGGGCGAGAGTGAAAGCGCGGTCTCACGAGGTCAGGGCCCTTGCTTCATCCTGGGCCCTTCTCTCAATGAGTCCTCCTTTCAGGAGGTCATGTCTGCAGTATTCTGGCAGGGCAGGGATACCTTAACAGATTTTTATCTGTGATCCCTAGCTTCCCACTCAGAAGGCCTGTATCATTGGGACCTTTGGTGGTGGCATAGTCAGTGGCTGGGCCTCCTCGTTAGCCCCGGGCCATGTCTTTCCGTACGGCGGCATGTGGGTACACCTGCTCTTTCACAGAGAGGTCCCTTCCTTCACTTTAGCACTCTGTTCTCCCTCCCTACTACTTTGGTTGTGCTGAAGGGGCTGCCTGGCTTCTAGTCACCACTACGGTAAGACGAATTCGCATACTAAAGTTATGGTAATTATTACTGAAATGAAATTGAGGTTTTTTAATGTAAAACCAATTTTCATGATGTAATACTTACCATAACTTTATGGAGTCCCACCCTATCCTCCCCTCTTCCTTATCTGCCTGGCTGCCCCTCTGTGGGGTTTACGCCATAAAGGTTATTAGAGGAAGGGAGATCACTCTGCGTTCCTGTCGTGATGGCTCATGGATCGTAGGGAGGGCGGGATTGTTTTTCTTTTGAATCTTTTGTTGTTGGGATACAAAGATGGGTGTAGGTACTGTATTTGCATACTAAAGTTATGGTAAGTATTACATCATGAAAATTGGTTTTACATTAAAAAACCTCAAGTAGGAGGTCAAACGAGAATAGTTAGGAAGATTAATATTTAGATAATCCATGGCGTTTTAAGTGATGCCATTGTAAATATACTGTTTCAATTTGATCGAATCGAGTTCTTAATATTTCTCTTTGACAGAATATATTATATGTGTTCTATTCTGTTTTCAATTAGTTCAAAATTATCTTTAAATGTTTCTATATATAGGTACACGTGAGGCGTCATTCGTGTATTCCATATCATCAGCTGGGGTCGTGCATTCTATTACACGTGCTTGCAGTAAAGGGGAACTGAATCAATGCGGTTGCGATCCCAACAAAATCGGAAACAGTGCGGACCGGAAGGGTCCTTTTGAGTGGGGAGGCTGTAGCGACAATGTGCGGTGGGGCAGTTACTTCTCCAGGATGTTCATAGATGCCAGGGAAAAGAAAATCAAGGATTCACGGGCTTTGATGAATCTCCATAACAACCGCGCCGGACGACGGGTAAGGACGAAAAGTATTCAGATTTCAGTCTCATAACGTAAAACATGTCATTCCCGAATCCTTCCTTCATTCTCTCTCTATACTGATCGTCTTCATTCTCGTTATAAACTGTGTTATACGATAATATGACATGGCTGTATTCTCTGAAAAGCACGAGGGAAAAACCAAAAAGACAGTTTAATACTTAATCCTTATATGGATGCTTTATGGTGAAATTTTAAATGAATAGAAAAAAATAAGGAAAGCTAGGATTTGTTCCCTTCATAGTTATAGTAGTCTGTGGAATGTGTCCAGAATACCGAGCATACTGTCCAACAGACACGTCCAGCGCTGTCCAATTACAAAACACAATGTAAGTTATACTAACCTGTCAACACACTTAATGTTATACTCCTGTAACACACTGTAAAATTATACTCCTGTAACACACTGTAAGTTATACTCCTATAACACACTGTACACACACTGTAAGTTATACTCCTATAACACACTGTAAGTTATACTCCTGTAACACACTGTAAGTTATACTCCTGTAACACACTGTAAGTTATACTCCTATAACACACTGTAAGTTATACTCCAGTACCACACTGTAAGTTATACTCCTGTTATACACTGTAAGTTATACTCCCATAACACACTGTAAGTTATACTCCAGTACAACACTGTAAGTTATACTCCTGTAATACACTGTAAGTTATACTCTTATAACACACTGTAAGTTATACTCCTGTTATACACTGTAAGTTATACTCCTGTAACACACTGTAAGTTATACTCCTGTAACACACTGTAAGTTATACTCCTGTACCACACTGTAAGTTATACTCCTGTACCACACTGTAAGTTATACTCCTGTAACACACTGTAAGTTATACTCCTATAACACACTGTAAGTTATACTCCTATAACACACTGTAAGTTATACTCCTATAACACACTGTAAGTTATACTCCTATAACACACTGTAAGTTATACTCCTGTAACACACTGTAAGTTATACTCCTGTACCACACTGTAAGTTATACTCCTATAACACACTGTAAGTTATACTCCTGTAACACACTGTAAGTTATACTCCTATAACACACTGTAAGTTATACTCCTATAACACACTGTAAGTTATACTCCTGTAACACACTGTAAGTTATACTCCTGTAACACACTGTAAGTTATACTCCTGTAACACACTGTAAGTTATACTCCTGTAACACACTGTAAGTTATACTCCTATAACACACTGTAAGTTATACTCCTGTAACACACTGTAAGTTATACTCCTGTAACACACTGTAAGTTATACTCCTATAACACACTGTAAGTTATACTCCTATAACACACTGTAAGTTATACTCCTGTAACACACTGTAAGTTATACTCCTGTAACACACTGTAAGTTATACTCCTGTAACACACTGTAAGTTATACTCCTGTAACACACTGTAAGTTATACTCCTGTAACACACTGTAACACACACACTGTAAGTTATACTCCTATAACACACTGTAAGTTATACTCCTAACACACTGTAAGTTATACTCCTATAACACACTGTAAGTTATACTCCTGTAACACACTGTAAGTTATACTCCTGTAACACACTGTAAGTTATACTCCTGTAACACACTGTAAGTTATACTCCTATAACACACTGTAAGTTATACTCCTGTAACACACTGTAAGTTATACTCCTGTAACACACTGTAAGTTATACTCCTATAATACGCTATAAGTTATACTCCTATAACACACTGTAAGTTATACTCCTGACACACTGTAACACACTGTAACACTGTTATACTCCTGTAACACACTGTAAGTTATACTCCTGTAACACACTGTAAGTTATACTCCTGTAACACACTGTAAGTTATACTCCTGTAACACACTGTAAGTTATACTCCTGTAACACACTGTAAGTTATACTCCTGTAACACACTGTAAGTTATACTCCTGTAACACACTGTAAGTTATACTCCTGTAACACACTGTAAGTTATACTCCTGTAACACACTGTAAGTTATACTCCTGTAACACACTGTAAGTTATACTCCTGTAACACACTGTAAGTTATACTCCTGTAACACACTGTAAGTTATACTCCTATAACACACTGTAAGTTATACTCCTGTAACACACTGTAGGTTATACTCCTATAACACACTGTAAGTTATACTCCTGTAACACACTGTAAGTTATACTCCTGTAACACACTGTAAGTTATACTCCAGTACCACACTGTAAGTTATACTCCTATAACACACTGTAAGTTATACTCCTGTACCACACTGTAAGTTATACTCCTATAACACACTGTAAGTTATACTCCTGTAACACACTGTAAGTTATACTTATACTGTAACACACACTGTAAGTTATACTCCTATAACACACTGTAAGTTATACTCCTGTAACACACTGTAAGTTATACTCCTGTAACACACTGTAAGTTATACTCCTGTAACACACTGTAAGTTATACTCCTATAACACGCTATAAGTTATACTCCTATAACACACTGTAAGTTATACTCCTGTAATACACTGTAAGTTATACTCCTGTAACACACTGTAAGTTATACTCCTATAACACGCTATAAGTTATACTTCTATAACACACTGTAAGTTATACTTCTATAACACACTGTAAGTTTTACTTCTATAATATTTTCTAAGTTATATTTCCTATAACACAATGTAAGTGATAATTATGCTGATAAAAGGAATGTACAAAAGACAAATATAGAATTTAGAATTCGACATGGTATTTCGCTAAATAATGAGGTTAACATCATCATACAGCTAGTTCGTCATAGGGCTCCCATCGGTGGTTTGGGCTTACAGTGTAACGAGGAGACAACTCGGGAATAAAAACATTGGTCGGTGAAATCTTGAGATTTAGATTCGAATAAAGCTATCAAATAGGATATGACAAAGCTGGAAGACTTTAGTTCAACAGTACGGTGGTTATCGGCCGGCCTGTGATTGTACAAAGGTCGCAGTAATGAAAAGTAATACCACGAGCGAAACAACGTCATGATTTCGTTTGAATTGACTGTGTCCATTCTTCTTTAAGTCTTTGGTAAAGCTTAATTTCATGAATATCAAGTTTACTTTCTGAGATATATTAAACAATAACGACTAGCTCAAAATATTAACATCACCTAACTATTACATAAATGGCGTTAGACATTTGGAACATCTTGGTAGTAGCTGACTGCATATGACGGGTAACAAAATACTGCAATACTACATTATAGAATGTACAGGGTTATGTGTGTCGGCCCAAATGGCGCTAGTATCATCAAATTTGAGTTTGAATTCAAATTCTGTTGGCATGCCGGTATTTTTTTTTTTTTTGGTTTTAATTGTGTTTTCACCAACCAGCTCTTGTTTTTGTCCATTTTAAACTGCCATATCGGTGTTCCGTTATAACTTGTCTTTTGTAATATAATTGTCTTTTTCAGGCGGTGAAGCGGTTTATGAAGTTAGAGTGTAAATGTCATGGTGTTAGCGGCGCTTGCACCGTTCGTACATGTTGGCTGGCTATGCAACAATTTAAACGTGTTGGTGAATATTTAAAAATGAAATACAACGGGGCCACACAGGTCATGATCAACCAAGAAGGGTCTGGGCTAATAGTGGCTAACCGGAACTACAAACGCCCTACCCGCAAGGACCTAGTGTACCTAGAGGAGTCGCCGGATTATTGTTTTACAGACTCCGGAATGGGTAAGCTGTCGCCAGTATCCACAAATACATTGTTTTCTCATTGCTTGCTCTCCTTGGACAAAACACCATTCCACATCAGGTGTCTAAAAATGACTCAGTACAATGCGAAACGAATGGTCCCGGTTCTGAGATGTTGACAGACGACACTTGAAGGTTTTAAAATCAATGGAAGTGATGCACCACGACAGTAAACATATCTAAAACAACTCCAGACAAAAACGTTAAATTGTCGCGATGGAAGACGCTTTGCATTTTAATCACAAGTTATTTATATCGTTTCGATACAAAACACTTCTTAAACGGGCGATAGAATTTCTGTCTATTTAATGATAATGCCTCAGACTGAGTGAAAATTTAAACAAACATTAGAAAAAGTAGACATCTTTGTTCCCGTGTTCACAGCGTCCTCTATCGCCTCTTTACAAAGCTAATACAAACTATCCGTTTCACTCTCGCGGGGAAGCTGGCGGACATTGACGAGGTTATACAGCATTATGGGTAATTTGATCAGGGTAAAACGTCCGTTACTAAAATTGATTGGCATTTTAATACTCACCTTAGAAAAAAATGTATCTCCACTCTTTTCAGCACCAAATTTAAATTAAGTGAATCTCTGAACTACTAAAACAGCCTCGGAGTTATACCCTAGAATATAACATGTAAATACTCTAAATCTATGTAAAGTGGTATCATGGATGAAGGGTTTTGTTAAATCGCGCAAAAATAGATACTCTGAAAAAGTAACCAGTATAGAGGAATATGTAGTCAGTTTCCTAAAATCCATAAAAATGGGTTTTTTGCTTCAAGTCGTTGGTAAAATAGATCAAATTTGAACCATCGGGAAAAAACTTTTACAGTAGCCAAGTCAACATAATATGTGTTCTATAGATGTCACTGTGGACTCTCTGTATAGTTGTACATAACTACGAGTGTATGTGTATATCTTATGAGTAATACAAAGCATACAGGTTATCACGATATAATGAAAATTCATTCATTTTCGCGAGATTTATTTTCGCGTTCAATTTACGAGGAGAAAAAAATATATTAAATGAATAATTTATAACGGAAATTGCTTCTCGAGAGGAAATAAATTCAGAACCAGACGATTTGTTTAAACATTCGAAAATATTTTTAGAGTTTAACACTATTATACTTGTTTTATGAGTCCGGGTTCACACCCGTAGATTATTTACCCGTAACTTACGTTTCCGTTTCAAAACTTAGTTTTTTTATGTAATTAAAACTCCCATAAACCTTGATTTATAATCAAACGCAGAGATGAATGAGACAGATTCCATTCTAACCATCAGATAGGAGTGCCGTGTTGGAGATAAGATGAAAAAGGAGTGTCGTAAACCCTACTTTAGGACAGAAACAATATGTCTAAACATAATCATATCAGTAGTCGATTTATCTGTGGAATGTCAGTTGATGTCCTGAACCATTCTAACAATCAATTCACCATGGTGTAAATTAAGAGAAAGAACATTATTTGCGGTTCGTTTTTCAGTCTCTCTCAGAATCTATCTCTATCAGTAAACAAATGGTAAATCGGTCGTCTCATTTTCAACATGTCTGTTGGGCCTAATTCATCACCATCAGTGTTAGCGCGTACGGATATTTGACGGCTAGTTCATCTTTACTTTTTTATACTTGTGTTGTTAAACTTTCTGTCAGACGGTCAACAAGGCGTATGCAAAAAATCCGACTTAATACAGCGCGAACCTTGATCCTGGATACTGGAACAAACGAGGTCTAACGAAATAATGAAGTTCCTATTTAGTAGGACATCCGTGTTTCATAAACAACGACAAACAAACAAAATATCGCTATATCAACAAAATCTTATTTCAAACACAAATTTGATAAATCTAGGGGAAATATTGATAAACATGGAGACCTCGGACACAGTTCTAGATGAATAAGACCGGGTGTTCCGGGAATATTAGCGTCTTCTGCTTCATAAGTCGATAGATGTAAATCTTGGTCAATCCAAGTAAGCAATGTCATGTTCCTAAATGTGTTAAAACTACACTGGTATACAGTAGTTTGGCTTCGTTATACTGTCAACACCTGTTCAGAGACAGAAGAAAGCTGTGTTATGTATGTATGAAAATCACCAAGGAAGTTAGAGAGAACAGGTATCTATTGTTTTTTGTTTTCTTTTTTTTTCTTTTTTTCTCTACACTTTGATATCGTTGTCAATACTTGTGTAAATTGTTAGAAAATACTGACAACGGCGTGCAAGAACACATGAAAATTCGACCAGACACAGACTGGCTATGTTTTATAGTGTCTGCTACTGACTTGTTTACCTTGCTCGCGTCACTACAGTAAACATTATCCGTAGGAGTTATTAAACCCCATCACTGAAACATGACAGATGTATGATAAAAAACTGTATACACAAAATCAGAGCGAAATGTGTCAGCATTCGTCGGTGATCTCTCCTACGTAACAGTTAAAACACGCCGATTAACGACTGTCACAACTCATACTAGCACCTTAATCAGGGGATGTGAAATATCACACTTTTGTTTTAAAAAGCAACATGCCATCTTCCTTATAAATATTTCTTTTACTAGGAAGGAGTTCACTATATGATAATATACCTGTTTGGAAACACCTGTTGTAGTATAAGTTTTTCTTATAGGAGGAATGGTTGTTTTCACGAGACATGACACTGGCGGAAAAAACTGTTTGAATCTTATCTGAGATAACAAAAGAGAGGATTTTCTATCAATATCACCCTACTATAAGTCAGTTTACAGCTTATACACATGCCACCCACCACACGGAAAATACATACACATTCATGCGCGTAATTCTTACGACATGTAAAGCACGTGTTCACTGAGACGAGAGGCCGTTCACTAATCTTTCTATTAATACATGTCTAGTTTATGTATCTAGATTAATTATACGTCATTTTGATTTATCTAGGCATTGTTAACTTTCCGAATAATTTATTGGTATGATGTTATCACTGAAACAGCTGGCGACATATAAGGAAGTGTGGTAGGTGTACCCGGACAGCTGGCGACATATAAGGAAGCGTGATAGGTGTACCCGGTCTACTTAGTGAGGTACAAGTATTGGTTAATTATTGATGTTATCACTGAAACAGCTGGCGACATATAAGGAAGTGTGGTAGATGTACCCGGTCTACTTAGTGAGGTACAAGTATCGGTTAATTGTTGCGACTCTGGTATAAAACAACTCAATGTTTAACAATATCGTACCGTAAAAGTCGAACAAATGAAACGGAGGAAGGTAAACTAGTGCCTGATGAGTCGGGAAAGATTCACTCAACCAATAACATTGTTTATTAAACTGTTCAACGCTTCGGTTTTATTCTTCAAAAGTGAACATGAAGAAAACCTCCACTTTTTCCCCTCTACACACTTTTCCTTTTTTCTTAGCGCCCCATCTCTACCATACCAATTTTCCCTTAAAAATCGATAATATAAAGATTGATGTCAGCTTGACGGTGTAAGTATTTAGGTGTTGGGTATCGTTTTTAGGAGAGGGCTTGGCATAAGTTGGAAAAATGGTGCCAGATCCTTATTGTATCTATTTGATACAATATAATATGTTCAAAATAAACCTGTGCTATTATTTTAATTATCAAAATTAAAATATATTTTTCGATTAAAACATTTTAGATACTACCTACGACCATATAATTCCTTTATATCTAACCGTTTCCGGATTTCAAGAATACTTTTTTTTTCAACGCATTTAATTTGGAAGCCATTTGATACTGTTCATTTTCCTGAAACTTGTTTTGTTTCAGGATCATTTGGAACTGCAGGACGGACATGTAACAAGACATCGATGGGGACAGACGGATGTGACATAATGTGTTGTGGGCGTGGATACGACACAAAAACCGTCATGTTAGTTGAGAAATGCGAGTGTAAATTTCATTGGTGTTGCCACGTGAAATGTAAGGAGTGTCGACGCTGGGTTGATATTCATACTTGTAAAGGACCAAATCCCGTTATGTCTCGCCCTGCGCAAAGGCGCTCGTGGCGTAGATACAAATAAGTGCTTCCGGTTTGTGACTTCCGGTCTATGCAAGATCTATGGAATGATATGATACAGAAGAGACTGACTCATCCATATCAGTCTTGTTTTATACGAAATCTGGACGACTTATCACGACGGTACCTCACTGAAAGATGAACATTTCGGAATGGGTGATGTATAACACACTAGTGGTTTTATGGTTGCAGTCAATGTCTCTCGTGTAGACCAACATACTTTTATAGGATATGGGTACTTATACTTTTCACCTCCACCTGTCATGTATGAACATGTCCATCTTTGGAGTCATTTTTGCTATAAACATTTGTTGTTTCAATATGTTACCTTTGATGACAACATAGGTCATTTACGACGAAAATTCTTTTTATAAGGAAAAAATGAAATAAACATATAAAAGAAAAATAGTTCACCTGCTAGATCATTACGTGATGTATACTATTTGTATAAAGTTGGGAGAATTCATCAACAATACTATTTGTATAAAGTTGGGAGAATTCATCAACAATACTATTTGTATAAAGTTGGGAGAATTCATCAACAATACTTTTTGTATAAAGTTGGGAGAATTCATCAACAATACTTTTTGTATAAAGTTGGGAGAATTCATCAACAATACTATTTAGTATAATTTTGTTTCATTATGTATCATCCACTATTTATTCCATTTTTGCACTATGTCATTAAATAACTGACCACTTATAGACTCTTGCACGTGCTGATTGTGTTTCTACGACATCTATGTACATATGTAATAAGTGTTTAGATTAATCAAGTTTTTACAAGTCAATTCGTAAAGCCCTTCCTCCTCCGCTGATACTGGTAGCTATAAGTCCTATTTATTGAGACATGACGAAGCCATTGTTTCGTATGCAATCATGTCGTGTAAACTTACAGTTGTATTAGAAACTATTTTTGTCCGGTGAAACAGAACACGAAGCGATGTTATGGACTGAACACAACTGAAGGATCCCAGGTATCAATGGAACGGATAAACATTTCATTCGTTGTTACAAATCCTGGCGACAATACAAAAACCAGATCACAACCTGATCCGATAAGAAATGAAATCTAAATTTCACTTTTTAAAATTCAAAACATATATATAAATATTTTATCCATTTATTATATTGATATGAAGACTAAATAATCGCATATTTGAACATTGTCTATACTTAGAACTTATTTTGTTTAGCATGTCATGATGTACATTTGCATTTATAATTTATAAATAAATGGAAACAATGTACTTGTGTAATATATAATTTGTCGGTATATGTGTTAGGTTTTATACAAACAGTTTCTCAATATACACCTTTTGTTCTTTGTGATTTTTTCAAAGGTTGAGAAAGTATCAGTGACTACAACTGATTCAGCTTATGTCATATGACTTTTTCGGGCCAATCTGACAGGAACATTTAAAACAATATTTTCGATTTATCCTCGAACAAATGGAGACAAACAAAACAGAGGGAAGGGATTACGTCTAATATAGATAGAGTCCGAGAAACAAGAGAGGGAAGAGATAACGTCTGATATAGATAAAGTCCGAGAAACGAGAGGAAGAGATTACGTCTGATATAGATAAAGTCCGAGAAACGAGAAAGAGAGAAGAGATTACGTCTGATATAGATAAAGTCCGAGAAACGAGAGAAGGAAGGGATTACGTCTGATATAGATAAAGTCCGAGAAACGAGAAAGAGAGAAGAGATTACGTCTGATATAGATAAAGTCCGAGAAACGAGAGAAGGAAGGGATTACGTCTGATATAGATAAAGTCCGAGAAACGAGAAAGAGAGAAGATATTACGTCTGATATAGATAAAGTCCGAGAAACGAGAAAGAGAGAAGATATTACGTCTGATATAGATAAAGTCCGAGAAACGAGAGGAAGAGATTACGTCTGATATAGATAAAGTCCGAGAAACGAGAAAGAGAGAAGAGATTACGTCTGATATAGATAAAGTCCGAGAAACGAGAAAGAGAGAAGAGATTACGTCTGATATAGATAAAGTCCGAGAAACGAGAAAGAGAGAAGATATTACGTCTGATATAGATAAAGTCCGAGAAACGAGAAAGAGAGAAGAGATTACGTCTGATATAGATAAAGTCCGAGAAACGAGAGAAGGAAGGGATTACGTCTGATATAGATAAAGTCCGAGAAACGAGAAAGAGAGAAGAGATTACGTCTGATATAGATAAAGTCCGAGAAACGAGAAAGAGAGAAGATATTACGTCTGATATAGATAAAGTCCGAGAAACGAGAGGAAGAGATTACGTCTGATATAGATAAAGTCCGAGAAACGAGAAAGAGAGAAGAGATTACGTCTGATATAGATAAAGTCCGAGAAACGAGAAAGAGAGAAGATATTACGTCTGATATAGATAAAGTCCGAGAAACGAGAGAAGGAAGATTACGTCTGATATAGATAAAGTCCGAGAAACGAGAAAGAGAGAAGATATTACGTCTGATATAGATAAAGTCCGAGAAACGAGAGAAGAGATTACGTCTGATATAGATAAAGTCCGAGAAACGAGAGAGGGAAGAGATTACGTCTGATATAGATGAAGTCGACCGTTTTATCAGCTGGTTTTTAATATTGTATGTATAAACAAACAATTATTTGTTTGAATACAACAAACGACAGTCGGAATAAAGAAATATGATCGCAATAAGATATGTCGTTGTCTCGAGAAAAAAAAAACAGTAGCAAGCATCTGTTGTCTTCCTACCTTCTGTTTGTATATGTAATCATACTTCGGTACTTTTTGCTACTTTTTGTGAAAATGAAATAATGGTGAAGTAGACATACGGTGTACTGGTGTACAGTTTATCTACGTCTCGTTTTAAATAAGTAATATGCCAGAAGATGTCATATGTGTTTTCGACAGAGGGGTATAAACTACCTCGAGAGAACATATTCCGCATTGTGATAACTTTTGTGATGTTATTTGTTTGATATCTGTATATATTTGATAATAAATTTGCTTGATCTATCAGATAACTAATGATTGTTTTTTTGTTTCATTTTGCCTTTTTTTTGCATTTCACCTCTATTTACATCACGGTGTGTAAACTGGTATTTCCTACATCATAATACGTACGAAAGCATCTAGACATACACTGACCTACAGACATGTACTTTAAAGATAATGATGTTATACAGAATCCAGACTTTTGCAGCAGGTAAGGGATCTGTAAACGCAGTTATGCAGTGCATAAAATCTTTCCGCACCAGTGTATTATAGTTATGGTATGGTCAGTAATATAGACTCAACACTTAGATGGTCGAGAAATCGTAAATCCTAATTCGATATCCATAAACAGCAGGAAGCGTCGCATTACTATGACCGACCTTTGACCGTACACAAGGTGATTTTGCCTGCAGATTGCATGGCTTTTAAACACACGTTTACTAAGTAGGTTCAAATCACAGCGTTTATCACTGAGGAATGTATAAAGCGAAACTTTAATAAAAACGGTCCTTGTTTCCGACCATAAAAAAACTCGACAAGATGTCCCTCCTATTTGTCACTAAAGCAAAGCTTGGAATCAGGAGAGGAAAAACAACATGTAAAGAGGTTTGTTTGGGTTTACTTTTGTTGTTGTTGTTTTTTGTTTTGAAAGTTTTTGTTTTTTGCTTGTTTTGTTTATTTTCTTAGTAAGCAACATTAACACCTTGTAATATTTTATGAAGTTACACTAAACTATTTCTCACCATTAGTCGATATTTTGATGGGGTGTACGTCCATAAATTTCTTCTATATAACTTTATATATGACGATAATCATGGAAACGACTTTTATCAGGGTATGAAGACAACAACAATCACGTGCCATCTTGTACAATAGGTTTGGGAGTGGTGGGGGGTGGGGGTAGGGGGTGTATATATAATTTTTTTTCTTCTGTTTCTGACAATATACAGGTATTTGTTCTATTTTTAGAGATGACAATATCTTTATCTCAGTTGATTAATGACACAGAAATCGTAATCAGATCATGGAATAATAGTCCAATAGTTTCACTCCCGAACAAAAATACCAACAAGTTAACAGAATCAAGCACAATTCGATGAAACTAGGGCCAAATATGAATAAATGAAAGATTTACCAGAACATCCCCGAAAAAGTACAAGGAGAATAAAATCAGGTGTCCCGGAAACGTAGGCATCTTTTACTTCTTTGTGGATCCAAGTTAGAAATGTGGTACACAAACTAGAATATTTCTCAATCACTTCGACGACCGTAAACTCATCCATAATTTCCATCAACCTGCATCTGTCGAAACAAACTCAAATTATGCAAAAGTAGGGCAAACTATGAATAAAGGAAAGATTTGCAGAGAGACTCCTGAAAAAATAAAAGGAGAATAAAACCAGGTGTTCCGGAAGAGTATGCATCTCCAAGGGTAAATCATGGTCAATCCCAGTAAGTATTGTCAAGTTCAATGAAAACAAGGTATACAAGGACGGAACCAAAAGGCAAACTAATGACCATTAATCAGGCCAAGCTCCATATCGCACAAAAATTTGAATATTTCTCAATGACGTCACTATGATGACCGTAAAACTACCTCATAATTTTCAGCAACCTGCATCTTTTGAAACCCTGTTTGATAAATTTGGCTGTCAATTGATGACATCTTGCACGAAAATTATTATATTGGGAAGAGGCCCAGCAGCAATATGTAAACACCATAGGTTGGGAGTGCAGTTATGTTGCTATCCAGCAATGGATAATTCACAAATGGGGGGTAAATCATTACGCTTTTCATACAGTTTGGTGGAAAGCTCTCCTTGTTTCTCTTTCGTTGGAAGAAAAGATTGAGATAAGCGGTGATGTAGAAGAGGCTGTCCTGTTCTTGAATTCCAATTCGAAAGCGTTCTTTCGATTTAGAATGGAATTTGGTGGTGTACAGAATGGAAAAATGAAATGTTCTTATAGAAGCAATGTTTTAGAAGGGGATGTTAAAGATTGGTTAAAAGGTCCACGAAAATCCATATA